GGGAAGCAGTTCTTTGCCAACACCATGTACGGTGCGGGTGGAGAGCTGCTGACCTCGACTGGGGATATTGTCGGGCGGTGGAAGGAATACTTTGAGGTTCTCCTCAATCCCCCCGTCACGTCCTCTGTTACAGAGGCAGAGGCTGAGGATGTTGGGGCGGATACATCCATCTCCCTGGCTGAGGTCACCAAGGTGGTTGGCAGCCTCCATGGTGGCAAGGCTCCGGGTGTGGATGAGATCCGCCCTGATTGTCTAAAGTCTCTGGATGTTGTAGGACTGTCTTGGCTGACACGTCTCTGTAACATCGCGTGGCGATCGGGGGCAGTGCCAATGGAGTGGCAGACCGGGGTGGTGGTCCCTCTCTACAAGAAGGGGGACCGGAGGGTGTGTTCCAATTATCGTGGGATCACACTCCTCAGCCTCCCCGGTAAGGTCTACTCCAAGGTACTGGAGAGGAGGTTACGGCCGATGGTCAAATCTCGGATCCAGGAGGAGCAGTGTGGTTTTCGTCCCGGTCGCGGAACACTGGACCAGCTCTATACTCTCCATCGGATACTCGGGGGTTCATGGGAGTTCGCCCAACCTGTCCACATGTGCTTTGTGGATTTGGAGAAGGCGTTCGACTGTGTTCCCCGGGGTGTCCTTTGGGGTGTTCTCCGAGAGTACGGGGTCGGAGGTCCTCTGCTGAGGGCCATCCGATCCCTGTATGACCGGAGCCAGAGCTGTGTTCGCATTGCCGGCAGTAAGTCAGACCTGTTCCCGGTGAATGTTGGCCTCCGACAGGGCTGCCCTTTGTCACCGGTTCTGTTCACTGTATTTATGGACAGAATATCTAGGCGCAGCCAGGGGTCGGAGGGGGTCCGGTTCGGAGACCACAGGATTTCATCTCTGCTGTTTGCGGACGATGTTGTCCTGTTGGTTCCAACGAACCAGGACCTGCAGCATGCACTGGGGCGGTTTGCAGCCGAGTGTGAAGCGGCTGGGATGAGAATCAGCACCTCCAAATCCGAGGCCATGGTGCTCGATCGGAAAAAGGTGCCTTGCCCTCTGCAGGTGGGTGGAGAGGTCCTTCCTCAAGTGGAGGAGTTCAAGTATCTCAAGGTCTTGTTCACGAGTGAGGGAAGAATGGAGCGTGAGATTGACAGGCGGATCGGTGCAGCGTGCGCAGTGATGCGGTCGCTGTATCGGACCGTTGTGGTAAAGAGGGAGCTGAGCCGAAAGGCAAAGCTCTCGGTTTACCGGTCAATCTTCGTTCCCTCCCTCACCTATGGTCATGAGCTTTGGGTAATGACCGAAAGAACGAGATCGCGGATACAAGCGGTCGAAATGAGCTTCCTCCGCAGAGTGGCTGGGCGCTCACTTAAAGATAGGGTGAGGAACTCAGTCACACGGGAGGAGCTCGGAGTAGAGCCGCTGCTTCTCCACGTCGAGAGGAACCAGTTGAGGTGGCTCGGGCATCTGTTCCGGATGCCTCCTGGACGCCTCGCTGGGGAGGTGTTCCGGGCACGTCCCACCGGGAGGAGGCCCCGCGGAAGACCTAGGACACGCTGGAGGGACTATGTCTCTCAGCTGGCCTGGGAACGCCTTGGGGTCCCCCCGGACGAGCTGGAGAAAGTGTGTGTGGATAGGGAAGTCTGGGCGTCTCTGCTTAGACTGCTGCCCCCGCGACCCGGCGACGGATGAAGCGGAAGAAAATGGATGGATGGATGGATGGATTTCAATCAGGATTTAGGGCGAACCACAGCACAGAAACTGCTCTTTTAAAGATTTTAAATGATTTTAGACTAAATTATGATTCTAAAACGGTGACCGTGTTGGTTCTACTGGATCTTAGCGCTGCCTTCGACACAGTAGACCACACCATTCTTTTATCACGCCTACAACACCTCGGCCTCTCTGGTGCTGTCCACAAATGGTTCACTTCTTATTTAACAGACAGATCCTTCATGGTGAGTTTGGATACCTGCTCCTCTCAGGTCCATAAAATCACATGTGGTGTGCCCCAGGGTTCCATTTTAGGTCCAGTCCTTTTTAACCTGTACATGCTCCCTCTTGGCGGTGTCGTCAGGAGACATGGAATTGACTTCCACAGTTATGCAGATGATACACAGCTACATCTCCATGTCTCCTGATGACACCAGGCCAATGGATGCTCTTTTTAACTGCATTTTAGACCTGAAATCCTGGATGGCAGAAAACTTTCTCCAGCTCAACCAGGACAAAACTGAGGTTTTAGTCATCGGTCCTGAGGCCCAGAGAGAGAAACTTTTACCGAAACTCCAATCACACTCTTTTAATCCATCATCACAAGTGAAAAACCTGAGCGTAATCTTTGACTCTGAGCTGACTTTTATTCCTCACATCAAGAACATCACAAAAATAGGTTTTTATCATTTAAAGAACATCGCCAGAGTCCGCCCCATTCTCTCTCGGGGCAACACGGAGACGCTGATGCATGCTTTTATCACCAGTCGCATTGACTACTGTAATGCCCTGCTCTCTGGTCTTCCCAAAAAGAACATTTCAGGTTTACAATTACTTCAAAACTCGGCCGCACGTGTCCTGACTAAGACCAGGGGGCGGGACCACATTACACCGGTTTTAAAATTGCTGCATTGGCTCCCTGTGTGTTTCAGGATCAATTTTAAGGTTCTTTTAATGGTTTTTAAATGTCTTAATGGTCTTGGGCCTTCTTATCTTTCAGATTTGCTTTTATCCTATGAACCTTCCCGGCCCCTGCTCTCCTCCGGCAGCAGACTCCTAACCATCCCCAAAGTCAGGACACACACTCACGGCGAGGCATCTTTCCAGCACTACGGCCCCCGTCTCTGGAACAGTCTGCCGGAGGAGCTCAGGGCCGCAGAGAACGTTCATATATTTAAGAGTAGGCTCAAGACGCACCTTTTTAGAGTAGCTTTTGATTAGTATTTATTATTTATTACTGCTTTTTAGTACATCTATTTATGTTTTTAGACACATTCTATTTTTATTTATTTTTATCATTTACTATTTTTAATTATTTATTGTATCTACCCATTTACTATTGTTATTACCAATATTAGGCAGCTGCCATTTTTCTTTTTATTGTCACATTTTATTGTTCTACTTTCTATTGTATTATTCTATTGTTTTAGTGTCCCCAGTGTTTCCTCTGGAGGAGCCCTCTGCATTGAGAGCTGGGGTCTGCTGTGGCTTCGGGGGTCTGGCTCTTGGATCCGGTGGGGGTCTGGGGCCTCCTCTCTCCTCTGGGTCCTATGGGGTCTGAGTCCTGGGCCTGGTGGGGTCTGGGGCCCCTCTCTCCTCTGGGTCCTGTGTCGTTGCCTGTGGCTGCAGCCGGCTCTCTGCTCCTGGTGCAGATGGCTCCTTGGATGACGCTTCTTCAGCCGGTTACATCTGCTCCCAGCCCCATTTCTTTTTATTGTTTTACCTATTTTACCTGATATGACTTTATACTTGTATGTGTCTGTCTGTGTGTGTGTGTGTGTATACGCATGTGGTTGTATATATAATTATAAATGTGGTTTTTGGGGGGGTCTGTGGGGAGGAGGGTTTAGGGCCGGGCATGTTGGATTGTTTTTAACTAAACTGTAAAGCACTTTGTGTTACACTTTTTGTATGAAAAGCGCTTTATAAATAAAATTTGATTGATTGATTGATTGATACCTGTTCAAAATACAGTTACTTTGTAAGCTACTATATTACTTGCGTTAATGAATCATACACCATTGTGGCAAGATAGATATAACACAAGTATTAAAACCACAATATGCTGATTATGCTGGATTATGCATGGAATAATTCACAAGATAAATGTTATTGCATGTATTCTTAATACATGTTTTAAGTATTATCTAAAACTCTAGTCTAGAAGGAAATTGAAGGAATATCCAATAGTAAAACATTTCAAAGCTTGCAACAGGTTTGGTACCGCATCTCAATAAATTGTATTTAAACAAATAATTATATGAGAATGATATGATTAGACAATTAAAACAAAGACACAACACAAAGAGGATAATATAAACACATACTGTAGCTTGACAAACATAGAACACTAATCTATGATAGTAATTTTAGTTTTTGAGTTATAACCTTTTGAAGTCCAGATACTTTAATTGACACTTTACTGTGAACACATTCCTGATCGACAAGGGTCTGGATGTGTGCAAACAAGATTCAGAAACCACTAAACTTTTACTTTTAACTCATATTTTAGCACCGGAGATAATTAATATACCCCTAGTGTATCTGTGGCTCCTGCTCAGGCTTTTGATGGGGCACCCTCATGTGTATTTATTTTTCATCTTTGTTTCCATTTAATTTGTAAAGCATGCAATATCTGCTTATACACTGTAGAGTTGTATGGTACATTTACTCTGTATCTACTGTAATGTTGGTGTGTAATGGGCGGCACGGTGGCTGAGTGGATAGCACTCTCGCCTCTCAGCAAGAAGGTCCTGGGTTCGAATCCCGGTCGGACCAGGGCCTTTCTGAGTGGAGTTTGCATGTTCTCCCCGTGTCTGCGTAGGTTTCCTCCGGGTACTCCGGTTTCCCCTACCACTAAAAATATGTCCAATAGGTCTGGCATGTGCCTCCTGTACTGGCGACCCTGCTCCCATCTCTGTGTGGAGTGAGAGACAAATGCCCAAAAATGAACAATTGTAAACCGCTTTGAGACTCAGATCTGCAGTGAAAAGGCGGTATATAAATAAAAACTTACTTACTTACTTACTAATAGTGATTATGTGTAAATTGTTGAATTGTACATACGATATGTTTCCAGGTAATCTGATTTATTGCCTATTTGTTGATTGAAATACATGTATTTATGTTATAACTTTGAAATCTACCTGGTGATGAGTAAACTAAGCATAGAAATAATAAATTTTGAACAACAAACACTAAAAAAATATGAAGAAAATGTCAAAGAGCCTTGGCTTGTCTTTTGAGATGCCTTCATTTATTTAGTTTACACAGAAACATGATAAAAAGTAAATATTCTAAGCACAACGAGGCGTGCAAGTGCAGTCAAGATGAGTCTCCACCATCTCGGTTATGTCGATGATGTCCTCGCGAACGTTGGAGTTTTCACCTGCAGAAGGCAAAAACAGAATGAGTGTTATTGTATGGTATGTCCTTATTGGAGCCGGGATTGTGTATATGTCATGAGAACCGACTCAAAGCTAAAGTTGATGAATACTTGGCCATGATATTGGACATATTTAATTTAACACCAGTTTCATTACATATCTCTATGCTTCAAAACAGAGCCTGAAAAACATTGTGTTCCATGGGCTTATAAAGACAATAGAAAAGGTAGATCTATCAAAGGCCCTATACTTTGTAACGCTGCTGCTGTGTATGATGGACACTCACCGTAGGGCCTGCAGCTGAAACCCACTTTGCTCTGGGCGGTCCTTGTGGCAGAGCAGCCTTGTCTACAGCGCAACACGGGTTCAACGGACAAGCATTTGGACCGCACACCGTGGATGTTAATGTCTCTACTCAATTCAACCTTCTCTTGTGCCAAACGGCAACCTGGTTCAGGAAAAGCATTGGTTAAGAGATGCCAAATGTTGTCAAATTTGTTGCAACATCTGAAATACAAATGCTATTTAGTGAAAGGAGTATTTCAACTGTACACATGCTTGAATTACTGTATTTTACAGTCTGTAGTCGTTAGATGGGAGAGAGTCTTAGGGTCATGAAGTTTTGCCTGTCTTGTCTGAGTGCGTGTGAGGGTTTCGTGTTTTATCCCTCTGCTTCATTCAACCCCTTTACAAATGGTGTATTGCTGTTTATGTTTTTTTTACATGTTTTGATATCTATCCTTGTTTTATTGTACATACACTAGAAAAAAATAATAAAAACATGACTATTATTAATACTAGACCAGTTAGTGCTCTTACCAGACTCATCACTGCAGCTCTGGGAAGGCAGAGTCCAGGAATGGGCAAAGCTGATGGAGTCTTCGGACCTACGACCAGAGGGCATGCGGTGGTCGCTTTTCTGATCTCCATTGGCTTGTCCACAGAGGCCGCAAACTTTGTTCCTCAAATGATCAGGGATGTCAATCTGGATAGACAAAGAATATTATAAAACACATCAAATTTAAACATCTAAACTCCCGTATACGTTAAAGAGCTTTACCTCGATCTGATCTTGGCCGAAGGTGAGCTCAGTGATGCCAAAATCGGGAGCGAGGAAATGCAGTTTACTGCCCACCTGCTTAATCCTTATGTTAGCTGAAATCAAGTTAGAGCTTGTTAGGATACAAAAACAGCTACTAACTTGGATGAGAAAGTTTGAGAGCTCAGACCTTGCTCGTATGGCAGGTTCTGGATTTTTACACCATTGAGGGTAACAACTGGAACACCTTCTTTAATGGACATGACATAATCCCTATAATGTGCATGATATTAGTTTAGTTTATCTCCACCAGAAGTCTGTGAACCACATTTTTAAAGTCTTACTTTGAGTCAATCATCACACTGATCGTGATGCCGTTATCCTTCTTCATAAGAACAACAAACTTGAGATCATCTGTGCACTCCTGGGCCAGCAGCTGGTAGCAGGTTAAGATGTGGGGACTGTATGATTTGCCGTTGAAAGACTGAATCCGGCCACTTTCAACTTTGCACTGAGCTAAAAAACAAGACATGTTGTTGTTTTTTCAGTGATAAACAATAAAGTACTTCTCTATAATACAAATTGTTCTATGTTAAGAATTACCTCCAGTGGACTTTGCCAGGAGATAGTGAATATTATCTTTCACATTTTCATATGGCGCCATTTCTCTGATGTTTTCGAGTGGCAGAGACATGGGAAGAGTCACAGTGTGGCTGTACACAGACTGAATGAACAACAATGTGTGTTATGAAATATGTGAGGAAGGAAGTTAATGGACTGTGCTTCTAAATAATATCCTTACTTTCACTGATTTTAGAATGATGTTGAGCTGTTTCTTAGACTCAGCAACCACAGTGAAAGAGATCTGCTTTGTGTTTTCTGATCTCCTTTGCTTTTTGAAGTTGGACAGGTAGGAAGAAACTCTGCAGCTGTAGATCTTGAAAATCCTAAAAAAAAACACAATCAAAGACATTTGGAAGGATTATTATATGGCATATTTCTGTTTAAAAATATGTGTACAAAAACATACCTTTGGACGTTTCTGACAACAGCAGTGGGCAGTCTCTTCCAAGCCAATCTCACACGTGCTGCCATCTTCTGCTCAACCAGGCCAGACTCAGCTGTGATCAGGGCATCATATATCTTGCTTGGTTCTCCCCAAGAAATCTTAGCCTGTTGAGATGAGTAGAGTTTAGGATGCACCACTCCATCCAATTTAGGCGCCATTTTGAATTAAAAAACGTTCTTACAGCAACTTTGTTCTGGCTCAGTGCTGCGGCATCAGCGGACAGCCTCCAGTTGCTATGACGATCCAGGGTGGTGATGACCATCTGTACTCTGCTCTCACTCTGGTCCTCATAGGCTGCAATTTGATAGCCCATTGGACTCTTGTTCTTGTTATTTGTAGTGGCGCGGAGGATCAACACAAAAGAAGTGTGACCGAAATCGCCAAGGAACTTTTTCTGGAAACAAGAAACAACAGGCATTAAATTGAGACCAAATGATAATGAACATTTTTGTGAGACCATACCTTGTTTCTAATGTCCTCGATGGTTGCTCCAAATGAGGCAGATCCTGAGTGTGTCTTAGGTGTCTAGTGGTAGAGATTCAATTACAAACTTGAAGTAATCTCTGTAGATTTGTGGAATTGTTATAAATTTACATACCCTCTTGTGATGGTTTGGTTGAAATTTGATCTGAGAGCTGTGGCGCTGATGATAGAAAATAGCACATGTACAATAAAAACTGCCTTTCATCAATCTACACAGTCTATATATATATATAATACACATAATAACACATATTTACATAATTATAGAAAATGTACCTGAGATCCTTGAGAACCTGAGCTGGAGCTGTAGCTGAACATGGAGGCCAAGCTGGATACAGTGGACTTGTTTTTCTGGTTATGGCCTTTGCTGCTGCTGCTGCTGCTGCTGCTGCTGCTGCTGCTACTGCTGCTGCTGCGGTGCTTTGTTCCCATGATTCTGCCCACAGCGTTGATAATCTTTCTGCCCATCCCAGAGTGAGATGAAGAGGAGGAAGAGCGACGTCCACTGTGACTCACTGAGCTGGAGCTGCTGGAGGAGCTAGATGTCCTGTTGCTTTTCAGACCAGGAGTCAGGATTCTCTTGAGCTTAGAGAGAATAGGCGTGCCCTCTGGGATCTCCTCCATGTTCAAGTTAATGGGCTTCTGGAGTTTCCCATCACCCTTGGCTCCAATTTGGAGTTCCACTTCGTACTTCTCAACCACTTCTGTTTCAGCTAAAACATGACGAAACAATTGATTATACCGTTGTATCAAAATGTGATTAAATGTTAAGAAAAACGTCTCTTCATACAAATATGTGACTGGTCATTGGAAAAGAGGGACCAAGTCTACCCAGTGACAGTGATTCAGATTCTGAAAGTTTAGATCCTATGCTTTCCAAAAATGTATGTATATGCAAAAAACTGCCACAAAAGTGATCTCAGGTGGAGGGAACACAATGCCGCTTCACATTAGACTAACAAATAATGTTATCTGAGGCAAAGAATTGGTAAGTCATGACGTCATCGAACACATTCTGCAAAGAAGTAAAATAATAAAATGTGTACACAAAAAGCCTGCTTGGTGGATTTAGTAAAATTCAACATGTGGCCCTTTTTTCCTGCGGCTTGTCACATTTAGGATTATACTAACTTTCCATCTCTTTTTATGCACTCATGCATTTGCAACATTGCAACAGCAACACTGGTGTGCTTTTGTCTTACATTGTTGAAGAGAAAGACGAACAAGGTGGTTCCCAGCCAGTTTGTACAGAGCAGAGTTCTGAAGGAACTTGGCGTTGTGAGAAGCGATTCTCAGGCAGGATTTTACTCCAGCGGAACTGAGGCAGTATTTCTTGTCATTTCTGCGTGTTCTGGAGTTGGAAGCTGTTCTGTCCTGAACTGGTCTGTTATCCCGCACATCCTGAGACTGAAACAAGAAGCCACAAAAATTCAAACCGATGTGTACATATTGAACCAGTGTTTCACCAGCAGGTTTGCATCTAGTTTTAAGCTTATCATGTTACAGATCACAATGTAATCTGCTATATTTATTGCATTATATATGTACGTGATTATTTCCATGGGCTATACTAAATGTAAACGGATTGTGAAAGCATAAAGACATACATCGGAGGAGCTGGCAGAAGAACTTCTTGAGCTGTGAGAAGAAATCTCTTCAGGGATCAGAGGAGTCGTCTTTTTGGCACGTCTTGCAATGGCCACAGTTTCAATACTACAGACAAGCACATGAAAGTCTTACACATGGATGCATTTACAGTTGTGTACATTCAGAGTGAGCAGACTCACTCAACAGCGGCTACAACATTTTCAGGAAGGGCTATTGGAAGAGCCTTGATCTTGAAGTTTTTGTCCACAAAGTCCAGAGTTGCATGGATTTCGCTGGGCATATGGATCTTGGCCTTGGCTCTTGAGACCATGGCAACCTGAGCAATGTCAGAATTTATTCCCATCACAGCAAATGTGTTGAGGGCGATGCTAAAAACAAGGAAATACAAAATAGTAATATTAGGTTTTCAGACTTCTGCACTAAGACACAGACCAAATAAAACTTTCTTCAGCTCTTACCTGGGCTTGATCTGAGTCTGAATCTCAGAATTCTTTTGACTCAGAATGTTTTCAAGTTGGAAGTCTTGTCCAAGCTAGTTGTGAATTTAGCTGCAGGAGAAGAAAGTTAAACAACTTAAATGAAACAATATTTTTACTTTGGTTTTCTGACTCTGCTTCCAAACCTTACCCTGAACATCTGCTACCGTGACAGCAACAGTGTAGAGGGCGAGCTCCATGGGCAGACCGGCGGCTGTGGGCATGATGCGTCTGATCTCAGCGGGCATCATTGCCTTGGCCCAGTGTGCGGAGACACCGTTATGGACCAGGTTCCGGAGGGTTTGCATGCTGGTCATGCCCAACTCAGAGGACATCTGCAACGACCACAGATCTTGTAAATTTGCAGTGCGCATTGAATAGCCCCAAAAACAATCAGAAGAGTATCTTACCTGAATTGCCTGTTCAATAACCTGTTTGTCGATGTCAACAAAAGCAACAGTCTGCCCCAAAACCTTGACGTAAACGGAACCCAGCATTTGACTGGTGGGCATAGCCTTCCAGTTGTGGAGCTGATAACAAAAGGAAAGATTTGTTCACTTGTTGGCACTTTTTTCTTATTTGAACAATATGCTTACCGCCTTCAGGATGCGCTTCATCTTGGCACTTTGTTCAGTAGAATCAGAAACCTCTTTTTTCAAAAAGTGTTCCTGGAATCCCTCAGATCTGACTCCAATCTGAAAAGAAATAGTATTTTTTATAACAAACATTTACCACAAACAGAAACGTAAGAATGCATTCAGATTTTACCTCAATGAGATCAGCAGCTGCTCCAGCAAAGAAGGCAGTAGTCTTTGCTATAACTGTCTTGGGGAGGATGGTAGCAGCATCGTTGATTGTATAAATGCTTGCAGCCGCACCAAGTGTCAAAGGATCTAATAAGAATATATTTCAAGGAAATTAGCTCAAACAATTTATGAAAAAATATTAAGACAAACAGGTCGTACGGCTATAGTAGTCCAGGAGGAAAGCCTTGCTGAGCTTCATGTTCTGTTTCCTTTGGCCCATGAATCTGAGACCAACATTGGCCACAGCAGCCCTGTAAAAAGCATTTCTGTAATTAGTTTGATGTTTTTATAACATACTTTGTTGAGGGATGATATATCTTACATTGAGTGGTCCATGCTTTTAGACAGAGACTTGATAAGAGAATACGTGAAGCTGGACACTGCCTCGCTTGGATCAGACTTGACAAGTTTGGCAACACGAGTCACAGTGGCTACGGAAGGTTTGGTCTCAAAGAGTGTAATGACAGCAAGTGTACGCAGCTCAGGCTCCAGGGTTGTGTCCATGTACAGTTGCATAGCATGGATTTGGACCTTAGTGACAAATTACTTTAGTTAAGAGCACATTTCTACAGAAATAACTAAATGGAGCATAGTTATGATGAAATACCTCTTTAAGGTTCAGCTTGGCAAGGCTTCTCAGTGCCAAGATGGCTTCAATGTGAACTCTCTTGGACAGTGTACGTCCTTTGGTGCCATGAATTGGAAGGAGCTTTGTGATAGATTTGATGATCCAAGGGTGAGCAGCATTAGCCAAAACCTTTGCCGACAGAACCAGTTCATCTGTGTTTTCCGCAGCTAAGGCTTGTTCCAAGTGTTTCTGGATTGGCTATGGATATGGCATGACATCATAAATAAGACTGTATAATCAACATTGAACGAAATAACAAACAAACAAAGTAGTGAAATACCTGAATAAGATCCTCCTTGCATTCAGCCCTCTCACAGTGTCTGTGGAAGAGACCTCCATAGCCGAGAAGCAGAGACTTCCGCACAACTCCTGCTGCATCTTTTTGTGTTTCAATGTAACTCTAACAAATGTATAACTTGCATTAGGAATGACTTTCTCTTAAGAAGAAGAAATGTATTACAGACTAGGCTCTGCTGTCACTTACCTTAACCTTTTCCACGTTTTCCCTGCTTGGCTCTAGCATGTGCAGAACACCAACCAAAATCTGGAGGGCTTCCATGGCTTCACTAACATGATGCTTGGGTTTTTTAATCTCCTCCATGGCAAGTTCCAAAGCCGCCTCTGTTCCGATGTAGGGAATGGCATCCACAAACCACTTCCTCGCTGGTCCTTGGGTATTCAACAGGGTGCGCAGTTTACTTAATTCAGCTCGACGCAGGAGCTGGATAAGTTCCAAAAACTTGAGAGGAGCATCTTCGTGTACGTTGTGTCTGTTATCGGCAACCAGGTGATTCAGGATTCCTTCAATCTAAACTCACAAGACCAACAATTGAAAGATCTCTGCTGTTAATACTCCGCTTTTTATTCAGAAAACTGATATAACTGTACCTGTTCCTGCGTGTCTGACATCTTAAGGATGCGGATTGGACTCTGCATAAGTTCAGTGGAGAACTCATACTTCAGGGAACCACGATTACGGTACTCTGAATTGGCAGGGACAATACGAGCCTGTTTGGTCTCAATGTATTTCAGATGTTGTCTGAAAATAACATTATCAATGGTTACTTTATCTGGTCAAACCTTGTTTTTTCTAAACTCACTATGTTTATATTAATTCAGATATTGTCATACTTGGTTTCCAGGGTGGCAGCACCGTTCAGCTCATTGAAAGGCGAGAACTGAATGTTTTCTCTCACAGACACCTCCTCGATGATGTGACCATTTGGCCCCTGCTTCAATTTGTATTCATATCCAGAGATATCCCTCAGGTTTGTAGAATCCTACAAATAGTTGTTCTCAGTTGCTTCGAAGGCATATGGTACAGTTAAGGTCAAATGGTGTGAACTTACCTTCTGGCAATGATGGCAAGTCCTAGTGTATGCCAACCCGATGTCACGTCTGACCCTTTCCTGGCATTGGTTCAGATCTCTGCTCTTGACCACATGGATGCTGCCAGGCGCTCTCTCAATGATGGCATAATGGGTCTTGCACACACCCTGGGCTCCCTCCTGAAATGGTATCAGCATGAAATCAGATTGATAGTCTTAGAAAGTCAGTAATTTGTTAGATTTAGCTCATCTGCTCATTTTCTGGAGTTTTAACAGACCTCCTGCAGTTCATAGTCGTTCTGTCTTTGCTTGATGGTCAGCTGGAAGATGTTGAGGATTCCCCTGTGGATGTTGAGCACCATTGTGGGCACACTTTCAGGGGCTAGGAGCTCTCTCACAATCCCATCCTGATACTTGAACTTGATGGGTGTTCTGAGGTGAGCTGCCAGATCTGCACGGAGCTGAGTTTGGCTGAAGGTGTCTTTCTGCCACACACCACTGTGCTCAAACACCTGAGGGTTCTCAAGCTACAAATGGATAGATGGGTACAAGTTGAAGTGATTTCTAAACATACAACAGCAACTACACTGTCCCAGCTAGTGTTTTCCTACACATTGTTTTTGTTTCAGTCTCAGAACAATCACAATCTATTTTATTGCAGAAACAGTGGTACTTTGCAAATGCATTTAGTTAGAATACTGAAAACCAGAGTTAAAATGGATTTTGAGACACACTGCAACATGGTCCAATCTGTATTGTACTGAACTGTATTCTCAATACTTTCACATGGATTGGTGTATTTACCAGTTCCATGAATACCAACAAAATAACTATGTTCTAAATACACTATACACAAGTATTATTATTGTACAATCATGTAATCTGGCAGTAAAGGTGTTTTTCTGCCTGTCCTTCCCGCCATGTATCCACAATATGTATTTTCTACAGACTCATTACTTTACTGTACTCATTACTGTGTTGCTCCTGAACAGTGTTGTTGTTTTACCTGAAGCAGGAGGACAGCACCGTGTTCGGTCTGCTGGTCAACACTGATCTTGACTCGGCTTTGCAGCTTCAGACCAGCACTGGCCAGGTCCTGCTCTAACAGACCGCCCATGATCCTGGCCTGGTAATCGTACTCATAGGTGTTTCCAGGAGCAAATGTCGGAGCTGATGGACATTTACTCAAATTAGAAACAATAGAATTGTACTTACATTTTCACGTTGTTGTTTATGAATATGACTTACCCAAGTTGGGGTGTTGGCCAGCTAAGTGGAAACAATATAACAGATAATGTTTAGTAAATTGGGAAAATGAGCATTTAAAGTTAATGAGTTTTCAAACAAATTATATTTGTGTTCTTTATATTACTGAAATGCAGTATTATAAAGAACACATGACTTAAATAGAATACAAAGTTCCAGTGTGACTTACCCACAAGGGCTAGAGCCAGGGCTAGTACAACGACTCTCATGGCTGAGCGGGTTGTGAGGATGGGCAGTCATCCCGGCCACTATTTAAAGGCAAAATGTGCTGACAGGGCTTATCAAAAATGTCAAAACGACCCCAAATGCGGTTCCAATCACACATGCAGGGATCAATAGCATGGTCATTCAGATAAACTATTGGCATCTGTATAAAAGAAGGATAGGGTCACCTGACATTGCTGTCCTGAGATTGTACCATTCATCTTTTTTTGTATTTAGCACTGAATTACCCTTATTATCTATTCTTTATTTTATTTTTTATTTCATTAGTTTATTTGACAGGGACATTACACATTGATGAACATTTCTGTAAATGTGTCAGCATTTGCTGCAAAGCTAGTTTTCAGCTGCTGTCCCTGGGCAAGGTGTATAATGCCAACAACAATTATAAAACAAAACAGTTTAAAAATTGAGGCTACATACTTACATAACAAATGTTGATATAATTCATACAGTGATAAAATCAGAAGGTTCGTTCTGTAACTTGCACAATAGAAAGGGGATTTTTGTGAGAGGGCAGGTCGTACAGTTCAAACAAAAGACATTATTAGGATAAATGTGTACAGTTATTTACAAGAAAACACGTGGGCAGAGGATCCTGACACTTGGATCAGTCCTGTACCAAGAGTTCTGTGTAGGGTCTAATGAGCACTGATTGGATTTCAACCTGTTTTTTAATTGAGTCCTAAATGTGTTAATGTGTCCTCATTACCCAGACCAAATGGACAACACAAACTATACAAGCACAAAGTTTAACATGTACATTGATAGACTCATAGAATCAAAACATATATTATTTTTAAATATTGTAATTGCAACTTTATTACTTTAAATTCCAGTAAAAAAAAAATAGAAATGTTTCACATGAAGTATACAGCTCAAATAAGGAGATATATGCCACAAAACAGCACCTACGGAATGTGATTCAATTTAATCTTTTTGAGCAGTGTGACGTGTTTGATGACATACCTGTTCAAAATACAGTTACTTTGTGAGCTACTATATTACTTGCGTTAATGAATCATACACCATTTTGGCAAGATAGATATAACACAAGTATTAAAACCACAGTATGCTGATTATGCCGGATTATGCATGGAATAATTCACAAGATAAATTTTATTGCATGTATTCTTAATACATGTTTTAAGTATTATCTAAAACTCTAGTCTAGAAGGAAATTGAAGGAATATCCAATAGTAAAACATTTCAAAGCTTGCAACAGGTTTGGTACCGCATCTCAATAAATTGTATTTAAACAAATAATTATATGAGAATGATATGATTAGACAATTAAAACAAAGACACAACACAAAGAGGATAATATAAACACATACTGTACCTTGACAAACATAGAACACAACAGAAATATTAAAAGAAAACAAAAGAAAACAGACAAGATTAACGGCTTATTAACCGAGCGCGAGGCCTTTTTGCACAGACCTCGCCACGGCTCGGTCTGTACATTAAGGCCGCGGTCTGATATTTCTCTGTACAGACCGAGCAATCAAGGTTAATAAATGTTTTATTATATGACTCTCGTCTGTATCTTTACCAATGCTTTTGAGATATTTGTGAAGTATGTTCATGTCCGACTTGGTTTTGTGTGATACGGGCTGTGGACCGATTGTCATGGTAACGGTCCGTGGAAAGATATCAAATGTGATACGCGCTGTTCGGACCAATTTTCATGGTAACGGTCCGAGATGGGAAAATATCAGACCACAAATTAACCAATCAGAGTGCGCGTACGGTCCAAGTCATATAATAAAGTAATATATTGATATATTAAAAGTGACTTGAGTACTGCGATTTTACTGATACACTTCACTATATTGTTTTTCCGACAACTTTTTACTTTTACTCCTTACTTTCAAATATATATATCTGTACTTTCCAGTCTTCACACTTACTGTACAAGCCTTACAAGCACGGGTCAGGCACTTGGAACACAACGTACAAAAAGTGTGTGCTAAACTAAGCTAATGAATTGTGGTTAGCTATGTCGCAGATAAATGCTTTGTCTGTAGTAAACACTGGACTCTAAGGAATTGGTTTTACAAAAGGTCTTCCATCCAAATACTAACCAGCCGCATCACTGTTGAGACCGGAGAGTTAGGTGAAATTACAATACAAAAGTCTATATCCAAGCTTATAGGACTTAAAGGTTGCCCACTATTCCCTGACTTTCTTTTGAAGATCTGAATGTTGGAGTTTATCTTTTTTGAAGTACATTTAAACTTGTGCATTTATTTTATCTCTTTAAGCATTTACAACTAATTGAAAGTTGTGCACACTGAATACTAACCGGTTTATTTGTTACTGATGAAATCTCTGAGTTTAGGGGGCACTCTGACTGCAGATGTTTACTCTCTTTGTTTGTTCTTGTCATCGCAACCAGTTTTACCCCACATCACAGCAGTGTGCACTTCACGCATTTAAGATAAGATATTTTGGCACTAACATCAAAGAATGTTGTGTTCAGTGGGTACAGCTTTCAGGAGTAGAAGTGGAAACCTATGATTGAAGTGTTTGTGTACTATTTTTGTGAAATATGTGGTTTTGAGGCATGCATTAGCCATTAGATATTTATTATAGCTGTGATATACATCTCATGCATTTTCTACTTAGAGTTTCATGCTCTTTTGAAATTCACTCTCAAGTTAAACATGAATTTATAGTTTTTCTTGCTTTGGTGCGTTTCTCAGGTCAGACTTAACATTCTCAAAACTATTAGTTCAACCTCCACATTGAGTTGAGTCATTGGTGCACAACATTGTAGCAGTTTGTCCTTTGAACAAATGCTTTTGGACATTTATCAGTTACTTTTATTCTCTGCTGTTTTACAACATTATCCTGTCAGTCAAAATGAAACATACTTATGAAGCTGAAGATTCTTTCCCTATAAAACTAATAGTCCTCATTTTCATCGCTTTAGTCATCACATACAAAATTGTTGAGCTAATTCTCAAAATAAAAATCTGTGAAGCTAATTTCATAATTTTCGTTATCACTTTTCCCCCTGTTAATCACCTAAATTGAACAATTGCTTTCAGGTGCTTTCAGGAGTAGAAGTGGAAACCTATGATTGTGTTTGTCTACTATTTTTGTGAAATATGTGGTTTTGAGGCATGCATTAGCCATTAGATATTTATTATAGCTGTGATATACATCTCATACATTTTCTACTTAGAGTTTCATGCTCTTTTGAAATTCACTCTCAAGTTAAACATGAATTTTAACTTGAGACTGGAAGACGTGGCAGTCCAGGAACAATTTATGCACAGTTTTTCAGCTATATGTTCTGTTGTATTGGTTACATTTGTTACAGTTCTACCATAATGCTTTTTCTTATGTTTTTTTTAAATACTGTAAGTGACTGTTTTTTTTAGTTTTTTTGCACAATGCTGTAGAATTGCAAAAAGCATGTACTCAGTTACTTCACCAAATACAGTCATGGGTATACTGTGGTTTTCGGCTGTACAGGTCGTGTATTGAGCTCACCAAGTGTTACCAAGATCTGACTTTTTTGCATTACATTTTTTCTCAGTCGCTTTGGTGCATTTTTCACATCATTCTTCACGTTTGCACAACAGTTACTGCATTTCTCAGAACAATTAGTTCAAACTGCAAAACCTTGTGGAAAACCTGCAAAACTGTGTAACTTTCTCAAAATGAAAAGTGAATCCCTCAAAAGCAAGTCTTCATGTCAATGAAACTGTCTGTGTTTTCAAAAGTCCTAACCCTAACTAAGTCAAATGACTTGGTGACACTTTTAGCACTTCACACTGAAAAGCCATTTAAAAACCCCGGTGAAGTTACACATGACTGTATTTAGTGAAGTAATTGAGTACAGGAAACATATGTAAGTATTTCACATATTTATTACATATGCTTTTTGGATTCCACAGCATTGTGCAAAAAAAATGAGTCACTCACAGTTTTTAGAACAACCATAAGAAATACCATTAATTGTGCACAAATGTAAACAATACAACAGAACATATTACTGGAAAAACTACATAAATTATTCCTGGACATCCACGCCTTCCTGCCACATATTTTCATCTACATCACAGCAGATGTCTTCCCTTGCAAGACAGCTAAAGTATCTCCTTGAGTGGCGAATCCACCCTCTGCAGGACTCCACGGTGATGTCATCACATGCAGCATCCTTGGCTGCTAGCAAGGCCATTTGAGCATGTAGACGCCGGTCATAAACTTTCCACCTCCAGGCAGAAAAAAAAATCTTCAACCGGATTATGGAATGGGGAGTAGGGGGATTGTAATAAATTATTTGCTCTGCCTTTTTTTCGTTACATCACTGCTCTGCCATAGCTTCCCAATTCGGTCCACTACTCAATTATTCCGTCTTGTTTCCAATAATCAAACCCCCACCTGATTACAAATGAAAAAGCAGCTTATAAGTTTTCCTACTGGGAATATGTTTATTGTTGTCCAAATCTTTAATTTCATGCCTGTTTTGGCGTACATTTTGTGCGTAACGTACGCTCACGTCCAGATTGATAAATGCTGAAAAGTGTAAATAATTGCATCCGCAAGTTTCATAAATCACTCTAAAACATATTTTAGTGATTTGCTACATATAGTGTCATAAAAATGAAGACAGAGGAAGCAGCCATCGCACCTGTAACCTGGTTTATTTTTTTACAGTCTAGTCTTTTTACAAAAGTTTTTACATGATTTGTATTAATGTGCATAAGAACAGAGACGTGTTCACTTGAGATATTAATGATGCTTAAGATACTAAAAATGTGGCTCAGAACAAAGACGTCCAGTTCTTGAGATAAAGTTAGCAGAAACATTACAGAAGTCCAATGTACAAAATATGGAGGTCAGATTCCACAAAAGGGAGGAGACATTGGGAGAACATGCAAACTGCACGCAGAAAGGCATGGTCTGGCCCAGGCATCTTTCTTTCTGTGAAGCACAAGTGCTAACCTGAGTTCTATGTATCCTCGAATCATCTTCTTGGCCCTTTCCTCTTTGACCTGTCTCAAATGGCCCTGGAGACTGGGGCTTTCTCAAGAGATCTAAATAATGTGATAATTTCTTTAATACTCAAAAAAGGATAAGAACCTGCAGGAATGCTCAAGTTTTATACCTCTATTCTAAACGCAGACTCGTTTTATAAAAGTTTATTGCAGCACATTTAGAAGTAGAGCACAAAATGACACATGCAGAAAGTAACACATATTTTCCGCACTATAAGCCGCGCCTGATCATGAGCTGCAGGCTCTAATTTTTAAAAGCAAATGGAGTTTTCTACGTGGATTAAAAGCCATCCCATACTGTATTATTTAAAAATGTAGCTCAGCGTTCTCGTGTTCTTAATCTTCCAAACTTTCTAATGATGATCTAAACATTTCTCATTATACTCTGCTCCAGTAGAAAGTGTTTTAATGTGTTTTCTGGCAACTGCTGTGTCCAAGCTGTCTTCTTGCTCGTCTGTAGCTGCTGCATAAGGAGCTCTTCACCTGAAACCTGCCTAATTTAAAGCATTTTGTGATTTCCAGAAATCTAAAATGTTTCTAATGCTTGTCGACACATTTAATTATTAATCTCTATTTTTTAGTTCAGAAATTTCAACAACAACACGAAGCATACTTACATAAACTGGGGCACAGCAACAACAAAAACACTGATATTTTTAATTTTCCATTTTATTGTGCACAATTAAAAAGTGTCTTTCTATCTCTCATTACATTTAAAACCTGTACAGAAGCAACTGTATATCAATCAATCAATCAATCAACTCTTATCTGTAGAGAGGCTTTCCTACACAAGGCAACACAAAGCGCCTCACAACCCATATCACCTCAGGCATAAATCATCAAACATTAGAATCTACATAAACATTAAAAATACATAAAGAGCACAAGATATATTAAAAACATAAAAAATAAAATCACACAAGTAGTTAGAAACCTTTAAACATTAAAATCATAAATAGCCATTGTGCATTAAAAAGATTGAAGATAAAATCAAAGATACAATCATTCAGTTGTATGCACAGTTAAACAGAACTGTTCAGGTCAAAGAAAATCCAAAACAATATATAAGGTCAAAGGTATTTTGAGGCACCCAGTGGACATCACACATTTGTTAGTTGTGCCCTAGAATCAGGAAATGCATTCTTCATTTCAATTTTGTACCTTACCTTGAAGAAAATAGCATTTTTAGGACTGGCAACTATAGTTTCTGGCAAATAGCTTGTCAATAGGTCATAATGGATATTATATCTGGATATAATCAACCCAGAAAGGTTGTGATAGGTCAACTGTGTCATGGTGTGGATTTTGTTATTTTGGACTTTAGTTTTATTTTGATATCTGTTCTCTGTACTTTGGTTTCAGTTTGACTTCCTGTCCTGTTTTCCCCTGTCTTGATTGTCTGCCCCGCCCTGATGTATTTCACCTGTGTCTGTGTCTATATGTACCCTGTTGTTGCTGGTCCATTGTTTTGTCAACACCTGTTCCTGGTGTTGTGTTCCTTGTACCTTTGGATTTTGAGTTTGTTTTCACCTGGACATTTATTTTATTAAATCATTATTTTTTGCATTCCTGCATTTTGGGTCCTGTATCATTTCACCACATGACAAACTGATTGTGATTGATTCCTCCTTTTTTAAATCTAAAACAACAAACAACTTGAACGGTTTCTTTATTCTAAAATACAAAACAAATGTTTTCAAAACATGACATTTCCCTTTGGCAACAATTTACAAAAAAAATGACAGTAGCCTACTGTTACTTTCTATTGGATTTTCTTTTTCCCAACAAGATGTGAAGAGTGATCTAAGATGATTAAAATTAGCCATTGTACACTATTCTAAAACTTAGTAGTAAATTATAAGCAATCTTGCAGGCAGTGTTTTCCTTTCCTTTATTGACATTGTATATGCCCACAGCGCACAGAAACATGCCCATTACGCAAACAATATTTATCTCAGGTACAATGCTTTGAGGTAGGGTTACCCTTGAGACTTATATGATAAAATAATTATCAATATGTTTGGGGAAAAATTATTCAAAACAATTTCCATTTTATTGTTGAAAAATACTTCTTTCTGGGATGGTTTGCGTCAGCCATGTTTTCACTTGGGACAGGAAGCACGAGGAAAAATGTTTTTCTCGTGTACCTATAAACCTGGAAAAACCTGCATAAATATCTTTTGATTCTATTTTTTAAATCACAATGGGGGCAGGTCTGGGTTAATATGGCATGTTATACATCATTTTAAAGCTAGTTTTATCAAGAAAACTCACAAAAATTCATATGACCATAAACATTGAACCCTGAACACAATGAGTAATGCTTGTATGGTATGCTTGTATGTAGCTCAGTTGGTCAAGCATTGGCCTTTGAGCCAGAAGGTCATGGGTTTGAGCCCACCTCAAGACTTTCTCGACCGACTCCCATTGTCTGCTGTCGTTGTGTCCTTGGCAAGACGCTTAACCTCTGGGAACACCAGCCACAGTGGGGCGGCTGCGGCTGGAAACTGCCAAACTGCTGTTGTGTCCTTAGGTAAGACTCTTCACCCCCATTGCCCAGAATGAGTCTGTTGTGTGTGTGAATGGTTGGTGGTGGTCAGAGGGGCCGATGGCACATACTGGTTGTCTTGCTTCTGTCAGTGTGCCCCAGGGCAGCTGTGGCTACAGTAGTACTTTATCACCACCGTGTATGGAGTGAAAGAATAATGACATGTGAAGCGTCTTTGAGTGTCCAAAAAAGCGCTATATAAAACCAATGCATTATTGTTATTATAAAGTCACTGACGCAAAATGATGTGCTATAAAAAAACGTATAAAATATCCTTAAATGAGCTATAATTCATTGGCGTTCCCGTTTTTGGTTATTTTCTGAGAGGGCACATTTTTACTTTCTCAAATGCTATTGTTAAAGAATGAGAAGATCAGACAGTTTGAAAGGTAGAGTTTGTTTTTTTTTCAAACCAGAATGACCAGAAAGTGAAATACCTCTGCAGTTTTAGTGGCTCAACTCTTTATCTACATGTGCATAATAGATCTGTTTACTCCAAAAAACAACTTGCACACTGTTTTGCTTGCTTCAATAGTTTATTTAACACTTCAAACTTTATGTAATTCGCATGGTGACATTAGGCACAGTGAGCGGAGCACTGGCAATCCTCGTGAGCGACCGTGTCCATACGCACATCCGCGCTCTTGCTGGAGATAGCTGAAGATGGAAGGCTGGAATCTGCATCAGAGAAAAAGGACGTGATGAGTGAGATTGTGATTAGTTTGCATTAAGGTGGAGGCTGTGACTTACCCAAAGGTACGCAGTGATAGGCGGCTTTGATGATTTTGGATCTCAGAACAGTGCACGAGGGATTACAACGGAGAACAGACTCAACGGTTGTGCACCTTGAGGGAACTCCTCCATGGTTCACCTCCCTATCGTGCTTTACAAACACTCGCTGAAGCATGCACCCTAAATAACAAAATAAGACATTTCTCAGTCAGTAATAAAGATAAACAGTTGATATATAAAAGTGTTATTCGAAAAGCAGGGATGGCAAACTTATATAAAACACATGCTTGTCCCAACTGAAACAGTCTTTCGTAAACTTGTGAATGAATCAGACCACAACATGCTTCATACTATTACATTTTTGCATACTGAGAATCACTATTGGACCCTTTTGGCAGAGAGCTTACAGGCTGAGTGAGGATGGCCCTTTACTTTTCTGTCTAAAAGAGCTGATCTACACATACGACAGGGACCAAAAACACATGCATGTAAAAACTTGTGCTATAAGCAGGAGCTACATAGATATTCAAATCTAATGTATTAGATTTCAAAATTGGGTAGTCCAGCTTCAATATTATTATATACGTATCATCAGTTGCATTGTTTTATTTAGTCGGACGATCTTTTCAATAGTACTGACCAGCCTCGTTGCGGCAGGACTCAGCGGTCAGAGTCCAGGAGTGGGCGTGGCTAACAGCATCACTGACAATGCGTTTACTGGGAGTGCTGTACTCCTGTCTGATCTCCCCATCAGCACGGCCACAAATGCCGCAGACCTTTCCCTTCAGGGCGTCCAAAACTATCACCTGTCAAAATAAGACAGTGTTAACAGGTCAGGAAGATTACATGATCTTGGGCCGACATTTAAAAAAAAAATTAAATTGCAATAGACAATTTAATGAATTCCAATTTGGGCAAATATATTTAATTCAAAATGTGTGTCAAAATGGCCAGAAAACTAAATATGCTTACATTGTTAGCTTTACTATTATCAAAATGGCACTTTATACAATGAAAGCCACAACAAAAAGTACATTTAATTGTATCACGCGTTTCATTGAATATGTAAATGAGTTCAATATTAATCCAAATAGTTTATCTGAAGAAGAAATATGATTATTTTTAGCTATTACAATGATGAAGAGACTATTAACATTTAAGAAAATAGAAAACATATGAGAGGTAAATAAAAGAATCTCTCCAAATGTGTCATGTGGTTGTAAAGAGCATAGTTGAAATTGCCAAAACCAAAACTTTTAAAAGGCATAAAACTGCTCTTCATGCTGTTACAGGACTGAGACATGATCAGCACGGATGATCTAAAACAAAACAAGTCTAGGTCTGGCTTTGATGAGGGAACAATGTAAAAAATTCAAAAAAGTTGACTTTGTACAATATGGTCTCCTTTAAGTAAAACCTGGCTTTACCTTTTGGGTGTCTCTGCCATAGTACAGTTCTTTAAGACCAAGCTCAGGAGCAACAATAACAACACCTGCTCCTCTGCGTTTGATCATGGCGCCTAAAACAAAGCCCGAATTAGACATTTTCAGTCTGAGATGAACAATGTGGGAGGTTTTGAACATACCGGCGGCCAATCGCGTCTGTTCTTCTGTGACTACCTTTTCGCTTCCGTCGACTGAAACCACAACCTGACTATCCCTCACAGACAGGTCAACCTTCCTGTGAGAAGTGAAAAGTTAAGTTTCAAAGAATATCAAAATTATAGACTAAGAGGAAACAAAATAATATATTTGCCCAATTAAAAACTATTTTAAAATGTATGTGTCTCTCTGTGAGGTTCGGAACAAATGAACAGATGATTTTAAAAACATGTTAAAACCTGACAGCATAAAAAACTGTATATAAAAGAAGTACAGAAGAGCTATGTGGAGGAGCAAGTAGTGGGGGAGAGGTGAGGGGTCAATGGATAGAGTCCAATAACCCCTTTTCAAGATTGTTCACATGTTTTTTATTGTATCTGTATTGTAAGTTTTAAATAAATTATTACTAAAGCTACTGTGGTACTTACTTGTCTTCAAAGTGCACACGGAGTTGGTTCTGTTGCAGCCTGTCGTCTTTCCTCACCAGAATAGTGAACCGGCGGCTCTCGGTGCAGTCCTGAGCCAGGACCTGGTAGCAGGACTTAAGTGTGGAGGTTTCATGGCTTCTATTGTTAAAACTGGTCAGGGTGTTTTGCTGGAGCTTGCATGTCACTATAATACAAGAAGAGGGTCATAAACTCTAGTTTCAGTGATATCATGACACTTGTAATGATATGTTTCTTACAGGCATTTCCCGCGGAAAACAAGTAAGCTACTTTTGAAGCCCAGTTATCATATGATTGGAGTTCACTCTTGGTTTCTCCCAAAGGCAGGGCGAAGGGAAGACCCAAGTCCAGGCTGAACAGTCTCTATAGTAATAACGAGAACAGCATATCAGATTTGCCAGAATGGAAAAGACAACATGGGAAAGAGATAGACATTGTACCTTTGGGGTCTTCAGAAGAATATCTACATTTGTTTGTGAAGCAATAACCAATGTAAGTTTCATCTCATTGACCACATTCCTGACCTTGTCCATCTTGGCTCCATATTTTTGAAGAGAGTGTGCGAGATTAGAGATCCTGAAAACAAAACACACATGATATAATGAGGATAAATATAAAGGTGATATATAAATGTCCATCCATCCATCCATTTTCTACCCTTTAATCCATTTCTGGGTCAGGGGGGTGGCAGTCAGAGATGCCACCCAAGTCTCATAGCACCAGCCCCTCACTGACCCTCTGCAGGTGGTGAGTCCACAGGAGGACGGCTGCTCTCTGAGTGTGAGCATAGCCTTGATCTTTCAGTGGGGGCTTTGGGTCTTGCCCAAGGACACAACGACAGCAGTCATCAGTGGGAGTCGGTGGAGAAGGTGTAGAGGTGGGAATTGAACCCACGACCTTCAGGCCTTAAGGCCAATGCTCTACCAACTGAGCTACTGTCGCCCCAATAAATGTTATATATATATACATGGTGCATAGGTTTGTACGATGAGATGAGGGCAATTTACATGAGAGCTCAGATATGGGTTAAAAGTGATGACAGCAACTTAAAGAACCTTGCATTGTGATTTATTATTTAAAGAAAATATATTTCTGGCCTTCTGACACTGCCATTTAGCAACAATAATGTATCTAAAATGGTCCCTCCCCTTGACTATCATTCATATTTAAAATAGTCCCTCCCCTTGGCATGACTACAACCAGTAAGATGTATTCTGGAGAAGAATAGTTAAACCTAAAGGATTTGAATTAATTTTGACCAATCACAAGCAGCTAGGGGTCGCACAATGCTTATGTTCCAAAAGTTTCACATTCCCTTTAATTCTGCACCACAAAGTAACTTACGCTCCATTAAAAAAAACAATCCAGAATGATTTTTACTTACTTCTTAATGTAACGATGGAATCTCTTTGGAACTTTTTCCCAGCTGAATTTCAGGCGCAGTGCCATGTTCTCATCCACGCGACCAGTTTCAGCGATGATATCAGTGGAGTAGGGTTTGCAGTCTTGACCCCATGCAACTCTGGCCTAAACATACAATACAATATGATACAATACAATACATAAATAATGCAATATTTTCACTAGTGACGGTTTTATGATAGGTAACGTTACCATCATTTTGTGGGAACTGAGCACCACTCCATCAGCGCAGATCATAGAGCGGTCGTTCTCAGCCAACTTGGCGAAGATAATCTGAACTCTGCTGGTGTCCTTGTCCAAGTATACAGCAGCCTGGTATCCCTGTGGCTTGCCCTCGCTTCTAATCGCACGCACAACGGCTGCCAAGCTGGGTGACAAATTGTTGGACAGGAATCTGGCCTAAAAAAAATGTTTTCATACAGGAATGGATTATTTTCTAAATTTAGTTCAATTACAATAGGTCTTCGAAACACATTTTCAGCTTGTGCTAAAAGATACTATACCCATTTTTTTTTAAAACTACATACAAGTTGTATTATAATCCGTAATCTAATTGCAAACTTGAGCTCATTGATTCAGCTTTGTATGAATTCAAGTGATTGTTGTACAGCTTAAGTTGCGCTAATGCTAATGTTTGCATACGTATCAGCTAGATGGCTCCGTGGGGAAATGAGAAGCCTGTGAGCGAGTTGAGGGGCGGTGATAAACATTCAAACCTTGCAGAAACGGGTATAGCTCCTTTAAAGCTGGGGTACATAACATTCAAACCACATCAATGGGTACAATCTGTGATAACTGGTTAACACACAAAAAATAATTAGTTCCTGGCTCAAAAAAAGAGTTTTATTACAAATTTTCATATGCCTGGTTTGGTCCTATCACTAGTTTAACAAATCAGCTTTTTCAGACATAAAAGTGAAGAGGAAAGAACAACTCTCACTCAGCCCAAAGCATCAAATAGCCATTACTAGTATAAAAAAGATAATTAGGCACCCACCTATGGATATTATATTTGATGATATCCTTAGGCGGAGTACTAAACTCAAATAAAAGAGAATGAATTGCCAACGATACCTTGTTGTAGATGTTCTCAAAGCTCTCTGCACTGCTCTTGCTCTGAGAATTGTGGGTACTGGCACGAGAATGCTGCAACAAAGAAAAAAAGATTTTTCACGTTGAAGCTGAATATTTTATATAACTAAAATTCGGATGAAATGTCAACACAAATAGTACCTGGTGTTGGTGATCCTTGGCAAACTTGACATTGTGAACCTCTTGCTGCAAGAGAAAGACAGGAAAGACTTCATCCTTCCATCTCAGACTTTACATTTCTTTCAAAACACCCTGAAAGTCTAACTCTTGTGTTACTTGCGTTGGGTTTTTTGTGTTTTAACTTCAAGTATGTTCACCACTTTTGGGAAGCTGTGGTGGTTGTGAGGAACTTCATGAATACATTTTTTCTCCTACTTAATACTGACCCAATACGGTTACTTCCAGCTACACATCTTTAAAGTGTGGGACATTTCAGTGGAGCAACTCTGTTTCATAAAGGTTAATTTTGGGTACCTAGATACACCTTTTGGAGGAAGATTTAAAAGTGATAAGCTTTAGTTTTTTTCCCCCCCTGATCAATCACAATGAGCAATGTACATAGGTTGTTGATTTGATTTTTGCGGCAACGCTACTCGTCTGTAAACCTTACTTTCCACACAAGTATCTGTAGGATTCATATTTAAACGAGTCAAACAACATAAAACATGAAGCCAGGTAAGTTAAAAGGTATATAGGCTTTTCCCAAATTTTAGGAAAGAAGCGCCCCCTCCACTTTTTGAATTTATTTGACGAGGACGTATCACCAGAATGATCGACCAGTGGGTGGACCAATAGTGATGATGATCCACCCGGAAGCAGAAAATCCTCCTGTATACCTTTACGGTAAAGTCCTCCAAGACGACTACTGTTGTGATTTAGGGCTACACAAAACTATATTTAATTAAAAATTGAATTGAACTTGACCCTGTAGGGAAATTTGTGTCAAATTTGCATTTGACGCACTCTCAGGCCTCTGTACAATGCTCGGGGACTCATCTCTCGATGTTAATGCTTGGCTTGATTAGAACTACTGGAGCTGGAGGATTATACCTATGCTACATGTTTTTAGTGGTACAGGAGCACCTGGAGGAAATCAATGCAGACATGGGGAAAACATGAAACTCACCCTAGCCCTAAACTGAAACTAACCCTATCCCTCGCAAAGACCTTCTTGCTGAGAAGTCCTAATCACTCTGCCGTCAAGAGTTAGGCTATCCCAATCTGGTCACCATTTCAAAGGACAAGAAATGTTTCATTACATTGCGGTCGCTGGATTGGCGTCTGGATGAGGGTGTGGAGTGGCTGCTGCTGCTGCTGCTGCTGCTGCTGCTGCTGCTGCTGCTGCTGCTGCGGCTGCTGCTGCTGCGGCTGCTGCGGAGCTTGGCCCCGACATTAGCGGGGTTGTGGCTGCGGCGGCTGCTCCTGCTGCTGTCACTGGACGAGGAGCTGGAGGAGCTGGAGGAGCTGGAGGAGCTGCTGCTGTTGTTTGGTGTGGAGGCCAGGATCTTCCTCAGCTTCATCAGGACGCTCTTGTCTTCCAGAACCTCCTCTTTGTGTGCGATGTTGATCACGCGGATGATCTTTGAGGCTTCGTTTCCAGCTTGGATCTCAACCTCAATCTTATCCACAACTCCCTCACCAGCTAAAGGCAAAAAGGAAAATTGTTTAAATTTTTTCAATATTGTTTTTATCATGTCATTGATACATTGGGTTTGGATTATTCATCACAATCTAGAAGATATTTTTAAGATTATGAAGTAACAGATTGTTGTTCACATTTTCGAACGGAACTATTTGAAACTCGAATGGAATACTTTTTAAACACACAGGATACTTACCTTTGCCTTGCAATTACAATGTTGGTCAGAAATATTGCAATCAAATACTTTGCCAAAATTGTGTAGCTCTATTGTTACAAACCCGCAGCTTAAAGAGGATTAATCAATAATTCACATTTCAAATACATGCAGTTTACTACCATAAAAGAGGGCCAGGTACAAGTTCCTTTTAAAAGCGCACTTAAGTGCCATTAATATTAAAAACAATTGAATTAAGGGCAGTAGCATGCTTTTCCCTTTGGAAAATTGTGTATTTTTTATATATATATATATATATATATATATATATATATATATACATTTGTGTGTATTGGCTGCAAGATATATTGAACAGAACATGATGGATTACATTCGAATAAGAACAATACTTAATTAAGCAATAATCTAGAGTAAAGATCAGCGAAGGCAGCATACATACCTCTATCAACCTCAACAGACACATGGTGGTTTCCGATGAGGCTGTAGAGAGGGGACTGCCTGATGAACCAAGCATTGGAAGACTGAATCTTGGCGCATGCTTTAAATCCAAAGGTTTCATATTCACTGCACGTGTCCTTCTCATACAGCTTCTGGGACCTCTGCTTCTGGGAACGTTTGTGTGCCTTGTTATTGGGAAGCAGCTCTGAAGACTGTCATGACAAACACAGAACAAAATCATCAGACAGACATTTAGAAACAGCAGGTATAGTTGTCTGGTAAAAACATTAAACACCGACCAAACTATCAGAGACCAAGCCTTTAGAGGAAAGGCTATCTTGTCTGATTGTGTACTCGGCTGGTATCACGGGAATCATCTTGGCTGCTTGGAGATCTTCCACATTTCTGACAACTGCCATGGTATCAGCACTGTAGGCAAAAAAGAAACATTCAAACTAACTCACAAAAATATGCAGACATTGTGGAAAAGTGGTCAGAACTGAAGCGTCCTTACCGCACAGAGACAATTTTTTCAACGGACTGAAGAGGCAGAAGTGCAATCTTGATGTTTCCTTTGCTGATATCAAGTCTTGCATCAACTTTAACAGGTGCAACCGTATGGACCTTTGCTCTGGATATCAAAGCAGCCTGCACATATTGGGTATTGACGCCCATCACAGCGTAGGAGTGCATGGCAACACTGTAGAGAGATGGACATATAATTGTTATATCATACTTTTATATTATAAAAAGAGAAGAGAGAACTGTTGGAGCACCTTGGATCAACTGAAGCTTCAAGGCTGATTTCAGAGTTAAGAAGCTGCATTCCACTGTAGTCCTGGGGGAGAGGTGGATTGACCGCAGCCTGAACTATTATAATACAAGCATCATTAACATATGAAGTGTTATTCATTGATAATATATAATCTGCACTAAAATCTTACTTTTGACAGATGCTCCAGCCACAGCTGCTGTGTAGAAACTCAGCTCCATGGGCAGACCAATGGTTGTGGGCATGATGCGCCTGATCTCTGAGAACAGCATTGGATGGGTATAATACTTCTCAATTCCGGACAACAGATTGTGGAAGAACTCCTTTCCATGGTTGATAACTTCTGATCTTTTAGACGTCTACAAATCAAAATAACATGTTAGTGTGAATTAAAGATCTTTTGGATGTTCAAAATGTTGCTCTTTTCATTCTACATAGTAATTACCTCCATAAAGTGCTCCATAAGCTCCTGGTCAAAGTTAGCGAAGGCCACTTCCTGATCAAAGAATTTGATGTAAGCAGAGGCCAGGGGCTTGGGGTTTTTTTCAGCCCTCCATTCCTTGATCTGTGAGGAAAAAAAATATTTAAACAAAGTTTCCTTGTGACCAAAAAATAAATAATAAAAGGACTCATACCGCACTGATTATTTCACTCATCTTAGCAGCGTTGGCACTCTTGTCATTATTCTTATTTAACTTCAGAAGCATGTCCTGCAGACCTTCGCCCCGTACTCCAACCTGAAAGATAATATTAGATAATTTACCTATTTAGATAGTTTGCTTATTTTAGACTTGTGCTTTTGTACCTCTAAAACATCAGCATAAGCCCCAGCCACAGAGGCACGGGCTTTGGCCACGAAGGCGGTGGGGAAGATGCTTGCTGCTTTGTTGATTATAAAGGCACTGCCAGCCACTCCAGTCATCCATGTGCCTACCAGTCCAAACATTAGTGTGCTTTGTTAGACAGTGTTGTAGGCGTAATGAGAGAAGACATTGAGTACGTACTGTGGTAGGCCTCCATATACAGAGCTCTGCTGTATCGGAAACTGAGAGATCCCAATTTAGGTGTTAGGAGCCTCAGAGCCACATTACAGGCAGAAGAACTGAAAGATAGTAATAAGATCAGCATGTTTCATAGAGATATTTATCAAAAATCCACAGAATAGAGTTCTTCTTACACAGAAACCATGTCTGGAGCAGTGATCTTGGTCAAGGACCTAATGTAGGTATAAGCAAAGCTTGCAACCTGCAGATTGTGCTCCTTCATCACAGAAGAAGCTATCACATTCACAACGGCCATGGACGGCCTGGTCTCAAACAGGACAACTGTGGCAATCATGCGCAATTCAGCATCATTCTTAATGTTTCTGAACAGATTCAGGGCCACTTGTTGGACCTTAGGGATCATGAAAAAACACAGTTAGCACCCACACATATAAAAGGGTAAAAAAGAAAATAAGTGATTCAATGTTGGGTGTGCACCGTTTTAGGGTCTTTCCTTGCAATATTCCTCAGTGCAGTTGCCGCTTGGATCTTCAAATGCAGGGACAGATGTTCAGCACTGCTGCTAAAACCAGGCAGGAACTTCTGAATTGTCTTCAAACTTCCAACATGTCCAGCGTTGCCGATGGCTTTGAGAGCAAGATTCAGCCTCTCTGGATTAGCCATGTTTTCAGTGGCATAGTCATTAAGTGGCTGTGTAAATATAATAAAGGGAACATGTTAAATCATTGAGCATTACAGTGTACTTAATTACAGGTCTCAAACCACTGACCTTAATATGCTCAGCAGAGCAGTCCTTCTCCTCCACACAGTGTTTAGCAACCAGGGTGCCGTAGCCAAGCATTACAATGTCACGGTAAATGTAGAATTTGTAGTCATGCGCTTGTGCCTTCTCCTTCTCAATGATATGGGCGAGTAAGTTCTTGGCCTCAGTTAACGTATCACGGTTAGCAGTTATCATGTGGAATGTGGACACTAAGGCATTGGTCGCTTCTACAAGTGATTCATGCTCAGTGAGAGGCATCTGATTCCTCATGAACTTCAGAGAAACATGAGTTCCAAGAACAGGGATAGCACTCAGGATCCAGAGCCTGAAACAAAACCCTACGTGTTATAAAACACAGCATTGTATTTACGTGATAATTGTGACCGTTTTTATTTTTTACCTGTAAACTGGTTTATCTTTATAGGTTCTCCACAATTGTTCAATTGCATTGTAGTCAAGCATACGCATCAGCTGGATAAGTTCAATAAACTTCAGAGGGGAATCCTCATGAATTCTTTCAACATTGTATTTCTGCAGGTGATTCAGTAATTCAAGAATCTAAAGCATGAAGAGCCAAACAAGGAAGTTTATAAATAGGATAAAATAAGAATAAACATTGTATAATGTATATCTTCTCAACCTGAGCGTCAACATTGTCGACTCTCAGAAGCTGCACTGGGTTGTGGAGGAGTTCAGTCCCGAACTCGTACTGCAGGGATTCATGTTGGCGATAGTCCGCAGAAACGGGCACAACTGGTTTGTCAGTCTCCTCTAAGAATTTCAGCTTTTGTCTGACAACAATATTTGCATTTAATATGTGTTTGTGGGTAATGAACAGGTTATTATCTCATACTTACTTTGCTTCCATCTGGGCAGCACCTTTGACTACATCGAATGGAGAGAACATCATGATCTCTTTAGTTTGCACTTCCTCAATCCGACTACCAGCATCGGTGGCCTTCAGGATGTAGTTGGTTGTTGTTACACCATTCAGAATCTGAGATCTCTGCAACATAAACAGATGATTTAATTAAGAACGTCAGAATAATTACAACTAAAGCAATAGTAAGAAAATGCACTTACACCATGAGATTCATGGTATTTCCTCATGTAGGCCAAGCCAACCTCTTTTACAATCTTCTCCCGGCAGTTGTTCAGATCCTTAATTTTTGTGATGAAGAAGTTTCCTTCATTCTTGTTCTCAGTGATGACATATTTGGTCAAACACACACCATGTGGCCCAACCTGGAAAAGCATTTAATGACTAAAATGATATGTATTTTGGAAAAAAGGATTCAGGGAGCTGGGTATCTGTACCTCCTGCAGGTCATAGTTGTCCTGTGTGCTCTTGATGTTCATCTGGAACACATTGATGACGCCTTTGTAGATGTTGAGGACGGTCGTGGAGAGACTCGCAGGGGCGAACACTTTGCCCACGTTGCCATTGCTGGACTCGAACTTGACAGTTGTCTGGAGCTGAGCAGCAAGGGCTCTGGTCAACTTAGTAGACTCAGTGTAATCTTCTGGGTTGATGCCATTGTACTCAGAAATCTTGGTTTCTAAAAGCTACAGAAACATTGCTAGTTAGTGATGATGAAAAATAATGGCACACCATAATAATTTTTTTCAACTGTTTTACCTTCAACAAGAAGGTATCCTGAGATTGTGCATGAAGCAAAACTTTGCTTTCTATTTTAAGCCCAGTTTTGGCAAGACCTTCTTCTGGAAGACCTCCTAGAATCTCTGCTTCGTATTTGTACACATAGGTCTTTCCCAAAGAAAATTTGGGGGCTGTAATGACATGTTTCAAATGTTATACTTATTATAAAATAAAATAAAATGAAATCTGGTCTTAACATCTTACCAGGGTTGACTCGGTTGGCCACTGCAAAATCATATAAATAATGGTTTTTAATGTAATTCATAATTTACATTATATATATAATATATATATATATATATATATATATATATATATATATAATATATATATATATATATATATATATATAATATAAATATATATATATATATATATATATTATATATATAATAAATGTTTTTTTTTTAACACAAAATACATAATAATAAAATCGTACCTGCAAGGGCCACGGTGAGCGCCAGCACAAACACCCTCATGATGACTGGTGAATGTGAAGGACCTCAGGCTGATCATCCTTATAAAGCCTCTCTGACTGCCCACATCTGCATCATTAAGTCAACACACATGTCCATGTCAAGTGTTACCCTGTCCTCGCCCTGTCGATAAGAAAAATACAAAAGTATGTTGGAAATGTCACTCGCAAAAAGTTGCCATAACCTGACCATTGGACCTGGCAGCAGAGAAGCGCTGCATCTTTGATGTTCAACTCTGAAAATAGCAACACGGAAAGCATGAAATAAAACTTTAAATAACAGCTGTTTAGAACAAATCACGGGCTTTTCTTTTGTCCCTTATGTCACCCCGTAGACAAATGCGCTGTTATTACTTACTTCCCGGTTGTCCGCATGATCGCACTTGTAGATGTTGTGTTTCAGAAGAACCATGTTGTGTTGGATCAGTGTGTTGTTCTGGACTTTACTTGGTGCTGGTTCTTGTGACATCTGTCCGTGTGAGAGGCCAGAGCTGTGTTCTCCGATCCAGACAGAGAGAGACTTCGAGGTGCAGTGGAAGCACCAACATCATTCATGTGACATGAGCCTGGTGCTTTTGCATTATTTAACGTGAAATACATCGCAAATTATTCCAACCCAAACGTACTGTTCAACATCGACTCGATTACAGCTGTATTTATGCATATACAACTTCACTGTAAATCAGCAGACTTGTTAAGAACGGGATTGTTTCTGCACAGATCTGACACTTTGGTCAGTCTGTGATGGAATAGTGTTGGAACAGTGATAGAACAGTGTTGGAACAGTGATAGAACAGTGTTGGAACAGTGATAGAACAGTGTTGGAACAGTGTTGGAACAGTGATAGAACAGTGTTGGAACAGTGTTGGAACAGTGTTGGAACAGTGATAGAACAGTGTTGGAACAGTGTTGGAACAGTGTTGGAACAGTGATAGAACAGTGATAGAACAGTGTTGGAACAGTGTTGGAACAGTGTTGGAACAGTGTTGGAACAGTGATAGAACAGTGTTGGAACAGTGTTGGAACAGTGTTGGAACAGTGATAGAACAGTGATGGAATAGTGTTGGAACAGTGATAGAACAGTGTTGGAACAGTGATAGAACAGTGTTGGAACAGTGATAGAACAGTGTTGGAACAGTGATAGAACAGTGTATGGAACAGTGTTGGAACAGTGATAGAACAGTGTTTGGAACAGTGATAGAACAGTGTTGGAACAGTGTTGGAACAGTGATAGAACAGTGATGGAATAGTGTTGGAACAGTGATAGAACAGTGTTGGAACAGTGATAGAACAGTGTTGGAACAGTGATAGAACAGTGTTGGAACAGTGTTGGAACAGTGATAGAACAGTGTTGGAACAGTGTTGGAACAGTGGTGTTGGAACAGTGTTGGAACAGTGATAGAACAGTGTTGGAACAGTGTTGGAACAGTGATAGAACAGTGTTGGAACAGTGTCGGAACAGTGTTGGAACAGTGATAGAACAGTGTTGGAACAGTGTTGGAACGCTGTTGGAACAGTGATAGAACAGTGTTGGAACAGTGTTGGAACGCTGTTGGAACAGTGATAGAACAGTGTTGGAACAGTGATAGAACAGTGTTGGAACAGTGATAGAACAGTGTTGGAACAGTGATAGAACAGTGTTGGAACAGTGATAGAACAGTGTTGGAACAGTGATAGAACAGTGTTGGAACAGTGTTGGAACAGTGATAGAACAGTGATGGAATAGTGTTGGAACAGTGATAGAACAGTGTTGGAACAGTGATAGAACAGTGTTGGAACAGTGATAGAACAGTGTTGGAACAGTGTTGGAACAGTGATAGAACAGTGTTGGAACAGTGTTGGAACAGTGATAGAACAGTGTTGGAACAGTGTTGGAACAGTGTTGGAACAGTGATAGAACAGTGATGGAATAGTGTTGGAACAGTGATAGAACAGTGTTGGAACAGTGTTGGAACAGTGATAGAACAGTGTTGGAACAGTGTTGGAACAGTGTTGGAACAGTGATAGAACAGTGATGGAATAGTGTTGGAACAGTGATAGAACAGTGTTGGAACAGTGATAGAACAGTGTTGGAACAGTGATAGAACAGTGTTGGAACAGTGATAGAACAGTGTTGGAACAGTGTTGGAACAGTGATAGAACAGTGTTGGAACAGTGATAGAACAGTGTTGGAACAGTGTTGGAACAGTGATAGAACAGTGATGGAATAGTGTTGGAACAGTGATAGAACAGTGTTGGAACAGTGATAGAACAGTGTTGGAACAGTGATAGAACAGTGTTGGAACAGTGTTGGAACAGTGATAGAACAGTGTTGGAACAGTGTTGGAACAGTGATAGAACAGTGTTGGAACAGTGTTGGAACAGTGATAGAACAGTGTTGGAACAGTGTTGGAACAGTGATAGAACAGTGTTGGAACAGTGTCGGAACAGTGTTGGAACAGTGATAGAACAGTGTTGGAACAGTGTTGGAACGCTGTTGGAACAGTGATAGAACAGTGTTGGAACAGTGTTGGAACGCTGTTGGAACAGTGATAGAACAGTGTTGGAACAGTGATAGAACAGTGTTGGAACAGTGATAGAACAGTGTTGGAACAGTGATAGAACAGTGTTGGAACAGTGATAGAACAGTGTTGGAACAGTGATAGAACAGTGTTGGAACAGTGTTGGAACAGTGATAGAACAGTGATGGAATAGTGTTGGAACAGTGATAGAACAGTGTTGGAACAGTGATAGAACAGTGTTGGAACAGTGATAGAACAGTGTTGGAACAGTGATAGAACAGTGTTGGAACAGTGTTGGAACAGTGATAGAACAGTGTTGGAACAGTGTTGGAACAGTGATAGAACAGTGTTGGAACAGTGTTGGAACAGTGATAGAACAGTGTCGGAACAGTGTTGGAACAGTGATAGAACAGTGTTGGAACAGTGTCGGAACAGTGTTGGAACAGTGATAGAACAGTGTTGGAACAGTGTTGGAACGCTGTTGGAACAGTGATAGAACAGTGTTGGAACAGTGCTGTGTCCGGCTCTTCTCAGGCTCTTGTCTTTGGCAGGTGTTCGTGTTTGATGTGGGCGGTAAAACCTGGAAGTCTTACAACTGGAGCACAGTGACTACAGTGGCAGCTTTTGGCAAATATGACCCTGAGCTCCTGTGCCATGCGCACTCAGTGGGAGCTCGACTGGTGCTTAAAGGTGAAATGGCCTGATTGAATACTCTACTGTATACTTCACTTATTCACTGATCTCATTTCAGGCTACTGTGTGTGTGTGTGTGTGTGTGTGTGTTTTTTTTTCTTTTTTAAATAAAAGGTGATGTCCATCTGGCTGATATTGTAGACAAAAACAACAGAACAGCCTGGATAAAGGAAAAGGTGGTCTTAGCCAAGAGTCAGTTTATGGATGGAATAAACCTGGATATTGAGCAGGCGGTGGAGGCTGGGTCTCCTGAGCAAACAGCACTGACAGAGCTGGTCAAAGAAACCTCTGAGACCTTCCACTCGCAGATACCAGGCTCTCAGGTCATAGACGCAGATTATATGCTAACATCACAAATATCAACATTATGTCAATAATTTGGATTGTTTTATATTTGAAGGTGTCCTTTGATGTGGCGTGGTCACCTAACTGTATTGACAAGCGTTGCTATGATTATATTAACATTGGCAAATACAGCGACCTTCTCTTTGTCATGTCCTATGATGAGCAGAGTCAGATCTGGGGCCGTTGTATTGCTAAGGCAAACGCTCCACTTGAGCAAACACTCAATGGCAGGTGTCAAAAAACTATTATTCTTATGTATCTTTATGATGTATTAATATTTTCAGTTTTCACAAAGGTTATGACCAGTTTTTGGCGCTGAACATTGATCGTAAAAAGATTGTCATGGGTATACCGTGGTATGGATATGATTACCCATGTGTCAATTTGACTCAGGTAAATGTTCCATCCTACATTACACAGTGGCTATCTATGGAGCTGTTATTGTGATTGTTGTTTTAGGACATTTGTTCCATTGAGAAAGTTCCTTTCCGTGGGGCACCTTGCAGCGATGCGGCAGGTACTCAGAAGCCTTACAGCTGGATTATGAAGCAAGTCAACGTTTCACTGACCGGCAGACTCTGGGACAGCAAGCAAAAGGCCCCATACTTTAATTACATGGTACATTTATATTTAAACAACTCTCATTTTGCATGTTAGAATGAAAGAAAAATATAAAAAAGCAAATGGGTGATGGTGTTATTCATATATTCTACAATAATATGTAAATGTCCTGTTCTTTTGTAGGATGACAACGGACAGATCCACCAGGTTTGGTATGACGACCCAGAAAGTCTTTGCCCAAAAGCCAATGCAGTGATGTCTAAAGGTTTGAGGGGCATTGGCATGTGGAATGGCAACATCCTGGACTACAGTGATAATCCGGTTTCTCAAGAGCAGACCGCTGAAATGTGGAACACCCTTTTAGGATGTTAGCTGCAGTATGTTATACAAACACTTCTATTCACTGTCCTTTGCAAAAACATGAGATAGGATTGCTCTGGCATGTACGTCTTCTGTGTAGCAAACAAGAAACGTTGGGGGAAATCAACATGTGTAAAGCAAGTAAAGTACAGGGAATATTCTAATCTGTAGTTGAATGAATAAACTGCATGTTCCGTGGGTTATTTCTGAATACAGAGCTGGTCAGAGTTCGAGGAGAAGACGACTGACTCTTCTTTTGGGCCAGTTCTGCTTTCAACGATCTCACTTCTGTGGCAGCTTGTGTCCTCAGCTGTGCAGCAATACAGTTATTTAGAGCAAGTTGATGAAAGCATGAAAAAAACGTTCTGAAAGTTTACCTTAATTTCAGTCAGAAGCTTCATTTTGGCATCTTCAATTTTCCTTTTTAGGTTTTCAATCTCGTAACTTTTGGTCATTATTTGTATTATCAGTTCATTCTGAAAAAACAACTGTCTTATTACTTGGGTTGATGTCTTCCTGGTTCAGTGTTTACCTTGACGGAGGCTCTGCCCTGTCTTTTGGGGTGGCCCCTGTTCTCCCTGGCCTGGAGCTGATGTAGAAGTTTACTGTAAAATCTTTCAAAGTCTTGTTGCACATTTTTCAAGCTTTCTTCCAGTGGCGCAGTTGATTTTTTGGTTTCGAAATATTTCTTTTTCCAACTATCTCTTGCTAGAAATGTGTAAAAAAAAAAAAGTCTTTAAATACATACATACTAATAATAATAAACAGAATAGATTCTTTAATTCATAATTGCACCATATAGATCATAAAAAAAAATTCTAATGAAAGACAAATATTGTTTAATTTCATACTGTGTCAATTACCAACAAAGATTGTTGACCTCCATCTTAAAACTCGTACCCACCTTGATTCCTCCGGTGTCTGTTTTGCTCCAACAAATCTTTCCCTTTCCTGAGCAGCTCTTGTCTCATCCATTCAAGTTGCTTTCTCTCTTCTCGCACCATTTTGATTTTGTCCATCATTTCCTGTTCTTAAATAAAATGTGCCATCAAGTTTGGAAAAACGAAAATCTATTTTTATGTTTTATCTGAAATAAAAACTTACTATTTGCCCTAAAAGATGAAGTCTCAACATCTTTTTCTAAAGTTATGGTTTCATTATGAGCTTTAATTGTGCGTGGCAACGATGCAGCTGGACTTAGTGGACTGTCCACCATCTGACATGTAAGACAAATCATTATGAATGATTTTAAAAATGATAATAGACAGTCCAAACACATACCTGATTATTTTGCTTGTTTCTGTTGATTACTGCACATGGCTTTGATAATTTTCCGTTCCTGCAAGTGAGACCATAAAGCGAGGTCAAGATCATGTGTAATTTTTGCTGTAATCTGGCCTATTTACACTGTCTACAGATGTTCATGTCCCTATCAAATACATATATTATTGAAAATATATTTGCAGTTTAAGAATACCAGTCTTTGGAGAGGTCTGAGTGTCTGTCCTCTGAGGATTCGGCCATGCCTGAATCCACACAACCTCTGATGTTACCAGGTTTTGTCTTTTTGCATATTTTCCCTTTTGGTGACAGCAGTGATGGGGGAGAATCTGCCTCAGAGTCCTGCAAAACTGAAGGTACAGCATGAGTCATACATTTATACGACTAATAGTGTTGCCACAGCAATAGCGGGGCATTGTAATCGTCTGAGATGAAGACATTTTTGGATGATCTCTGGTGTTGGTGTAGTGTGCACTCTCAAACAAACAAACAAAATGAATATTGAACAAAAATCATGCAAATATCATTGAAAAAAGATCAATTATAATATCAATGCTCACACAAAGTCATTTTTATCTTGATTTTTGATTTACCCAAGGCAAGATTAGCCAATGGAAATGCCTTGTTTTACTTCAATGAAGACCAAAAACCAATTTATTACTTTGAATGAGAAAAAGGTTGATGTTCCAATAACAGTAGGTCAGAATGCAAAAGTGGGTAGGCTATACATGACCATACATTAAATAAACTTGTGTTTAGTCAAAGTATGCCAGTACTCAAATCAAGATACATTTTGCGTCATTCAAGAAAACAATTATTTTATATTATTTTAGTAATATTTGTAGTGTACAGAGCAATGTTTTAGACAACCCCCGAACAAACTTCATATTCATGTGAATGATGAGACAAATCTAAATGTTTTTGTTCATATTCTTTAAAAATGAAGATAATTTTCAGTGTTGTGTCTGTAGTATCTCACCATTTGGAGATCTTTCACCTAATTCCAGATGTTTATGTCTGTAATGTATAATCTCCCACACCAATCGAGCTGATTTACCATTGTTAACAGCGGCCGAACACTGCTTTTGAGTCTTGACCCACTTCATTTTGCCGAAGCTTTCCCCTGGGGGCTCGGCCTCAGATAAGCTGTGGCCTCGCTCTTCCCTCTGGTGGTGTTTCTCCAGAGAAGCCACAGGGGGGCCCTGGTGAGAGCTGTGGATGTGGGGGAGTTTGAGCTGCAGTTTGGGCCCTGTTGGTTGAGGGCTGGTCTTGAAGGGAAAGCAGGAGTGTTTTCCTGAGGAGCAGCTGCTGTCTGGGGTGAGGGACTCTGGACGGACCCCACTGTCACTCTCAACCAGGTGCAACAAGTAAAGCTCTGGCTGTGGGGCCTGAAAAAAAGCACAGATTATTTAACTATGCAATATAGAAGTGCTAATTAAAGCTGGGGTACCTAACTTTCAAACTACAAAAATAGAGCAATGTAATCAAATCCATGTACGTAAGTAGTTTGGGTCGAGCAAGTTTTTTAATGCATTTTTTTTCTGGCCTCTGCCACATGTTTAGATCAGCTTTTTCAGACCTCCATCACTTTGACAATAAGCTCTCAGCCCAAATAGTGGCTCACAAGGCTCTTTCTTACAAGTGAACAAAAGGTAACATAGGTTCTAATAACACAATTGTATGGTGAATGAATCCATAAATGACTTGGCTGACTGGCATCACTTATGTACATATTGAATTTCATTATATACATGATTGATTAAACCAAATACTTGTAGCTTATACTGTTGCTAGTTTGAGAAGAAGGACTCGTTGTTTTACTACAATTCTAACATTGTCGGACTCAACAAAGACATTCAAACATTTCACACAGTTACAATTGTGTAGTTACAATCTACGCACGTATGGAGGGGCAAATGTTTTCACTTTGACTTCCAGTTCTTGCTTGGTTTTGACCTGCAATAAACACAGACTTTTGTTAATGAGAAAGACACGGCAATAAACCCAGTAACGATTGTTAATCAAAGTGTCGGCTTTGTTTCTGTTTACTATCTGCCTGGTGGGACAGAGGCACCAACAGAAAACAGCAGTAATGAATACCGCACTCACCAATGCTAAACTGTGACCCAGGCATTTGAGAAAGAAGAACTTGTCCATGCAGCCAGACGACCCCCCCAGAAGGGCGTCCAGCTTACTCCTTAAAGATTGCAATGTCAAATCTGGATAAACTCTAGCAACAACAAATAATCCAATAAGAACAATGTATTTTCAGTGCGACAGGTGCAATCCTAAAAATATGCACACTCCCTAGGGATCTGATTTTAAACAGAAACATAATAGGCCATTTTTACAGAACTGAGAATTGCTTGCAAGAATAGAAGAGAAAAGTGGGAGGGGAAGAGTGGTGGTTTACTTTTCTGAGTGTGCAAGACATTACAGGATACTCTTCCATGTGTACATTAGAGCTGGGGTTCTTCCTTTTCAAGCCACAAATATTGACCTACGTAATAAAAACTAGTTCCTTGCTCTCAAAAAAGTTTGGTTCTTTTAGGTGTTTTCATATGCATGTAGTGGTATATGTCACATTTTTGCTTTTTCTGAGAAAACTGAAAAAGAGAGAACCTCTTCATCAGCTTTCATCTCAAAGGGTCAAATAGTGACTCTCAGAGCTCTTTCTATGCAAAAGATACAAATGGCACATTATGATCTGATCTGTGATCCAAGACCTAGTGGGAATATAATGACGTTAGTGACTCTGTTGAGACACAAAATGTATTATTATTGGAAGAAAAACAAGTTTGGTACCCCAACTTTATTAAAATACAACTCTACAATTATGAGGAACACCTTTTAAAACAAGTATATAGTTTGGGTGCCATATTTCCTTCCTCATCCATTCTAATGCATTCTAATTCTAATGTTTGCTTCTAGAGCTATTTCTTACCTGATGAAGCCGCCTGATGCAAAAGTGTGGATAGCTTCTGCGGGAACTTTATTGAGCTTCACGTTCCACTGGTCAATAGGAACAAAGAGCACATGGAGCTCCACAAACTGGCCACAGCACAGACAAATACAGCGATCATTAATGAGGATTATCGTTTGTATTATTACAATAAGGAACATGCAATACTTGACCTCACATTACCTTAGAGCTGACAGGCCTCTTCTCCTCAGGATGTGTTGACTGAACAGAATCCATTCCTGATGCAGTTAGAAGATCCACAAAATGAAGCTGTTGTAGTGTTTGCAGGGTCTTGATTCCCATAAGGTGGAGGCGGCGTGCACTGTCCACTCACAGGTCAGTTTAACAGCAACACACTCACGGCCAGTGGAATTTCTTTTACGAGGGTGCCAGCCCTGGTTGCTCTGGTGCTGATGATGACAACTGCTATAAAAAGTGGGGTTCATGAGAAAAGGGCACAAGAAACACATTCTAAGCATTTAATGACTTTGTAAGGATTGTGCACCTGGAAGCCTAAAACTTTTTGGTCTCTTTCTATTAAAATATGCTTTACAAATAAGAGGATTATTGACTGTCTCTTGATAGCTTCTATTTCTAAATTGTTTCCCCATAATTACATTTTGTGTATCCCAATAGAAATAATTGTTGGAGTAAAATGGGGTTTCAAAAACACTCAAAAAAGCTCAACAAAATATTGTTTTAAAATAACAAAACATGCTGTGCTCGACTTGAAAGAAATGTTTTGTTTTGTATTCTTGAAGGGTTTCTCTTTTTCCACTGAAAAAAAGCTTTAGAAATTTATATGGGCAAATTTTATGTGGTTTGAAAGTCAGGTACCTTAGTGTTGAGAGAAAGTGAATAGAATGAAAAAGACGTTCTATTTTTATTTCATTTGTTTGATTGGAGAGGGCCGTTTCAGTGCAAGTCTGACAGTGTCCACTAGGGGGTGCGCGGTCTCATCCATGGTTTTCACCCTGGACAAACCCGGAAAAGGGGCGTTTTCTGTTATTATTGCTAGAGAAGTTGTTAGCATTAGCCGCTAGCTGTGCAGTTTCGTTTGTCTTTTATAACACTAAAAGAACTCCACAAAGTTTGACAATGTCTGGGTCATCCAACATTGTAGCGATGAAGAAGATTGTTCTGCAGCTGAGACTTGAAGCAGGCATCAACAGAGTAAAAGTACGAACCAATATTGTACATTGTTTAAATAAATATAAGGCTTTTTGGGCGTAGGCTAACGCTAAACTAGACTTCACATTTGTAATTTATCATATTGCTCAGTATTGTGCGTTTTGTGTTTATATTGATGTAAAAGTCTAATGTGTGGATCCACAGGTGTCTCAGGCCGCGGCGGATCTCCAGCAGTTCTGTCTTCAACACGCTCCGCAGGATCCGCTCCTCACCGGCATGTCCTCCTCCAACAACCCGTTCAGACCACAGAAAGTCTGCTCTTTTCTATAACAGCCTCTGCATCGTCCTCCGTGAGCATCTTCGTTATTGCAAAGTGTTTTAGCCTTGCAATTTCACTAAACGTCATTATATTCCACTAGGTCTTGGATCATTGCACTCGGGCTCATGGACGGGATCGACCCTTGAGTATTAACCACAACTGTGTTAAGACGTGTTTTTTCTACACATGGACCACACCTTTATTGTTTCCCTGGGTTTGTGTGCCTTATTGCGTGCGTAATTTCCTAACTTTCCTACTTGTAAAGATGTAAACTCATGATGTGCCTTTTTATACATGTACACTATATGTACATAGCTATTATGGATTGCTACTGCTGTTGACAAGCATTAGCTGACATTAAAGCCACATTTAAATGTATATAAACTGCTGGAATATGGAAAAGGGCATATTGCTTTACTTTCTTTGTAAAAAAAAATATCTAAAAGATGTGGATACACTTATTACAGCTGTATGATTAGTAATTGTTTTTACAACGGTTTTATTTTTTACTCAAATCTGAGCTAAAAATACTTTATAACACAATATCCTGATTCTGTAGAGCTAAGGTTTGAAAGACTGCCCGACCGTCATCAAAAAAGATTTGAAATATTAAAGCATTGTGAGCCTCCCACATCCTTTTAGTCCTTTCATGTTCACAACAATGTCCAACTTCAAACACGCAGCAGTTTATCAAAGCTGGAACTTTCTTCTGCATGAATCCATATCATGACGCTGAAAAATACACAGAAATGATGCATGAATTCACAAGAATTTTACACAACTTTCCTAATTTATGTCTTTCAATTCAATAAAACTCACTTTCAAGACCCACTCGTACTCTCCAAACTTTGAATCAAATGTGCCTTTCTGTAACGAGCGGAGTTTAAGTGTAAAGCGAGGCCCCAGCTCCTGAATACCAACCTTCTTCTCATTTTTGAAGATATATCTTAAAACAAAGACAAGATGTTGGATAATTTAGAACACTATGTTTACAAATGTTATGTCAATTAAATAGTACCTGTGAAATCTAAAAAAGATGAAGTCTCGTTGATTGTGGAAAGTTGCCACTTGCCGACCCACAAACTGAGGATCTTGTGGAAATAATGCTGCGAACAGACGCCCAATGCTGTGACCCAGACGAGTGGAGAAGTTATTTAAAATGACCTCTGGGTGATGTACTGTTGGATCCTTGCCACGTCGCTGAAATTAAATATATTTATTATTTAGTCAAGTTAGTAAATGATTGAAAAGAACAAAGCTAGTACTTATTTGCTTATACATATCAAATAAGCGTTAATGATAAAACATATCCAATGTATGTGCTGATACCATTGATATTTATTATACTGATATGACCCTTTATCTTGGGTAAATTGAGTCCCTTCAAATTACAGATGTATATTTAATCAGAAAGGATAGCTTCACAATTCTGATATAGGGGTTAGTTCCAAAATGTGAATGGGGTCTTCCATCCATCCATCCATCCATCTTCTTCCCTTTAATCCATTTCTGGGTCAGGGGGGTGGCAGTCAGAGATGCCACCCAAGTCTCATAGCACCAGCCCCTCACTGACCCTCTGCAGGTGGTGAGTCCACAGGAGGACGGCTGCTCTCTGAGTGTGAGCATAGCCTTGATCTTTCAGTGGGGGCTTTGGGCAAAGTGGGGTTAAGTGTCTTGCCCAAGGACACAACGACAGCAGTCATCAGTGGGAGTCGGTGGAGAAGGTGCAGAGGTGGGAATTGAACCCACAACCTTCTGGGCTTAAGGCCAATGCTCTACCAACTGAGCTACTGTCGCCCATTGGGGTCTTCCAATGGATCTATAATAATAACTGGATAGGGTATTACTAGTTAAGAGTTGTCCCACTGACGGGCACAGGAGGCGCCCGTGGTAAATTCATGTGGGCTACCTAGAAAAAAACTCCCATAGAACTCAATGTAAACAAAACCAGCTCGACCTCAGCTGACAGAGAACCTACAGCTTTCAGAAAGGTCGGATTTTGTGGGGATTTTAGTGTCCCTTGTCATCCTGAACTTTTTTTCCTTCTTAAATCCTTTCTTTAAAGCTGCACTAACTGACTTTATTTTCGTATTCATTACGAAAATGCTATCCATGTCCATGTAGTGCATTGGGATAAACGTCCTTTTGAAGAATAATTAGCGCAGATTTGTGCTGGCGTGACATTATATTTTAGATCGAGTTTTGATGAAACAAGGAAGAGAATGTGTTTCGGGTCGCAGATTGTGACCAATCACAACGGATCACTAGCCCCCACTTTCGTGAGAAATCTACAGGTTCGTTAGCATAGACGGCCGAGTTAGCACAACAAGCCGAGGAGCTAACCTGAAACTTCGTGTCTTCGTCCCCGGTTACTGCTTACACAGCGAAACAGCCATCCAAAAGAAAGTCCCATTCCTCCGTGCTTCCCGGTTCTATCGTTCTATGGTCACGCCATCCACGTGTAAATCCATATTCATGTATTATCCATATTGGGAGACACTAGCTCCGTCCCAACAGTGGGTGTGTGTGGGGGCGATAGCTTCGTGGGTGCGGGGAGGGGAGCAGAAAGAGCGAGGCCAGCGAGTCCGCGGCTTCAAAATCCCAAAGTCAGTTAGTGCAGCTTTAAATCCACACTTTACTGCCACAAACTCTGCTCCTTTCCTTCCCGCTCTGCTGCTGCTCTGATCATCAGCTCTGATTGGTCAGAGCGCAGCTGAACCCCTCTGTGCACGTGCATGAGAGCCACACACACGTGTATTTGGCGCAACGCATCATGGGAGATCATCCACTGCGCAGAACTGGGAGGACCAGACGAGTTCTGCTAATCTCCAGGTCCCAGTGAAGTCCCATGCGCTACTGAGCACAAGCCATTCATTTGAATAGGGCGCCATCTTGGATCACCTCCCATTTGCACACCAAATTTCAACTCAATGGGTCCAGTAGTTTTTGCACAAAGCCTGGCTTATGAGCTACAATAACCACTGTACCTGCAAAAGCACATAATTCATAGTCCATGCCTTCAAATGTAAAAGTTTATATATTTGATCAATAAAATAAAAAAATATACAAGCTTCATGCTTGTGAATTCTAGAGTAAGTGGTATATGGACAGCAAACTCCAAAAATGAGTAATTAAAATAGCCCTTACCCTTATCTCCTTCCGTAGTCTGACGCTGCTGACCTTGAAATGTGCAGTTGGGCCGTCAGGGAGATGACAGAGCACCAGCCCATCTAAATGATGGTTAAAGAACACGCTTTGTATAGTTACTTCATCAGCAACAGTTTCTGGCTCATTTTGAAACAAAAGGATACTGGGCACTTTGCGATCCTCATTGACCACCATGAGGTAAGTGAAGTCCCTCGCAATGCATTGAGGGATGATTCTTTTCAAAGCCAAACCTCTTCGGTAATAAACATGGGCATTTGGAATTACATTCGCCATCTGTTCACAAAATCTTACAGTTCTCTGTAGGGACATAAACAATCATATTGTAAAACTATCCACAAATAGAACAGACTTTTACTTCCTCTTAATTTAGGAACGCATCGTACTCCTCTAGGCCGGTCAGATGTCGTGATAAGGACTTTGGGATTAGTGAGTCCATTGAAGTAAGCAGCAAATTCATCGGTTTCTTCATCAAATTTGACCTGACCAAAGTGGAACAAAAATACAAAATTACACTGGAAATGGCAGAAAGTCATAAGTAGCTCTGAAACAGTTGTTTTATGTTTTACAATTGTTATTTTTCTTGCCTTTTTCTACCCGAGATGTATGGTTTTACACTGGTCCAGACTGGAGTGGAGAGGATTCATGGTCCAAAACTTGTGGATCGGGCAAAAATCCACAGGAGTGCAAACTTTTTGAAAAATGCTAATGAAGCATTCAGCATTTTACTTTGGGCTAGAGCAGAAAAAAATAGTCCGAACCCAGCGGCTACTCTACCTCTGCTGCTGTGCCCTCAAGTCTTGTTGTTTCTTAATACCATTGTTAGCTAATTTTAGCATTATCTATTTGTTCTGGTGCATGCGAATGCACCAGATGAATGCATGCTTTTCTGCTGCTACTAGACACCTGAATTTCTCCTACAGGAGATCAATAAAGTATCTATCGGCAAATGTCGAAGTGTTTGTAGTTTATAACGATGGGGTTCCCTGGGGTCCTGGGTACTTGCGCTGTGACTTGTTGTGTAAATCAGAATTTTACTTTGACACTTTCCTGTCTTTCACATTGCAAGTCCCATGTCGACAAGCCATATCTGGTCTGCTGTATACAGCAGGTTTATCATCCACATGGAACAATGTAGACAATTTCCAACATTTTAGCGCTTGCAACCGCCCACATTTTGATAAGGCATATTTGGGCGTCATGATGCCCCCATCACGCAGGTGAGCGCTATATATAAGTAATATAGAATTGTGTTAAACATATTATTCCTGTGAGATTTATGTGTGGTCAAGCAATGGGCTAGAACAGGACGGGCATTTTTTCTGATTGAATTCCTGGTACAGCTGATCCCCGGGAATTTAGCTCAAGAAGCCTGGGTCTTTGGTCCGTGTGAAAATGCCTTTTGTCAATCAATATTACCTCTTCATCATCTGGATCAACTGTGGTTTCATCATACACCCTTTGATTTTCTATTGTCTTGGGGACCTCTTTTGGGGGGGCCTATACAAACAAAATGACACAAAAAAACAATTAAGCAAAAACTTGTGAAGATAATGAAGTTATGAACCCAAACCTACCTTGTCACCCAAAGCCTCTCGCTCTTTTTTCCTCTTCTTTTTCAGTATCATTTTTTGCTGAAAATACACAAAATAAAAGTTGAAAGAAGATGGCAGAGAATAGTATTTAAGTATGATATGCTATTGTGTTTTTTATTGATCATTACTTTTATTGAAATTTCTAATTAACCCTTACTAAACCCTTGCTCAGTTTGCAACCAAGTGTGAAGCGGCTGGGATGAGAATCAGCACCTCCAAATCCGAGGCCATGCCGTGCTAAAAAAGGAGAGGTCCTTCCTCAAGTGGAGGAGTTCAAGTATCTCGGGGTCTTGTTCACGAGTGAGGGATGGATGGAGCGTGAGATTGACAGGCGGATCGGTGCAGCGTGCGCAGTTATGCGTTCGCTGTACCGGACCGTCGTGGTAAAGAGGGAGCTGAGCCGAAAGGCAAAGCTCTCAATTTACCGGTCAATCTTCGATCCCTCCCTCACCTATGGTCATGAGCTTTGGGTAATGACCGAAAGAACGAGATCGCAAATACAAGCGGTCGAAATGAGTTTCCTCCGCTGAGTGGCTGGGCGCTCCCTTATGGTGCATTCAGACCGCAAACGCTCAAACGCTGAAGCCCCGCTCACCAGACGCACATTCTCTAGTTTTCAGACGCAGAGGACTTCACACCAGAACGTCCTGACGCGAGCCGGAAGTACCGTAAGTAGCCGGCCGGCTCTGATGCTAACAGCTATGCTAGCGGCTTCTTGTGTACAGATCTTCTCCAATATTCAGCTTTGCAGCGTGTCTTTGCTCACAGACATTCCACTGGCTTTATACAACAGTAGTATGTGTTCACGGAGGTGCCCCATACGGTTTTTAGTATTATTAAACCGTATTTTCGCATCGGCGAACACACTCAAAGCAGTTGCATAAGGTCATGGGAGCATGACAACGCATATATCTACAAGCACAGAGTCCCCCATTGTCAACCCTGGTTTAGTCCTGGTATAGCTCCTGTTTTGGCTGTTTACAGTATGTTCAGTCTGCTCGCGCAGACCACCAATGTCCCCGTGACCACTTTGCGGCTCTCTGATTGGTCGCTGCACGAACGTCCCGAGGAAAAGTTGGGCAAAGTTTATCTCCTTTGGGCGTCCATTTTCCGCTCCTGCTCCTCCCCTTTCACTTTCCCGCCAAGTCCGTGCGGCTCTACTCAGCAGTCCCCAAGTGCGTGCCGGGAGGTCGGTGCGTTTTGACGCTGCAACGCGCGTCACCATAGACTTTGCATTGAAACCCGACGTGACGCATGATCCGGTCTGAACGTGGCTTTAGAGATAGGGTCAACATCCACGTCAAGAGGAACCAGGTGAGGTGGCTCGGGCATGTGTTCCGGATGCTTCCTGAGGAGGTGTTCGGGCACATCCCACCAGGGGACCCCAGGGAAGACCCAGGACACGCTGGAGGTACTATGTCTCTCAGCTGGCCTGGGAACGCCTTGGGGTCCCCCCGGATGTGCTGGAGGAAGTGTGTGAGGAGAGGGAGGTTTTGGCGTCTCTGCTTAGACTGCTGCCCCCGCGACCAGGCAACGGATGAAGCGGACGAAAGTGGATGGATGGATGGGTAAACATGCATAACAAACCAAGAAAGAAGTTATCTTATTTAGTGATGCAAGTGAATACAGTTCTCCAATTAAACCAAGCACGGTATAATCACGCACAACAGTTAGTTATATTCATAGACATTTTTTTCATGTTCGCAAAATAGGCCCACACATAAAGAATACTTAAATCTATAATTTCAAATACATTTTTACATTGTGCCTTCATTAACACAGCTCTTTTGGCCTGCTTAGGCTCCAGTAAAAGTCCACACAAGCAATATGTTTAATATAATTCCTCGTTCTCAAACCAGTTTGGTTTTCACATGGATGTCATAATTGTTCTCTCACATCTTTACATGAGCGTTTTCAAACAGAATAGTGAAAAGGTGAGGAGCACCCTCTCTTTACTCCTGAGATATAGGCAGCATATTGTGGTCTGATTTTTCCACAACATGTTACATGATAAAGACTCTTTCTGTTGAGACAAACATGTATTATTTTGGGGAAACGGTGGGGTACCCCAACTTTAACGCTTCTTCCATTAGGACTCATTGGTTGAAAGTAAGACTGATCAACAATGCGTACCTTCCTCTTGTCCTGCTTCAGCTTCATGAACATGACATGTCTGCGCTGTTTGTTCTTGATCTCAGACACACTGAAGGTGGGAGGGAAAGCGGAGTCAGCCTCAGTGCTCTCCATCTTGACTCCTTCTTTCGTGTCCACATGGTTAGAAAGGACGCTTTCAGCATCTCCTTTGTCACTCGCGGGATTGTTTTTCACCTTCTTGCTCTTCTTTTTCTTGGCTTTGCGCGGTTCGCTGACTTCGCTGACGGGGACTTCAGTAATGTCCATGATTGTGTGTTTTGACTGTTTTCACGTGCTGCTCTGCGCCCTGAGCTCGTGCACTCACATCCGGGAACAACAGGAAGTGAACATCAAGGATTGTGCGACCTCGTGCGGCAAGGGAAGAGTGGTTTTGGGGACATGCATGTTATTATTACAGATCCATGACATGCAAGCTATGTAGGCCCAAATTAAAATGTTTTCCTTTTAATAAAGAATAATGACAATCTTGATAATAATTACTTTTTTCAATGTATAAACGTAATACACCACCTTGTTGACGTTGGTAAACGTCAACGTCAACACTTAAAAATAAAATAAAATATAAATAAATATATATATTTATATATATATATATATAATAAATAAAATAATAAAATCAAGTCGATGTAGAACCATGGTCCCTCGACCTCTGAATGTCGCTGCTTCACAAAGAGGAGATTTTGAATGTGAGAAATAATAACACGAATGTGATACATCCACCTTTTTCCTTTTCCCCCCTAAATATCCATCCATCCATCCATCCATTTTCTACAAATAATAATCATAAAACTATAAACTTAATCCTATGTAGTTACAAACAATAATAAAAAGTATGTAAAAAGTTAACTGCATTCTTTTTTTATTTGATTTGTTATCACAAGACTATTGAAATCTCAAAAAGTGGGGGACACACGTTTTAGTATAATTGCTTCTATAAAAGATTTTTATTTGAATAAGGACAGTACACATTGATCAACATTTCTGATTTGAGCCCACCACAAGACCTTCTCTAACAACACCCATGTCTGCTGCCGTTGTCTCCTAGGGCAAGACACTTAGCCCCACTTTGCCTGAAGCTCTCATGGAAAGATCAAGGCTGTGTCGTCATTGACAGAGCAGCCATCCTCCTGTGGCTCTGACTACCACCTCCTGACCCAGAAATGGATTGAGAGGAAGACAATGGATGGATGGATAGTTAAAACATTACATTTAAAAACATATAAACATAGAACACAATAGCTTACTACAAATCATCAATGGTCACAAGCTTGATTGTCCAATAATCATGTTTATAACGTGAGTTTAAAACTCCTGAGTGTAGTGCTCTTTCGTATATGGTCTGGTGTTGTGTTCCAGAACTGAACAGCAGGCACTGAGAAAGCTGACTGACTGAAGGAACTTTTTAGTGGGACAAAACAATTATCTCTCTAAGTTTTCCCAGGTTAGTATCTTATATTTGGCCAAGATGCTGCAGTGATGGTGCCGAATGTTTTGGCTAATGACTTGTGTTATATGAAGTTTGGCTTCAAATAGTGAGCCAAATTGGGGCTGTTTGCATCAGGGTGAGATCAAGACTATCAGTCACGTTGGTTTGTTTCAGGTGGGGGACTTCCTGATGATTCCCATCCTCAACCCCCTTTAACCCTTGTTGTTTCTCTCCCTATTCTTCCTCCCCTCCTGTTGGCATCCTTCTTAAATATGTGGTGTTCTTTTTTCAGCACTCTTTCAAGAGACATTACAATTCACCTTGGAGAGACCCATGAGGAAAATGCTGTTAGACTTATTAGATTTAAGCATGTTTATTGATTGAGCATGTTTGGCGCCCTAGGCCCGGGAGGGATGCTGTTGAGCACGGCGCTTGCTCGCGTGCATAATCCTCCCCGGGGCCTAGGTACTGGTGACGGCAGAGGCAGTAGGCAAGCACGCTTCGATGAGAGAAGGAGGAGGTGGGGCGGCGGAGGCTTGCAGACTTCAGAAGGCCGGGAAGTGGGAGTCTCCGGCTTTTAACTTGCTGTCCTGGTGGTTATTGGTTGACTGGATGTGGGCGTTGCTGGTATTGATGAGTCGAGGAAGAGCAGCCTGTGGCCTGGGCAGCAGCAGCCGGGTCTACCACAGTGAACTTTCGCGAAAGCTCCATTACAGTAGATTATGTTATTTTTTGTAGTTTGTAATTTCGACAACACTCACACACACATTTATCATCTCTACACCCTCTCGGGAGTGTAGGCACATCCTTTTCATTTTAAATCCATTGTGGTGATAGGTATTGAGAGGATCTTGTTGTTGCCAGTGTTGGGCAAGTTACCGTGGCAACTTGTGGCTTGTTGGTTCCCACCACAACCAGTGATAATGAATGGAAAATGATCAGACTCTGCTTAGGTACAATAAAGAAAGATTTAATATATATAAAGCAGATTACAAGCAAAAAAAATAGATTAACAACAGCAATATGCACATGTTTTTGCAGCAGTGGGATGGCTCTCTTGTCATAATTATGTGAGAACATCGTCTGCTATTCAGAAGCAGCAATGATTACATTTGTCCTCTAGATGTGAGCATACAAGCTGGTCTTTTTTATTTTTATTTTTAAATCAAAGTAGAAAACAACTCTTGTAGAGACATAACCAATTGCAAAGCAAGGCTTCAAGAAATAAAATGAATAAATACATGAAAATACAAATCTACATTGAATGTTAAAACATCGTGTACCACAAGGTAGACTCAGTGTCCAGTGTCTGAACACAGAAACAGATCTTCAGGTGGATTTTTTAGAATTCAGATTTGTTTCTTTCAGTATTTTCAGAGAGGATAAAGCAGGTTCTATTTCCATTTGCTTTTATGGATATGATATTTACTCATCATTATTATAATATTTACAATTGTCACATAGTATTTTGTGACAATACAAGTATATCTTATTTTGTTTAGTGTGTCAGGATTTCAATTTTTATATAACCAATTGTAAATATCGTCCCAGAATTGTTTTGATTTAGAGAAGGATATAAACAAATGTTCGATAGTTTCTGGCTCCTGCTGACAGAACTCAGATGGTTCAACTTCAAAACCTCAGCCGATGGATAATAGCTGTTTATTATTTCTATGTTGCATTTCTTTTATCTGAGGCAATACAGGCTATTTTACAATTTTCCAGTTTTTCCCAATTTCTATAGGATTTTATAACTAACGTTTTGATCATATTCATGGTATAAAGCATAGGTTCTCTAACTTTTCACACCAAGTACCACCTCAGAAAATACTTGCCTCTCCAAGTACCACCACAAATGACCAACACCACACAGTAGCGTAATAAGCCGAAGTATTCATCAAAAACAAGGCAGAGGTTTCATTCCTAAAGAGGTATATTTAATATTGTCAGCCATTATAACATTATACAGAGGGAGAACCACTGTTTTACAATTTCAACATTATGACCTCTTAACATCCGCCTCATTTTGGCTCGTGCACAATGGTTGGGCATACCCAAATGTCTTTGCTTATTTAAAAACACATCTTACATCTCACATGCTTGTGTGATGCATCATTTTAAAGCTAGAGCCTTCTAGTTTATGTAAAAAAACACAAAAATAATGTTTGTCATTCCTATTTTCCTCTGCATCCTTTGAAGTTAGGGAAAAAAACCCAATTTTTTTAGCCTCGCCTAACATTTTCAATTTCTAAAGGCCCTAAAAAAGGCATACTTCATTGTAAGTTCACAATATTCAAACCCTCTGTTCATTGTGTTGTTGACAACAACTGTCTGAAGTTTCAGACTTCTAAGTTTTATAGTTTTTATGCAGTTTCTCCTTTTCATCAAGTAGTGCACATTTGGCACAATTTGGCACAAGTGTGCCAAATTGTGCCAAATATCTTTACTTACATTTAATCATCATAAAAACAATATTTTTTATTATTGGTACTTATAAGTTACTAATCTATGTGTGTTTTTCTTTTTTAAATGTCAAAGTTATTTTTTTATGAGTGTAAATTCATTGCAGCTTCGAGAGCGTCTTTTGGCTTCCATTACGCACAATTGTCCAGGCACAACATAAGACAGGACACCATTGTCCCACCCCTTGTTCGAAAGCTTTCCTCATTGGCTACAAGGACATGTCAATCGTAAATCCCGGAAGTAAAAGCAAACAAGTTGGGATCACAACAAAGATCAGTGATCAATGCGCAAACAGCAGCACTAGCTGTACTCGCGGGAGCTCTTGCAGACCCAAAAATTGGTCTAGCTTTTCGGGAGTAGTCTCATTTGAAAGATAAGGAGCTAAGGAACACGTAGATACCAGATGTTTGGGTGAAAAACAAAGCTAAAAGTCCGTTAAAAGTGAAAGAGTAACATCTGTGCTCTTTTTTTTCGTTTTTTTTTTGCTAAAGATAAATGCACATTTTTGGATTATTTCTGCAGAATGGATTTTACTTTGGGAAATACAAGTGGATATAATTTTCCTTTGGACTGTTCCAGAGAGAATGATGTATTGCAAGCTGGGGGGAGAGCTGATTTATTTGTACAGCACAAGCCCAAAGGTAAAAAACTATTTCGGAATTGATTTATTTTGTGGCCACATTATGTGTTATATCTTTTGAATGCAAAGTCTGATGTAGTTTACACTTGTATATAAATGTAGATAAGAAAATAAGCTTTAAAATGATATACAGCTTTTGGGGTTTGGTGTTCAAAATACATCTGCTATTGCCAGCAGAACATTTAAAAACATAAAAACGGCGCCGGTGGGTGTAAAGAGGTTAAATTTAGGAAAAAAACTAATAACTCTACTTAAATAATGATTCAAATAAAATGTATTGCACATAAAAGTTAAATAAACATTGTACTAAAATAAATGTAAAAAATCTGTTCTTAAAGATTAAATAAAACTGTACTGTACTTCAATGTTATGAAACTAAACTAAGGCCGTATACCTAGCTGCAAGTAACAGTTCTTGCTGTCTCAACTTTACACACTGGCTGCTTTCTGAAACAAACACAAACACAGAGGAAGAACAATAAGATTTAGAATAAAAAAAAGAGAATTAACAGCTGTAATTAAACATACACAGACTATTAATGACAACTTGCATGAGTTGTGTGTGATGGGTGTGCCTGCCTCTGTGAACACAGTCCTGCAATATCTGGGTCAATGGAGGTCAGCTTCAGTCTCAGGTTTGGCTCAGCATCCACCCTGCTTTTGTACTTTGTTTTTTATGACAACAAGTGAAGAGAAGCCTTTCTCACACAGATAGGTGGTTGCAAAAGGAAGGAGAAAACGCACTGCCTTGTCAGAAAGCACAGGGTATTCACTGTACTGCTTCATCCAAAAGTCCAACAAAGTGTGCTTTCTGAAAGATGCCTTCAGTGTTTTGTCACAAGACAGCTCTATTAATTTCTCCTGCTCAACAACAGTTAAGTCCATTGAGGCCACGTGAGAGGTGCTGATGTTGAAAGGGTTTCTCATCCAGCTTCTAGCCTCAGCTCCAGGAATCACAGGGAAATAATTGCAGAACTGTTGTCTGAGTGATGCGAGGTGTGCAGCGATGTTCTCCCTGACTCCATCATCAAGCATCAGGTCATTATCAGACAGAAAACTCTCCAAAGCAGGGAAAGCTGAAACATCACCTGTCTTGACTTTAAGTTCAAATAACTCGAACTTTTTCAGCAGTGCATTGATATTGTCCTGTACATCAAAAGCATTGATAGAGAGTCCCTGCAGTCCCAAATTCAGTTCATTGAAACATGAAAAAATGTCAGACAAGTATGCCAGCTGACTGAGCCACACAGCATCCTCAAAAATGTCTGAGAGAGGGAAATGTTTGTCCTGCAAGAACATCTGGACCTCTCTGTGCAATTCGAAAAGCCTCGAAAGTACCTTTCCTCTTGAAAGCCACCTTACTTCAGTATGAAGCAAGAGTTGGACATGCTCACTACCCATCTCGTCGCAGAGCACATGAAATAAGCGAGCATTCATCGGTCTGGACTTTATGAAGTTCACAGTTTTTACAGCAGAGTCCAGGACAGACTTCAGGTCATCAGGCATCTTCTTCACTGCCAGTGCCTCACGGTGGATACTGCAGTGAGTCCAGCGCATCTCAGGTGCCACCTCTCTGATGCGAGTGGCTACCCCGCTGTTACGACCCGTCATAGCCCTCGCGCCGTCTGTACACACCCCCACACACTTTTTCCAGTCCAGTCCATTCTCATGGATAAACGCGTTCAGTAGCTGGAATATGTGCTCTGCCGTAGTTCTGGTTTCAAGTGACTGGCAGAACAGAATATCCTCCTGAGCTGCACCATCATATTCATATCTCACATAAACTAATAAATTGGCCAAATCTGCTACATCTGTACTCTCATTGAGCTGTATGGCAAAATATTGACTGTTCTTAATGCGCTCAATCAGTGTGTTTTTAACATCATCAGCCATGTCTTTTATTCTCCTTGACACGGTGTCATTTGAAAGTGGCACCAAGTTTAACTTTCTGGCAGCGTTCTCTCCACACATGATCCGCGTCATCTCTTTAGCTAAAGGTAAACACAACTGTTCCCCGATTGTGTGCGGCTTACCGGCTCTGGCGATCCTGAGGCTGGCACGATATGAAGCCTCCTGTGCTTTGGCTACAGGTGTTCCACAGGACTGAATGATGGACTTTGACTGCTTCAGTTCTTCACGTTTTCGTAAAAAAAATTCCACTGGTTTGTCGTTTGTCGTTGGGCGACAGTAGCTCAGTTGGTAGAGCATTGGCCTTAAGGCCAGAAGGTCGTGGGTTCAATTCCCACCGCTACACCTTCTCCATCGACTCCCACTGATGACTGCTGTCGTTGTGTCCTTGGGCAAGACACTTAACCCCACTTTGCCCAAAGCCCCCACTGAAAGATCAAGGCTATGCTCACACTCAGAGAGCAGCCGTCCTCCTGTGGACTCACCACCTGCAGAGGGTCAGTGAGGGGCTGGTGCTATGAGACTTGGGTGGCATCTCTGATTGCCACCCCCCTGACCCAGAAATGGATTAAAGGGTAGAAAATGGATGGATGGAATGGATGGAGGGTTTGTCGTTATGTTTCCCGTGTTTGGTTTTAAGATGCCGTTTGAGATGCGACGGTTTCATGGATTCATTGCTCAAAACTTCGCCGCATACCACACACTGCGGCTTTGGCTCTTCCTCTCTCCCACTCCAAATAAATCCATAATTGATATAATTTTCATCATATTTCCTCACTCTTTTGTGCCGTTTGTTGCTAGCAGCTGCTCTGGGAGCTGCAGTCACTGGCGCCACTAAAGCCGCTGTGTGCACCTGCACCTTCCCCACACTCGTCCTCTTCAGTGCTTGCTTCATCTTGGTCCACACTTCCCTTCGCAGACTGAAGTGTAATGACAGTTTTTAGAGTAATTACATTAAAACCAGCCGCAGCAAATACACGGACGTAAAAGGCCTTTTATCAATGCAGAGACGACCTTCTGACGCCATGCTGAGCTTTGTGAAGGTCTCTGCTGTCTGTCACACCCTTGTGTCTTTCGCATCTTGCATCTCTATGCCTGCATTTCTACCATTGTCTGTCTGTTCACACCCCCATGCCACTGTGTCTGATTGCCTCACCACGGGGATGGCGCCTCCCTATGCGCCTCCTGCACCGGTGGCCCCCTCCCATCTGTTGTGGGCGTGACTGTCTTTCATGTGTGTCTATGTAAACAGGAAGTTGAGCTCTGCGCCCCAGAGCTGGGGTATGCTGCCTTTGTATATGTTAGCTCTCCGCACGTGTGTTACAATAAACTTACGCTCCTGATTAAGACAAATACTTTTGGGCTTTCTCCTTGCTTTGGGGTATGTAATTCTACAACAGAAGCCACGACAGTAGTTTTGAAGACTTCATTATTAAAAAACTCCACCTCCTGCCATCACCTATTATTGCCTGTAACCGCTAGCGTCAGCTTGTCTGACTCAACGTCAACGGCAATTTCAAATGTTACATAGGACTACTGCTACCCAGAAGCACTTGCAAACTTGTTAATTAAAAGTTAATTTATATCTCTCTTCATTTTAGGTTATAGGTTGATATATTTCATCCATTCTAATATGTTTGGTAGTATTTCATGTAAATGTATTTTATTTGATTTATATTTATTTCAGTGATTCTTTGGCGTACCCCTAGTGGTACGCGTACCCCAGTTAGAAAACCTATGGTATAGAGAATTTAATGGCTTGGATCCATGGCTCGGACAAATTTGAAACAATCTGACAAAGAAAGCCATGGTGTGTTACGGGGCTTCATGTCACTAGTTAAAATGCAGTTTAAACATTTGGACCTTTTTTGGAAAGCCTTACATTACCCTGTTAAAGCAAAAAAAATTACATTACAGTGATCAGATGACTTTTGTAATGTGTAATATATGTATTATGACTGATCATACTTTTGGGAAAAGGTATAAACAATTATATCAACCCATTCTTCCGTAAGTGATTGAAGAAAAGGTCTCACGGTCACTTTAAAAACTGATGCCCATTTGTTCTGAGTTTATGATAATGATGAGTAAAGATTCTAAGTTGTACCAATTCATAATTATAGCTGCTCTCTCACATCTCTGAATGTTATCTTTGACATTCACAGTTCCCTATTTCTTTTTTTTCTTTCAACATTAATCACGTCACATGGCTCAAAACTTTTAACAGCTGCGCGGAAAGCTGCCCCAACTGTTGGGTCATTGGTGCATACTGCTCCTCCACCTCTGTTCATCTGGGAGACCTCTCTATTCATGTCAGCCACACAGGTAAAGTCACCAGTACGGGTTACACACCATTTGGAGTGGTCCACCGTGACGTCAAAGGGGCCTCTCCTGTGAGGGTTCACTTCATTAATGTTGTACACATGATGTGGGATTGTATTACTACAGACTGATGGCAGTGGTTGGCGCAATTTCCCCCAACTCTTCACAAATAAGTCCTGTTTAGTAAATTTCACAATGAGGCCGGCATAAAGGTCTAGAACAAATGAAAAGCACAATCAATCAGTGTGTATAAAAAGTACATTTCTCAGCCTCCATGATCCATGATGATGAGTATAAATAGCATCCTACCATCCTGAAATCTTGAATATTTTGCAAAGCTCTTAAACCGGTGTCCTTTCCGTGAAGTCAGCTCCATGACCTTAAACCAGGGCTCGTTCTTTGGATAACAGCTTCTCTGTTCAACACATTTTAGCTCCTCAAGGAAATACGGTGGTATATAGGAATCAAATGAATATGCATGGATATATTTAAGATGGGTACCTAAAACATATGTATATATTTTTAGGTACAAGACTAAATGCAAAAGAATCACAATTATTTACCAACTTAAATCTGAACCTTACCAATTTTTCTAAATTCAATATATGCATAAGTTACACAGAGAAAGGTCTGCGCATAGGTTGTTCCGCTTACAGGCCAAAAGTCTTCACTTTGGTATGAAGGAAACCGTGGTGTAGTGTGAGACAGCCAGACTCCAGATATCCTGTCCAACATCACAACTCCTGTATAAAGTAGAAATATTTACAAATGATGCTGAAATGATTATGATTTTAGTTCACCACCTTTAGCATGCCCGAAAGATGAAGGGGCAGGAGTTTTTGGAGGCTGGTCGTTGTAGAGAATATATCCAAAACCTTCGGTCTAGAAACACATCAAAAATTCCTAATGTTATAGGGAAAGCACACACACGCACACACACACACACACATACACGTTTTTGTTACCTGGTGGGTCCCTTTGACAGGGCCGTTCAGAATGGGACCCATAGACATAATCTTTTTTTACTGGGACTACTTTAAGTAATACAAAACAGTCAATAGAAACCAAACAACTATTTTAAAGGAATTTTATTTTAGATTTTTTTTTCGAATTGCAGTGATTCTATTTTTGACATAGAATTTAATGCCACTCCATGTCCGATGTCTAAGGTCATCTGGTGAGGCATTAATGCAGGCCAGGCAGTGAGACTTCCCAGGGACCTTTCCAGTCTGTATGAAAGGTGTCATGGTCTTCTCCACAGCCTTCACCTCAGATGCAGACCATGGCTTTCTTAAACGTTCTAGGGAGAGAAATAAAAATATATTAGCAATATACACTCCCAGGGTTAGGACCAAGCAGCCTGGCTGTAATCCCCCACCTGGTACACTTACCAGAAGGGGCACTGCCACTGCCATGGGGTGCATCTGGATGAATGGTTGAATGTTCTCCGCTTGAAGTTTCTTTTAGCCCGTCCGTTTGTGAGAGGATCTCTACTGCTCTCCCTGTCGCACAGAAAATAAAAATACAAGTGGCCTTTAGGGGAAAAAAATCATACATATTTTAATAATATCAAAAATTACCTTCAGGCTCAATTTGTATCTGGTCGAGGCTCTTTCCTTCGAATTCCGTCACTCTTCCCTGCTCCATGGCCATCAACACTTTGCTGATTTTGGCCAGCTCCAGTGTCCCCTCTGGTAGTCTGTAATATTGCCTGTGGATGCGAATGTCATGGCCGAGGAAGTTGGCAAGTGTGTCCATCTCATTCTCTTTCATATTGAGAACTGTAGACATAGTAGCTATGTGCTTTCTAAGTTTGGTTGAGGATAGCATCTCTGGATGCACCGCACCACATTCTTTGGCTACCTGGCGTAGGGAGTCTGATCCCCTGATGTGGGTGTCTGCGCCCGGGCGGGAAAAGAAGTATGGGTTATGGTCAGAGATGGAACAGGCCCTTCTGTTCTCCACCAGCACCTCCATCGAAGCAATCATTTCAGGAGTCAAAAGAACCGGCACTTTCCGACTTCTTTTCCCTTTAATTTCAATGCGTTGAAAATGCTGACACAGCTTTTTCTCAAGTTCGGACAGTCCCAGAGCAATGTCAGAATGGATCCCAGTCTTACTTCTTAAGGTAAAGGCTGTCAGTGGCATCTTTGAAACCTCACCTTCCCTTCTTCGATTGAAAATAATGACCTCACAAAGAGTCAAAACTGCCAGTTTAGACCAATGCTTAGACGTTGGCTCACTTATTAGGGTTTGCACATATTCAGGTCGACATACCTCAATATGTGCATGCATGGCTCTAACGTCCTCAGTCAGAGGGAGCAGGTCCGGAGTGTTCCACTTGGCTTGCCGGAGGGTCTGTAGGGCAGCAGAAGAAACACAGACGTCCCACCTCTTCTCAAAAAGCAGCCGGCTTCGTTGGAGGTTTTTAATAAATAGTTCATCAACACAATGCTCCATTTTTGAGTCACATTCAAGAATATCTGCTAGCTTTCTGAGGCTATGGCCGAGTTTGAGGGCCAAGGATGGAGTCTTGTATTGATTTGTTTCCTCATCATATCCAGCCACAGACCTGACTGCATCAATCACATGGTTAAAGTTGGAAGGAATAAAGAAATCCTTAATTGTTTTCAGTTTCCCTGCAGTTTTTGCTTCGTTAATTAACCTACCGACTTCTCTCATTTTCTGCCTAATGTAATCATGCTTAGTCTTATCATGCCCATGTTTTAAGTACAGGTGCTCTCCGAGTCTCAGAATCCCCTTTTCTGCTTTGACAACACCCGTGACCTCATCCTGATGCATTGCCGAAATTAAAGACCACAGCTTTTTGCTGATGCCCTCCGGTACAGGCTGGGCTAGGGAGCAGAGGGACTGGACCCTACTTCTCCCTGGTTTAGCCTGGGCATCTTTCTGTGAAAGCCGGCACCTGGCCACATGCCTCCACAGCGACTTTCGCTTAAGCAATGCCCCACAGTCTATACAGTGCAAAAACTCACTGGATTTAACTGGGCAATTTGGCTGTTTAGCTGGGACTAAAGTTCCAATGCCGGCCTTTAAAACCTCAAAATTGTGCTCACGGTTTCCACTATTCCTGATCAAATCAAACTGAAGTTTACGTGCTTTAGATTTCACAGGTAGAGCCAATGCTCTGGCTACGTCACTTTCATTTCCATGTTTTCTAGTCAAATGACGGGACATTTTGTGGCAGGACATTGAACAGTAGAGGCAGAAGTGTCTCTTGCTATAAACTCGCCCCCCATTTTTCTTCTTTTGCAGCTGCATGATAACAATCTTATTTGCCTTTGGTTCGTCACTTTCCGAGTCTTGAAGAAAAGTGTTTTTGATTTTTCTTTTTCCATACTTTTTTACAGGTTTCTTCTTGACAGTTAAATCGTCAGAATCTGAGTCGACTTCATCAATTAGGGACTCTTGACTAAGCTGCACAAACAACAAATAATTTGTAATCATTCTATATAACAATTTGAAGTCATGACTTGTAGTCAGCACTTACCAGTGGTTTGTAAGCGTGCGCTTCAGTGTGCTCCTCCATGATTTCTTGCAACCTAATGAACCACACACTTGCACCTTTTTCTAGCCTGACACCTGATTTCCTCTGTTGTGCTGCTCCATGATTGGCTCCAGCCTGCTGGACTGAAATTGCCCCAGTGTGCCCCTCCTTGATATCCCGCAACCCACCACCAGGGTTCCGACACATAACACACTTTTTTCAGGAAAGTAAACCTCCAGGGGTCCTTTCCATATTTTTACAGAGACTGCATAAGGACCGTTAGAAAAGCATTACCCATTGATTATTAAGCTTGGACCAGTGGGGTCCGGTGTTCGGGCCCCACCACGTAAAACCAGTCCCCATGACGTGAGCGGAATCTCAGGTTATGGAACCCACCAGGAGTTGAAAACAAGTGCACACACACCTTCTTCTTGTAGTAGTCGAAGAGAGGCTTCAGAGTTTTCGCCACTGACCCGCTTGCACTGTTGATCCTCTCTTCACTCTCCCTCCATCCATTAGTGCTTTCATCCATGTACAGGTATTTCAGTCCATCGCCTGTAAATTGAGGCAACTTGTATAAAATGTACCTAAAATCAAAATAATGTTGTCATATGTGAAGGTGTGGTTACATTTCATATTGAATTGAGCTTCACAAACCAATCAACTTCTTTTCCTTTATCATTTCTGCAAGCCACATTACAGTGGCCCAGTTCAAACAGCATGATGCCGAGGCACACAAATAATTTCACTTTCCCCTGAAATGTAAAACACATTTACAAATGAAATGGGGAACATAAAATAAAACAAATGGATATAAATTAGGGCTGCCAATTCATTTTTGTATTGAGTTAAATACAGCTTAAAAATCAATTAATTGTAATTAAATGCATTTCAAACTATCTGCAAAATGATGCCATATTTTTCTGTAAATGGTTGTTTGAATGGAAAGATAAATGACAATATAGTGTACATATATGTACTGTATTTGTTTATCATAACAACAATAAATCCACATAAAATGGCATTAACTTTTTTAACATTCTGTCTTTCTGTAGCAGTCGGTATTTTTTCAGCGCGACATGTTCCGCTTCAGCTAAAGCCTCCGCTTTCTTCTTTTTCTCTCTCTCATAATGCCTGTGGATCCTGTTCATTATTGTGCCTCTACAAACTATTGTTTGATACATGAGAATGGGACATTTCGAAAATCTAATGGCTTTGACACAGCAGTTGATAGAATTAATGGCAAGAAAATGTACGTTTACGTTCCCCCCAACAAAAAAAATCTGAAAAAAACACAACACAGCACCAGCAGCACCAATTCAAACTGTTTCCATTGGTTGTCCATAGACAGGATACTTAAAACCCAATCAAAACAAAACAGACATAACTCCCCATAATACACCTCTCTGACTGAATATAGATATTTTGTTCTTCCTTAAAAAAACTCCACACTGGCGTCATCCTTTAATCTATTAGTAACATCAGAGCTTTCGATCGAAAAACTTGTACTCACTGTCACGGCCATTTCCAGTTGTGAGGTGTGAGCTTTAACACAGCAGACTCATGTAACACGAAATGAAAGTATAATGTAGGTATTATTTCCTCATTCTTCCATTGTTCCTTCCATTGAAGAACTAATGATTTAAAAAGAAAAAGACAATTGAAACATAAATTTAACTTTGTAATAATGAACATTATAATCAATATGGGCAGTCAATATAAAACAGCAACATAAACATACAAATAACCATTACCCTAACCTTTATAGAATGATTCAGTCCTTGTCCAACAGGTTTGTTTTGTGTTTGGTTTCTGGGCGCTGCAACTCACAATCAGTGCCATTGTTCAGACAGGTTTAGTATGTAGCACTAAGGTGACTTGAAGTAACCTAGTGTTTGTAGTTAAATGTTAGGCTTTATTGATGACACATAGTCCATGAACACATAAAAAGACAAAAGAGTCAGAACCGGAATAGACAACAGCACGAGCACTATCCTCTCCTCTTACTCCTCTCCTACTTTATTTACAATCTTCACTGTACATCAGCTGCACTGCTGGATCTATAGCCCTGTCTGTGGGAGTAGATCGCTATCTATGCGGGCCTCCCCAACGTTTGTCACTTTTTCCAACATTGTTTTTTGTTTTAGTTTTTTCCTTGCTGGTGCACCATGTCAAAGGTCATCTGCACCTTGTGGACCAATGGCTTTATGTTTTTTTTTCTTCTAGACAGCTTTTGGGAAATTCAGTGGTTTTATAAAGTCCTCCGAAATAACTATTGTTGTGACTTAGAGCTATTGAAGAATAAATTGAATCCGTTTGAATTGAACACCGATAACTGGGTTCAGGCTGAGACGCCCACACACTGTTGTTTTAATGTTATGTTCTTTGCTTATCGACTCTAAAACTCCCTTCTCCATCAGCACAAATAAACAAAAGACATAGAATAACTAACACAAAAATATGTTCTATTCAATTTAAACAAAACCAGTTTCATTGTGCAACTGAGAAAGATATTAAAAAGTTTATCCAAATAAATATGCTCATCACCATATCTTTAAGGGAACACCCAGCCACTCTGCGGAGGAAGATCATTTCGACCACTTGTGTTGGTGATCTCATGTACTCGCTATTTTTCGGTCATTACCCAAAACTCATGACCATAGGTGAGGGAGGAAATGAAATGTACAACTTCTTAACAATTATCTTAAATGCTGTTTTGTCACAATTATTGTGAACATATAGCCTAATTATTATAACAGCTTTGCGCTCAGGCATGTACAAATATCTGACCAAATGTGTACTTCATTCAGCCATGACAGAGTAGGCTATTTTACTTCTGAGTGAGGGTTTTCGCTGCTTTCCTTTGGAGGTTTCTGAAGTCATTTATTGCTTCGCTAAAAACTTTTCCACAGCATGACAGTAAGTAGATCATGACATTAAGTACATTTTATTTGATTACAGGTTACATTTATGGCTCATTACCTTGAAAATAAAGTTTGGTGGCTCAGATCTGTAACTTGACTGATGTCTCCTAATAGAGATGCAAAAGTGCAAAAGTTTAAAATCTGACTAAGTCTAGGCCTACCAAAGTCTAGGCTCTACCAAAGTCAGTTAGTTAATATCAATCATGAGTCATAGATGTTACACTTGGATCTGAGGAAAATGTTCTAAACACTCATTGTCATCGATCCATTGTCCCCGTCTTGTGGCCATTAACATCCCATGAAATCATCCACTAGTCTCCTGAAGGCTTTGTGAATCAGCGGGTGTCTGGTGCAGGTCAGTCCTCCACCTCTCCACATTTGAGCCTTGTCTCGGTTTAAATCTCCCAGACAAGTGAGCGGTGTCTCCAGGTCCCGGGACACACACCACTTGGAGTGATCGTGGCGGGACAGGAAGAGCGCTGGCCCCAGTGCTCGGACCCTCCTGATGTTCAGTGTGTGCCAGGGCAGGGAGCAGTTTGAGGGCAGAGGGTGTCCCGTAATCTGCCAAGTCTCCACTAACAGGTTAACGGCCAGGAGCTGAGCCACCCAGCCGCTGTAGATATCTGAGCAAACAATGCAGCACCGTTAGTGTACTTTCACTGGGGGAAGTGTGGACAAAAACAGCCACAAGCCATTTGTGTTAATGCGACATAAATACAGTACACTAAACTAGCAGAAGAAAATGCATAAATTGAGATGATACTGTTCACAACAACTAATCACAACATAATCATTGTGATCAAAGATATGGTTGCATACAAAAATCCCAATATTGTATAATTTATTTCACCTTATATCAATATGAAATGTAAATAAAAATATTGGTTAATTGTTTTCTATACACACACACACACACACACACACACACACACGTGTGTATACATATATATATATATATATATATATATATATATATATATATATATATATATATATATATATATATATATATATATGGGATTCGTTTGTAATAGTGAGTTCATTTACATTCATTTATATATAATATATATTTTTTCCCTAGATAAAGCTTACCGTCCACAAAACAAGCTGATTTGACAAAGCTGGTGAACTGTTCCCCGTTGGCTGACACAAGCTCTTCAACGCTTCTGTCTGTGTCAAAGGGTACTTTCATGTTGTCACATAACTTTGACAACAGTGAAAACTCAGGAGAAAAAGTCTGAGGCACAGAGCAGTTGAAGAATCGTGGACTCATGTAGAGAAGCTGGTTGACTTGGACAAACAAAACATTTTAAGTTGTGTTAAAATTATATATATATATATAAAAAAATAGAGTAAACATTTGAGTCTAATAATGGACAAAATAAAGCAGTTTCATATAATCCTAGTTAGTTTTTTCTTTTCTTTTGGTATACAAAGTTCTGTCCCCATAAAGAAATGTGTCTTTTGCGTTTGACTCCACCTTCAATGCCATTCTGTCAGGAGCAGATCTCCAGATGTTGATGCTCAGCTTGGCCAGGACTACCCGAGTTGGAGGATTTTACCCATGGTACAAGTTTTGAGTGACGAGGGAAAACCTGGAGCACGAAGGAAACCCACCCAAACACAGCCATAGTTGCGGAAGTCCAAAAATAATATAAAGATGCATGGGATTGTAAATAATTATAGAAACAATTTTAGTAGAAAAACAGAACCAGTCCTTTGTTGAAAATTTCGCCTTATAAAAAAACAAAACTCAGCAGTAACTGAAACCTCACACACTAACACCAAAACATGTCTTTGTTATCAAACACTTTCCAATGTGGTTAGGGCTGTGTTAGTGAACGCTTAAAGTGGGGAAATGAAAGTTGGAACGTATTATGTTTTTTCCTTACCAATATGGAAGAACTGTTTGTATTTGTAAGTGACACACAGAGCTGTTTGCCCATTGACTTTTCCAGATTCAGGATAGATGTAGCCTTTTTCAGGGAATGAGGGGAAATGGGGTATGGTGTGGGACAGCCAGAAACCTTGGCATCGGTCAAAGAGCATCACACCTGTAAAAGTAAACAACAGCTCAAAGACATTGGAATAACATTAAACTTCATGAGTGCTTCTTTTTGGAGAGTCACTGTGTCAACATTGGTTATCTGATGATTGGTCTTTGCCCATATACTCCCCCTGACCCTGAACTGTTGGTTTGTTACACAGCCACGAAGCAGCACGTATCAAATGAGAGTCTGTGAGGGTCTTGTGAGGTCTAACTAAAAGAACAGTGGTGATGATCCAGGACACTCAATATTCAACATCTAGGGACATTTATCAACACTTATGGACATTGGTCATCTGCTCCTTGTGGACCAATACACATGTGTTTTCTGTTCTATTTCTTGTATTTGAACAGTTTGATTCTCTGATCTGTGTTGTGTAAAGTCCTACGAGATAACTACGGTTGTGATTTAGGTTTGTGCATAAATAAATTGAATTAAATGAAATTGAAATTATAGTTTAAAAACATAAATACAGCATGACGTGGTGTAAAAAAAAAATGATTGTGTGTCTTCCTCAGACTCTAACCTGATCCTTAAATATGCTGATGACACCACCATCATCGGTCTCATCAGTAATAACGATGAATCGTCTTATAGAGCCGAGATCCAAAACGTGGTTCAGTGGAGTAAGGCTAACAACCTCCAGCTGAACGCATCCCAAACATGTGAACTGGTCTTTGATTTTAGTCGCAATAGTTCTCACTTGCCTGTCGCAATCGATAACTCCCAAGTGCAGATTGTAGAGGAGTGTAAGTTTCTGGGTCTAACTCTGTCTAACGACCTGAAATGGGTTAAAAACACTGACCGGGTCGTTAAGAAAGCTCGTCAGCGTCTATACTTCCTGCGGAAACTTAGAGAATTTACCACTAACTCTAAGATTCTGCTGAACTTTTATCGCTGCACCATTGAGAGTTTACTTGTTGGTTCTGTGTCTGTGTGGTTTGGAAACATCACAGATAAAGAAAAGAGAGCTTTAAACAAGGTGCTCCGCTCTGCTAAGAGGACTGTAGGCTGTGAACTTCCTGTCCTGGAGGCTCTTTATCAATCCAGACTTTTTAACAGTGCCCTGAGAATTATCAATGACTCTTCTGGCCACCCAGGAAAAGCCTTGTTCCAGCTTCTTCCCTCTGGCAGAAGATACTGTTCTCTGAGATGCAGGACATCTCGTTATGCTAATAGTTTTTTTCCACGAGCTGTTATCAGTTTGAATAGAGCACTTTAATGTTTTTGCACTTGTATAGATCTGTTTTAGTTGGTCAACTTCACAGTGACATTTGTTTACTGTTTTTAAAATTTGTTTTATTTTCGTCTTTTAATGTTGTGTTATGTCTGTACTTGTCCTGTGCACACTGGGAACTTTTACTAATGTATTCCAATGTAGTGTTACTGCAAATGGCGAATAAAATGAATCTGAAATGAACAAGCTTTATGACGATACCTTTTGTGTGTCCGTAGCTCACATTGTACTTTATAATTGGTGGCGCATCATTGTAGATTGCATAGACAGAGCTATTGGACTAAGAACAAATGGGGAAAGCATAACTTAGAATATTTCTTGTTTTGATCAATCTTACAATTATTCTACTGCAGATTTGGTGAAAGTTGAAACCAAAAGTAGAAAGGAGGACGTCTCACCTTGTAAGCTCCTGAGTACAGCTGACTAAGAGTTTGTCCAATGGCCCCTTGAGTCATGTTCACTAAAAACGCACTCATCATCCAGCTCTCCATTTTAGAATCCAGATACATATAGTCCAACCCAGTGCCCACCGCACCGATCTTCTTTTTGGGCAGTTTGTAGATTAAAAACCTGTTTGAAAAGAAGACACTTCTGTTGAACGACTGACTCAATGATATAGAATCATATCAACTCACCAATCGACAGGATCACCACGCTCATCTCTGCAGGAAATGTCCACACTAAATACTGCAGAGCAACAAAGACATCCAAGGAGCATTAAAAACATGTTCACTCTGTCAGTCTGTGCATTTATGAGGAATAAAGCCACAGATTGAGGAAGTAGAGGGCAGCTGCTGAAGGAAGTCAGGCGATACTTTACCGGTGTTTGAGATAAAAAAAAACCCAAAAAAAAACAATTTAACATAGCAAGCCTGAAAGTCAAAAGGGTAGGTCCACTTTGACTTCCTGGCTTCCTTCTCTTTTTCCATAATGAAATTAAAGGCCACTCATTTGCATACAATAGATGACACTGCAGGACTTGTATGCATTGGCCTTTTAGTTCTGCTGAAGCATACGATACAGGAAAGGCAAGGCAAGTTTACTTTTAATGCCCGCCTGAGTTTCACCAAGCTAAGCAGGTCCCAGCCAACATCAAGACCAAGTCCGACACATGCACAGACCTAAAGGGGGGAAGCCCACGCCCGGCCCATTCCCTCTCTTGTTTTGTCCCTTTTCCCAAGTGTTTTTCTTAACTAGACGTGTCTTGCATTAAAATAAGCATTCACTTACCCTGACTTGTATTTATGTTTATTATCATTATCATTTTTTTTCCTTTTTTTCCTTTTTTCCTTCCCCCCCCTTAAATCAGTCTAAATCTGTGTGAAGCATTAAAAGATGAGCCTGGGCATGGTACCCCCACCTCCTGCAGGGGCCCTGGAAAACCGTAGAGCGCAGGACACTGGTAGACGTCAGTTATGATTCGCACACCGGGCTGGTACAGGTGGGCAGTGTCATAATGTGTGAAATGGAATCGTTAAGTTGTATGCACATGCTTCATGTTAAAGGCTTCAGTTCAAATGCAAAGTTGTTCAATATTACCTGGCAAGTTAATTCAGTCTACTTCCACTGCCCGCTTCTAATACATCTTGTTTGTATTTGAATTATAAAAAGCATGTTCAATTTTACGTGTTTACATATTTAAAATAGTGACAGACAATTACTGTAAGTGTGCAATTTTAGTCCTGTTTCCACCTGCCTCCACCTCCTCTACTCGGCTCTACTTTACCTGGTTGCGTTTCCATTAAGTTTTAGTATCTGGTACCATACCAGCTAGGCATGGTTAGAACCAGGGACAAGCTGGTACCTGTCACCAGTTAAACATGGGTTGGTGGAAACATTCCCAATAGGGGTAGAGTAGAGCAGAGTAGAGTGGGGCAAAGTCGGGCTAGTGGAAACCTAGTCTTGCATCACACTGGGTCCGCCTTCCACTGAGTACTCCTCTACCTGCGGTTATTCCTGCAGCAGGAATCTCAACAATCAAGTTTGGATTGGAAGTCATGTCTGCCAACCAGGTAATACAATGAGAATAAAAGTGTTTGTATATGTTACTGCTGTAAAGTAAGTGACTATCAGAGCAGGCTTCGATGCAAACATTTGATTTTTTACTTTGTATCAACAGAATGTGGAGTTTGTGCAAACAGGCTATGGTAAGAACGCTGTGAAGGTTCTGGTCATAAAGAGACAGGGAAAACATCATGACATTATTGAGCTAAAAGCAAATGTGGAAATTACTCTGAAATCTCGCAAAGACTATTTATTGGGAGACAACTCGGACATCATCCCAACTGACACTATCAAGAACACCGTGCACGCCCTTGCCAAGATCAAAGGGGCAAGTCAGATACTTTTAACAATGAGAGTAATGCAAATCTCTGAATTTGTATATTAAAATTATTTTTGGCTTTAGGTTAAAACTATTGAACAGTTCTCCATGGATATTTGCAATCATTTTCTAACTGCGTTCACTCATGTCTTATGGGCTAAAGTTTACATGGAAGAGGCTCCCTGGAGAAGGCTAGAGAAGGTATGAGGACAAATAATGAATGTTAATAATGTTGTTAATAAGTTGATATACTCTTCTAGAATGGTGTCGGGCACGTTCATGCTTTTATCCTTAGTCCTGAAGCTGATCGATTCTGTCAGGTTGAGCAAGATCTAAATGGTAAAATATTAACTTTTTATTTAGTTTATGAATGGAACACAATTTTTTCACACACACAAAATGTTTTTAAAGGTTTACCAGTTGTTCACAGTGGAATTAAAGACATGAAGGTCCTGAAAACCACAAAGTCTGGATTTGAAAATTTCTTCAGAGATAAGTTTACAACCCTGCAGGACAGCAAGGACCGGTGTTTCTGCACGACAGTCTACTCTAGATGGCGCTATAACAAAGTGTATGATGTTGATTTTGATGCTGCATGGTATGGGACTATTGCTACAAATGCAAAAATGGAAATGGTTTGGGGTGAAATCACTTCTACCCTCTGTTGTAGGAAAGCTGTCAAAGATATTATAATAGACAAGTTTGCCGGTCCATATGACACTGGAGTGTACTCGCCCTCTGTGCAGAAGACGCTCTATGAAGCTCAGGTTATGGTTCTGGGCCAACTCCCTGAGGTTTGTGCCAGGTTTAAATGTGAAAATGTGTCTATATGTTTTTACGTTTAGCACATTATGAGATTCGTTCAACACTACTGTATAAATTACAGATTGAGGAAATAGAGATTGTCATGCCCAACCAACATTACTTTACCATAGACATGACAAAGATGGGCCTCAGCAACAAAGATGAAGTAAGTACTGCAGAAATGATCTTACATATACACTGCCTGTATAGTCATGCTTGAAAGTTTACACCCCTGTTAGAAACTTTCATAAATGATTAATGATAATGCAAAAACGGCTTTCACTCATCAGTTGTGTGAAGCAATTTAATATGAAATAAATGTGCTTTCTATTTTCAAGCATTTTCACCCCCCCTCCAGTTTTCAATAGCATTTCCCCTTTAACATCTGTGACAGCTTGGAGTATTTTGTGGTAGTTGGGGATGAGAGTCACCTCAGATCCCAGTATCAGCTTCTCCCATCTGGCTGCCGCAACAAAGTCCCAACAAAAAATAAAAAAAATAAAATGTATAATTATTATCATTATTATTATGTCTGTGAAGCCCCTGAATGCAGGCCATCAATCAGAGCGGTGATGGTTAATGCCTGTGTTGGGTTCTATGTCTGTCTTCTATGTACTTTCCAGTGTAGCAGCCTGTGAGTCCAAAAAAATAATCCTTACATAATAAATTAATCCTGAATCTTGAGGTTCTTCATGGTAAATGTTCTTCTTGGCAAAAATCCTCCACTTGATTTCTTCACAGATGTCATAATATGAAATTAAAAAACACAATATGTATACACTACCATGAATGGGAATTGTTGTGTGTGTTATTGTTAAGGATCTGCAAACAATTTGACTGTACCTCATATATTGCTGTCACATTTGTCTTACAGGTTCTACTCGCCCTTGATAACCCCTCAGGAAACATCACTGGGACTCTGGGCCGAAAACACAAAGCCAAACTATAATCACCTAAACAAGCACAAAAGCTTTAGGGATACATGGTATTAGGAGCAACAACAAACATGCTAAATGTAAAAGAAGACATGCTTTAAAAATGTAAAAAGAGATATAGCTTGAATGGTGATTGACAAAAATGAGACCCATTTTAAATCCTGTAAGACAGAGGAACTTCTGTAACTGAGACGTGTGATATAGCTACTTCTGCATTATATTGTACATCTTTAACAACTGTTCATATGGTGTTACATGCTTTTTATCAATACCATCCATCCATTTACTTCCCCTTAATCCATGTTTGGGCCAGGGGGTGGTAGTCAAAGCTGCTACCCAATTCACAGCAGACATCAGTGGGAGTAGGTTGAGCAGGTCTCATAGAGCACTTGCCTTTGGGCCTGAAGGTTGTGGCTATCAACTGAGCCACTGTCACCTTCTTTAATACCATGAAATAAAAAAAAATCTTCATTAAAACTCAAACAAAAAGTGGTGATATAACAGCACCATTTATTGCAAATCCAACAGACAAAATCTTTTTTTGCACATTAGTCATACATCTTTACAGCGCTATCTGATAAAAACCATCACAGAAATCAAAACTTTTATGAATAAATAATCCATCATTCTTTGGAGCCTCATTTAAATAAACAAAATTCACATTTTGGTAGAAACTAACTTAATGTTTTATGCTCTAGACAGGTGGACTCAGCTGCACAATTTCATCAAATACAACATATTTGTATTAAAAATCATTATAAATACATATGTACTTTACACACACACACGCAAAAAATATTTAAAACATAGGTTGAACTTCTTTTCACACATGATGGTTATATTTATGTTCATATTTACTATACATAGTGTTGTTTTTCCTTCAAAAAGGTACTCAGTGCTTTAAAACATACACGTTCTTACACCCTGTCTATGTGCACTTTAAGTGCATTGCCCAAGGGCATGGGTAAACAGTGTAGTAGGCCTCGCATGAAGCCCTTTTAGGGAGTGAGATTATAAAAAATATATACAAAATAATTCTGTAAAGGTGCCACTAGAAGAGTCTCAGGAGCGGCAGTGGACCTGGAATCACCTGACATCATGATTGTCACTGACTTTTTTGGAACATCTTTTGAAGCTATCCCGCATTGCTCTTCAAATGTTGAGTCTGCAATGGTTTTACATGATATTCATAGATTTTGAGTGCAGGTCCTAGCTTTATGGACAGGCCAGTCAGCACATCGTTACGTGTCATCAGGAGAAGAGACTTTCCATCAATTTCCTGTGGGATGAGAAAACAAAGTCATTTATACTGAAAGAGAAAACAGACAGAGACAGAGACAGAGAAGACACACGTCAGTTGTTGGCTCAATTGAGAATCTCTTTTTCTACAGTGTACATGTAAACTTGTGTGTGAGTTTATACTATACATACTGACCTGATCTTGAAAAGCAGTAGCCTGCTCTTCAAATCCCGTGGCTTTGAAGTAATTGACCACATCAACAACGCCCCAGTTGGCAGGGTCAGGAAGCTGACCATTTTCCACAGGGCTGTTTGGGCATTAAAATAGATGCATTGACTGATAAAACATGTCATAGAAGTGATACTGTGCAGTTATCTTACCTTTTTAGGTCAACAGAACCGTTTGACTTTTCCTCCATTACCTCTGCAAATAAATTATTAGTTAATCCATGGGGATAGATACAAAATATACAATAATAGCCCTCATTTCATGTGGGATATTTATAAATATGTACTAGATATATAACCTTTTTTATTAGATTAAAACACACTTGAAGTACATATAGTACACAATAACAAATGAGTCAGTACTGAGCTTACAATGTGGTAGTTGTTTTACATCAGAAGTATCAGCATCATCTCCATGTCTGTATCCTCCGGATCGGAAGGATCTGCAGGAAGGATTATTAGCTACACTTTTAACACTCCATTAATCAAACACAAATGACATGTGACATCTGAAAGATAAAAACATGACACAAAACACAATGGTGCATTGTCCGACCGGCTTTAGCGTTAGTATCATGAATTCATCTGAACGACCGCCTCTAGCCAGTGTTTATACCGCAGCTTTTCAGACATGTTTTGAGCTAACACAGACACAGATGGATTTACTGAACCACAATTTCCACCAACCTTATTTTTGCTCGTTTCCTGTATTTCCCAAAAGTCGATAACAGCAGAATATATGAGTAGCGTTAGCCTCACATGATCTGCATCACTAAACATTCACCAATATCAATTAAAACACATCATTTATTCGCCATAAATAGATATGATCATCTAACGAGAACTAGCAGCCCTCTCTATCGGTATGGCTTTAGCTTCCTTCGCCCACAGGACTGAAGATTCATGGGAGTTGAAGTTTTCTTTAACGAGTTGGCGGCGCGCAGTGGTCGATCTATGCTACAGCGTTATTATCATAGATCCATGGGTCACAGTCTTGGATCTATAATAATAATAGTCATGGATCTATAATAATAACAGTCATGGATGTATTATGATTATTATTTTTTACAGTCTATGATTATGATACGGCTTTAACTCTGCACAGACAGTAAAATATGCATACATACAGTAACCCTGCATTTCACACTCACTGGAAAGGGTAATCGGTGATTCTACGTCATGGTGCTACGTCCCTTAGGACTTCGCTAGTGGGATATCACGTGACCCCCAGGTCACAGACGCCAGAGAGATCAAAATAATTTGCTCCAATCACCAGCCACCTTCCTCTATAAATGCCCCTGCACAAGGCCGCACCCCCTCTTTCACTCTGGCGCCGTTTGAGATCTACATTCGTTACCTGAGAAAGAAAGATGTCTTCTGATGCACGTCCGAGTTCCCCTTCGCCATCCGGCGTCGGACGTCGTCGTTGCTCGACCTGTCGGGGCAAGCTCCAACGCAAGGACCAGCACTCCAGCTGCTTCATGTGCCTGGGTGCGGGCCATGCGGCGTTTAGCGCCACCTGCGCCTCGTGTGTCGCTCTCCCCAGGGAGGAGAGTGAACGCAGGCGCGCGTTCTTCGCCGCTACAGCGCCCCGTCCGGACTCCTCTAAGGACGAGGAGTCTGAGATTGACTGGGCCCCCCTCGACATTCCACCTGTGCCCGCGGAGTGGGGTGACTGCGAGGACGGAGAGGTGTCGGAGGTCGGCTCTCTCCTCACGCTGGACGAGGTGGTGTCCAACCCGGAGCCGGACCGCTTCCCGCTGGACCACATGCCTGGGCTCTACGCCACGGCGGCGGCCATCATGGATGCCCCCCTGCCACCGCAACCGAACCAGAGGGTGGAGGACTTCACCTCTGGGTACGCAGCCCCTCGAGGGAGGAGGAGAGCCCAGCCCACGTTGTGCCCGCGTATGGACCCGATCGTCCATTACGCGACACGTGAGTGGCCAAAACCCCTAGCGGCCAAGAGGCCCGCTTTGGGGTATGGCATGTACTGCAACGTGCAGGACTGGTCCTGGACAGGCGGGGTCCCGGACATCGAGGACTCGGTTCGGGCGGCCCTGCACCCCTCCTCATCCGTGTGGCCCAGCACCAGACCTCTCCTTCCCTCCGAGCGGGATAGGATGTCTCTGGCTATGCATGACAGATGTTACGCCAATGCGGCTCAGGTCGTCGCGGTGGCGAACAACATGGCTTTCATCACCGGGGCCCTGGATAGGTCTCTCTCCTCTGACCAGGCACTCAGTGGAGACACCTTAGCCCAGGCGAGGACCACTTCAGCAGCGATCTTGCGCATGTGCCAAGCGCTAGCTGTCGATGGCGGCCGCTCTAGGGCAGCAGCCCAGGTCGGGGCCAGACACCTCTGGCTGGGGGCGGTGAACCTCAGAGAGGCGGAGAAGAGGCAGCTGCTGGACCTGCCCATCTCCCAGACGTCGCTCTTCGGTCCGGAGATGCAGACGCTGATGACGAGGCTGGACAGCGCGGCTAAGGACTCGGCTAGCCTAGCAAAACACCTAGCTACGAGACGCGAGGCCCGCCCACCAGCGCGGAGCCGAGACAGAGGCAGGGAGCGCTCGCCTGGCAAGCGCCCCGGACCATATCCACGCTCCGTGGTCCATCGTTCCCCAGCGGCGAGACCCCCGGGCCCAGACAGGCACACGGGAGGTTCGCGGGACCAACACACCCATCGACGGCCTCCCTACGGTAGAGGAGGTCGGGGTGGTAAAAACTCTTTCAATAAAGGCCGTCCGGCATTTCACCAGTACTCGCTGTCTGAGTCTCATTTGGGGGTATGTAACATGTCAAATGATTTGAATTCTGTTTGTGTTACTTCTCGAGCATATAACGTGGCTCCGCCAGGCCTGCAGCCCCCAGAGAAGGGCGTGCAGCGCGCTGTGCAGACCACGAGCTCCGATTCACGGGTTCATGTTTTGCCCTCCCGGAGAGAGGGCAGGCGGAGGGATCTGATAAGTGCTAATGTGTGTGCTCCGGGCGCTAGCGTGTTAGCATCTCTGAGCTACAAGGCTAACACGGGGTTTCCCAATCCAGGGGCTCTCCCCCCCCTCCATGAGGCAAGAGCCAAGGGGGGGCGCAGCAGCCGTGTCACGCGTGATGAGCAGAGCTACATTGCTAACACGGGGTTTCCTAATCCAGGGGCTCTTCCCCCCCTCCATGAGGCAAGAGCCAAGGGGGGGCGCAGCAGCCGTGTCACGCGTGATGAGCAGAGCTACAATGCTAACACGGGGTTTCCCGATGCAGGGGCTCGCCCCCCCCTCCATGAGGCAAGAGCCAGGGGGGGGCGCAGCAGCAGCCGGGTCACGTGTGGTGAGCAGTCCCGTACTTATGACGTCGGACCTGCAGAACACGTGACCGCCCTCGGCGCTCACGGTGTGACGCAGGGGCCCCCCCGGCCCTTTCAGCCACCCCCCCTCCCTGCTAGGAACACCAGGAGGGGGCGGGGCCATGACGTCTCGTGTTCCAGCTCCCGTTCCGCCCCTCACAGATTTCTACGACATCTGGAAGGAGCAGGGCTTACTGTCAGATGTTTGGCTGGAGAAAACTCTGCGCAGAGGTTACGCTCTGCAATTTTTCCGAAAGCCACCACCATTCCGAGGCGTACGGGCAGTACGCTCTCAGGTACGGGGATCGACAGAGGCACTGGAAGCAGAGGTCTCCTCCCTGCTGAGTCGAGGCGCAGCAGTGGAGGTAGACCCGCAGGACGCCACCAGGGGGCTGTACTCCCCTTACTTTCTGGTGCCAAAGAAATCAGGCGGGGTGCGTCCCATTCTGGATCTGCGCGTGTTAAACGAGTGCATTTCCAAACGGCAGTTTCGGATGCTGTCCACAAGGCAGCTCCTCGAGTGTGTCAGGGAAGGAGACTGGATGACATCCATAGACCTGACAGACGCATACTTCCACGTACCCATAGTGCCAGAACACAGGAGATTTCTGCGCTTCGCAGTGGGAGAGAGGAATTACGAGTATTGCCGTCTCCCTTTCGGGTACGCTCTCGCGCCTCGCACTTTTTCCAAATGTGTGGAAGCGGCTCTGGAGCCGATCAGACGTGCCGGGGTAAGAATATTGACCTATATAGACGATTGGTTAATACTGGCCCCATCCAGGGAAGTGGCCGTGAGCCACACGCAATGGGTCTTGTCCCACATACAGCGTCTGGGCTTTGTGGTGAACAGGGAGAAGAGCAAGCTGCAGCCAGCCCAACGCATGATTTACCTCGGTCTGCAGCTAGACTCTGTGATATTCCGTGCTGCATTGTCCGTGGACAGACGGACGAATATTACCCGTCTGGCCCGGGAGGTTCTGGCGGGCCCCAGAGTTCCCGCTCGGCGCCTCAGGTCCCTGCTGGGGATGATGGCAGCGGCTCATGCTGTGGTGCGGCTAGGCCTGCTCCACATGAGAAATTTTCAGAGGTGGTTCTCGCGCCTCAGGCTTCACCCCTCCCGGGACGGGGGGAGGCTGATCTGGGTTCCCCAAGGGGCAGCATCGGACATCAGGTTCTGGCTCACTCCGGGTCTACTGCGGGACGGAGTGACTCTGGCCTGCGCTGTGTCTCACGCCGAGGTGTTCACGGACGCGTCGCTCGAAGGATGGGGCGGGGTCCTCGGCCAGAGCTCTGTAGGAGGCTGCTGGTCGGACTCAGCCCGTCACATCAACCTGCTGGAGATGGAGGCAGTGCACAGAGTACTGCTGCACTTTGCCCCTCAGCTGCAGGGGAGACACGTGATGGTGCGCTCAGACAACACCACAGTGGTCTCCTATCTGAACAGGCAGGGGGGCACCAGGTCCCCCGCTCTCCATCGCATGGCGACGGTGACGCTGCTGTGGGCGGCGCTTTCACCTCCTGTCTCTCAGGGCGCGCCACGTCCCGGGGGTCCGGAACGTGGGAGCCGACAGGATGTCCAGGGGGGCCCACTCCAGGACGAGTGGGGCCTGGCCCCACGGGTAGCCGCGGAGATCTGGCGGAGGTTCGGTCGTCCAGTAGTCGACCTTTTCGCCAGTGCAGAGAACGCACAGTGCCCGTCCTGGTTCGCCTTAAGGGCCGCGGACGAGCCGCCTTTAGGCGTGGACGCTCTGGCTCATTACCCATGGCCAGGCGGCCTGTTGTACGCTTTTCCACCGGTGCGTCTCCTGCCGGTCCTACTGCGGAGGATCGAACAGGAGAGGAGGTCGGTGATTCTGGTGGCTCCGGACAGCCCGCATGCCCGGTGGTTCCCCTTCCTGAGGGGCATGGCGGTGATGGAGCCCTGGGCCCTCCCGGACGAGCCGGGGGCTCTAGTCCAGGGGGCAGGAGCCCTGTTTTCACGTCCGATAATCGGCCGCAGGCTCTGGGTTTGGAGGTTGAGAGGCGGAGCCTCGTAGATCTGGGTCTTCCCCCTGCGGTGGTGGAGACAATTCAGGGAGCGAGGGCGCCGTCCACCGTGAGGGCCTACGCCACGAGGTGGAGGCTATTCAGTGCCTGGTGCGATTCCCGTTCCTGGGATCCCAGGTTTTGCCCGCTGGAGGGGGTCCTGGGATTCCTACAGGAGCTTTTCGACAAGGGGAGGGCTGTCGCTACCTTGGCGGTGTTTGCGGCAGCCATTACTTCAGGTCACGACGGGTTCGGGGGGTTCACAGCCCGCTCTCACCCGTTGATTAAACGTTTTCTGCGGGGGGCGCGCAGGAGGAGGCCCCCGCTCCAGAGAACGCCTCCGGTTTGGGACCTCAGGGTGGTCCTTAGGGGGCTGTCGGGTTCGCCTTTTGAACCGGCGGCGGAGGCGAGTCCCGATTGTATCGCTTTTAAGACGGCCCTCTTGCTGGCGTTGGCGTCTGCAAAAAGGGCGGGCGATTTGTGTGCGCTCTCAGTCCATGCGTCGTGCCTGTCCTTTGGAGAGGACGACGGCATGGTGGAGTTGTGGCCCAATCCGGCTTTTCTCCCCAAGGTCATCACGTCGGCCTTTAGGTCGAGAGTGATCAGGATTAGGGCTTTCCACCCGCCGCCGCATGCCTCCCCCGAGGAGGAGCGGCAGCACCTTCTGTGTCCTATCAGAATGCTGAGGCATTACCTGGCCATGACGTCGTCATTCAGGTCGGGTGATCAGCTGTTTGTGTGTCTGGGCCCCAAGAACAGGGGCGCCCCGCTGTCGGCTCAGCGGCTGGCGCATTGGGTCGCCACGGCGGTGCGACGGGCGTATCAGGCGCAGGGCCTGGCCCCCCCGGTGGGTTTCAGGTCGCATTCCACGCGTGGGATGGCGGCCTCTACGGCCCTTCTCAGGGGGGCGTCGGTCGAGGACGTTTGCCGTGCGGCTTCTTGGGCGTCGTCCTCCTCTTTCGTCCGGTCTTATCTTTCGGATGTGTCGGACCGGTCGGTGGCCCATTCCGTGCTGAGTGCAGCGGATTGAGTTGGACCGTTGGGTCCCTCCCCTGAGGAGTGGGCCTTCGGTCTATTTTTCCGCCCTGGTGCAGGAGCTCTTGGGAGAGGCATCCTACAGGTGCGGTACATATATGTGTGTTTGATCGGTCTGGTAGTCTACATCAGGAGCTCTTGGGAGAGGCGTCCTGTGACTACGGTTGACCTACGATTGGTGTTACGTGGGGGCGTCCTTGGTAGGAGTGGCCCGGTAACACGCTTTGTTTCTTCTGCCCTGAGTCCTCTCACGGTGTGAGGGTCTTGCTCGGGCGGAGCTCCAATCACCCTTCGCTGGCCTGCTGGGAGTACATGTTCCTACGGCCTCCGCGTTGTGTCCCACTAGCGAAGTCCTAAGGGACGTAGCACCATGACGTAGAATTAATAGTTACCTAATGTAACTTAAGTTCTACGAATAGGTGCGTAGTCCCTTAGCTACGAGCCCATCAGGCCAGCCCGGCTTGGCAGAGTTCAAGAGGGGGTGCGGCCTTGTGCAGGGGCATTTATAGAGGAAGGTGGCTGGTGATTGGAGCAAATTATTTTGATCTCTCTGGCGTCTGTGACCTGGGGGTCACGTGATATCCCACTAGCGAAGTCCTAAGGGACTACGCACCTATTCGTAGAACTTAAGTTACATTAGGTAACTATTAAGTCTATACATATGGCTTTTAAGGCTGTACATATACGAGCACTTCTAGAGCATCATGACATTGTATATTAACATCAGCGTTTGTAATATATAGTCTATGGTTATTATACATCTGATTAGAGAGCATCAAATCCAGTCACACACTGTTTTCCAGCATTTCATTTCCGGTTTTAATACAAAATGATTATTGTGACATAACCATAAAATATGCTGCAGCATTGTATATCCCCTTGCAAACCTAAATAAATATTGGTAAAACAAAAGTGCAAAAATGCCACAAAAACCACATTTTAAATTCTGACCAGCACAAGAAAGTTGAGTCAGTTAAGAAGAGCTTAAATAGTGGTTTCCTTCATTGTGAAGTAGCTCAGGAAAAGTGCCGCTATGATACAAAATAAAAGAGACAAACATTGATCACATTGAAACACGTTTTGAGAAGCTGCACATTTCAGACAAAATCCTGGAGATATCAGATTTACACACAGGAAGATCTGGTATTAACATGCAGAAACACCATTGCAAATGACATTTAGGGATAGCAGTTTACCTAACAAAATAAGAATGATTAAAAAAAATTCAACCAATACAAAACCAACTGGGCCATATATAACTATGAATCTCTTGGATAATGATCTGATTATAAAAGGAATTTACAACAACAATAATACAATAAATTAATACCAAAGGAAGGAAAAATAAAAGGTGCACTTTCAACAATGATTGACAGTCTACTACATCTGTGGCTATTTTATTCATTCCTCATTCTGATTTATTTCTCCATGTTTTCTTATGTGTCCAAAAAATATTGTCTTATAGACAATTTTGGAAGGCTGTTAATGCGATGCTACAAACCAACTGTAAAAAGTAGTTGTGACCACCATTCCCCAAGTCAGGGGAGTTATACAAAAATATGTGGGTTAATCTTTGACTTTGACTAACAAAACTATAAACACGACCTGAATGCAAACTGACGTGGATAATTACTAAGAGAATAATGATTGAGATTCTGTTTTTCAAACGTTTCTACCATGGAAGCAACTCGAACAGATTAAAATTGGGTGCATTTTTTTGTCATTGCTACGGAGACAGGATCACACGCAGACCAAAACTGAGTTTTAACACAACCAATTTGAAGACTTAAAGTCTTCAAATTGGTTCCCAAAGGTAATGTACACAATTTAACAACCGCACACATGAATCCATTGTCAAAGAATGCACTTGGATATTCAACAAACATGTTCAGTTGTGAGGAGATTTAACACTTATAGCTACCTTCTTTCCTGTGAAAGTTGTACCTGAAAAATATATAATTTTTACTCCATACAATAAATGCCATAGGCTGAGGTAAAAGTAAATGTCTCATGATCAGATATGAATAAAAGGATGGTACAGTAACAAGAATACAGCAGTGTTGCCAGACCATTATTGTCAGTCAAAACTCATTAAACACTCATCTGTGTGGATACTGATCACTCAAACACACTACAAATTAGGGCTGGGCGATATGGCAAAATAGTAAAATCTCGATTTAATTTCCTGCTTTGGATGATTTCGATTTAAAACAATTTTCATTAAAGTCATTGAAGACAGACGTTGCCCTTAAAAATATTTTTTGATCTTTCCGCTCAATATCCAAGTTTCAAAACGAGTTCTAATTTGTTTCCCCAAATACGTATTATAAAAGTCTTGTACAGACTGTGCTGATATTCTAAGTGTCAAATTCATGTGCTGCTGAAACTCCTTCATTTGATTTCACGATTTTCACATTTTTCACCAATTCGATTTTTTCAGAAGCCAATTAATTGCCTAATCTCGATTTATTGCCCAGCCCTACTACAAACGGAGATCATGATCAGAGTGGAAGCTGCAGGCTCTTCCTCTAAATGCAAATCTAGATGCAGTTGATTGTTGTGAAGTGTTGCATTCAAAACTCACAGAAATGTGAAAGAGATTCCCTTTAACCTAATGTAAGAGAAAATATCATAAACACACCAATAGTTCAGGAACAGATCAGTTGTCCCTGGTTTTAAATGTTATTTTTGATCCAAAGACAAGGAAACACTTATAAAGCTGATTTGAGGAATCAAAACATTGATGGAATGATAAAATATGTCTTTTGCTCCACAGGACAAGAAATGTCTGGCTTTTTTGCCAGTGCATGTTCTGTGCAAAGGGCACATAACGAGATGCAGAGTGAAAGATAATAACTAAAAATGATCTTAAAATGTAACAGCGTCAATTCCATATTTAATCTTGGGAGTGCAATCATCTCTGACTGTGTGAGTCCTTAACTTAAGAGACTCTCCTCTATTCACTAGAACTCAGCAAATTCCTTTGCACACTTTTCTGTTTGGGACACATGGATCTCCTCCTCTTCATAGTCATCAAAGTTACTTGTGTCTCCAGGTCCTCTGCACTTTGGCAAGAAAGGAGCCTCAATCTAAAACCACATCAGACTATCAGTGTCACAGCAACAGAAGGAAAGAGAGTAAGATATGGATCAGTGCATTAGTGGAGCGTTAGTACCTTTCTTTCATAGATGGCAATCCAGTCTGTTGACGAGAACCACTTGTGATTTTTAATGTCGTTTACCCCATTCTTCAGGTTACCAAATCTCTTCGTCAGGTCTACTTGGAGTAGATTTCTAAGGAGATCCTTCAAATCTGAACTGAAGTGAGAAGGGAATCGTACCTACAGAAATACATAGTCATTAAAATGCATTCAATAAGGATCATTCACTTAGATTAGAAAACAAATCTAAAACCATACGTTGCAAATAATGTAACAGGCAATAATTGAATACCCTAACCCTAACCCTAACCTCTCTCATAACTCATAGACTCATCAGTTCACCAGTTGTTGGCTCACCCCTCCCTCTACATGTCTGCCTCTCTCTCTCTCTTTCTGTCTATGGTGGTCCCCTCCACCTCCCCCACCCACACTCCCCTCTGACACGCCATATTGGACGAGGCGGGTCGGAGTGACAATGTCCCTTTAAAAAAGATCCGTAAGCTTTTCCCGCATGCACTGTTTCCATCCAATAATGTCTGTTGAAATATATGTCTGTTTGCTCTCTGCTGTTGAATAACTGTCATAAGGAGCACGGATATGTTGTCCGCAGCCGGCCTTGATGTTTTTTCATCAAACTGAATTTCTCCATCTGTGAGATAATAAAAGATTGATTGATTGAACCGTCTTAAGTATTTTCCAAAACAAAATGTGATAATTTTTAACAGCTTGTTCTTCACATTCCACACATCCTAAATATTGTCCTACAACAGGTTTATAACTGCGTTCACAACTTTCAGTGCCCAAACAGCAACTACTTAATCTGAAAGCCCTGGTGTCGCTGCAGGTTTCCATTCCAACCAAGCAGGAGCAAACCAGACTCAAGACTACAGGCTGAGACAGAATTCACTTTAGGAAATGGGTGGAGTCAGAGTTTCTCCAACTTAGTTGAAATGGAAACCCGCAGTTGCACCAGCTCCTTGAAGACCTGTTTGACACCCTAAATCAACAGCCACATGCACTCTATTACAATAACAACATCTGCACTGGGGAAAACAACACATTTTGCTTAACTTCATTTAAGATAGTACAGACTGTTAAATGTCAAATGTTTTGACCATAGACAAACATATGGACAGACGAGGCTAACCCAAAGCTCAATGAAGCCCTATACTCCTCTAGCTCACAGGAGTATAGTGTGTCACACTCACTATTTTGGGATTTTAAAAAACTGCGGTCAAACTATCTTATATTCAAATAGGCTTCTTTTGCATTTGAGAACGCACAAGGTTAGTACACTCATGAACAGTCTATGGTTTTGACTAAAATATTATATTATAACTAATATTCACCTTTCCAGATACAATCTTTTCGTATATTTGAATTGGTTGATCAGCGAAAAAAGGAGGGTAACCGGCAGCCATCTCATAAACCAGTACCCCCAGAGCCCACCAGTCCACAGCTTTGTTGTAGCCCTGAAAATAACAAAGGTAATACATTATGATCAACCATGCAATAGTTTCACAGTCAAGACAAGTAGGTGACAAGGCTGATGTCGGCATTCAACTTCATTGTTGTATGCAAATCTGACTTCTTAAAATTAATACATGCTCTACAATGGTTCATTTTCACCTTGCTGAGGATAATTTCTGGAGCCAGGTACTCAGGGGTCCCACACAACGTCCAGGTCCTGCCTTTAACCCTCTTCGCAAATCCAAAATCTGTCACCTGAAGAATAAAACGAGGCCTATGCTTAATACCCAAAACATTCATGCTATCAATTCAATATGTCTACCTGAATGTAGCCATGTTGATCTATGAGCAGATTTTCTGGCTTTAGGTCTCGGTAGATTAGGTCTAATGAGTGAAGGTACTCAAAAGTGAGTACAATCTGAGCTGCATAAAACCGTGCATGATTTTCACTAAAAAAGAAAGATAAAAAATAAACATAATTATTGAATAAAAACAAATAAATGACAACGCATGTGTACACAATACCTGAATCTCCCAGTGCGTCTAAGATGTGAGAACATCTCTCCGCCAGGCACATACTCCATCACCATATACAAGTTTGAGTTGTCCTGTCACAGCAATGAGAAAGTTTAACTCTCTTTGTAAGTCTAACTGTTCACTGCTGGTCATGTCATTTGCAGACACATTTTAGTGGTTTCACTGAGACCTATTCAGGATGTTTGTTAAATCATACAGACCAAGAACGTATACAGTATACATGTTATAGTCAGGTATAGTTTGTTCCTTAGGGGTCTGGCCAAACACTTACTTTGAAAGCGTACACCAGTCTCACCAGAAAGGGGAAGGACACAGCCTGCAGAATTCTCTTTTCATTTAAAGTGTGTTCTATCTGCTTTAGCTTCACCACCTGAAACATAAACATCATAACTTGGTAGAGGCACAAATTACTTCAGATAGACTGAACATAGACGGATGGAGTCAAGATTCATAGCATTAGCTATATAGATTTTCTTTCACAATTACTCAGCCTAAATTAGAGATTAGAGATTAAAAATGGGTTACCCAACTTGCATGTCGTTTATCAGAACGGAAATGGTCTTAAAGTAGACACTTGCTGTCCTCATCTTATTTTAAAAGTATTTTCAATCTTTGGCATACTTGAAGTCATACTTGCAGTCTTGGGGCTGAAAGATCTTTCTATTTCGGAAAAAGTTGATCATAGATTTTTTTCTGTGGTTTGAAAGTTAGATATCCCAGCTTTGTCTTTATATATGGACCAAGTAGACAAAACTGAACTAACTGACCTGGTTGGAATGTGGTTGTATTTTTAAAACCAACTATTTACTTAGGTCCGACTTGGTGTGAAAAAAATGTCAATTTCAAATCGGGCGATTAATTAAACATCAACATAGTGATCATTACTAGAAAACATGTGCAATTTTGTACATTTTTACAAATGAAATCTATAGATTCCTACCTATTCTTCTGCATGTAAAAAAAATGACAAAGTCTCTTAATGTAGTGCCACCTTAAGACGCACAAATGTCCACTTTAAGCATGATAAGAACCTTTCAACTTAAGCATGTGCACAAGAGGAAATGCTCCACTTCCTTGTTAGCAACATATGAGCGACATCAGAGAGTACATGGACCACATCTTTAACATACTTCTCTGGAACTTACTTTCTGTTTGTCCAAGATCTTCATAGCATAGAATTGGTTTGTGCCTTTGTGTTTGACGAGCATAACACGGCCAAATGAGCCGGTACCCAGCGTCTTGAAACGGTCAAAATCATCCAGGCCAGTTGTGCACTGAGAACAATAAAACAGTTAGTTAGAAATACATGTGCCTTCAGTCCTCACATTATTTCACACTAAGGCCAGTACTGAAAAAATATTTGATTATTTTATTCACGGTAAAGTGTACCTGAGGAGGACATTCCCACTTTCTTAGAAAATCCTCTTTGGCTTTGGCTAAGAACTCTTTCACTATGAAAAGACAAGAAACATGTAGTGAGAGTTAACTGGATGATTGTTGTTTGAAAATGTTACAGAGCAGTTCTCTCATTGAAAGGGACAAGGTCAGGCAATGGTCAGCTACAGGGGAAGCAAGCTGATAACAAACAGCAAAAGGTCAAAAGTACGGGAAAAAATAAATCTGTGGAGCAGTAAAGTGATGCAAAGAGCTTGGAAAGATTTTAAGGATACACAATATGTCAAGAATATTGAAATCAAAAGCTATTCTGCATCTCTTTAAGTGTATGTTCACATCCATATTTTGGCATTGTTATACTGTTTCAGGGCGAGAGGAGCTAGCTAACAAAATGCAGGAAACTTGTGAAATATGATGGTCACAGCAAACATGAGCTATCCAAAGTCACAGAGTCATAAATGAACTATTCATTTAAACTAATGGGAATATATTCTCTGTGATTTGGGATGGCTCATAGAGTGAGAGCATACCAAACGTCTCTACAGTTGACCAACGGTTTGCAGGAACATTGACCCAGATGGATGGAAATGACAAAAAGGAGAAAGAGAAGAACAATAAATTGACGGAGGACAATTAAAACAGAGTTAGCTTGGTAGTCTTAATTTGGTTTGAATCTGATTTTCCCTTTAAAAAGCAAAAGGCCTGTATGGTGAGGTATTTTGAACCCATATAAATCTGAAGTGAAGGCGCTTGAGATTATTCTTTTTTATCAAACAATGAAGAAAAACATGTTTTTTTGTTAAAACTGTAGATCATATTATAGATCACTTTCATGTACTGCTTTGTCTGTGTCATAAATTCCTCACTCAACTCTTGTAGAGTTGAGTGAGGAATGCTACTCACGCATGTAGCATGTAAGCTAAATGCTCTACATGTTTCTTTTTTCCCAAATACACATCATTACGACCTGATTAAATGCATTGGTCAGGGGTCTTCATATACAGTATGTAATACTGAAAGACACAACTAGAGTATGTTTGTAATATAGAAAATAGAACAAATACTGACACCTATGTATTTCAATAAAATGTATTCATTCTTATTGCATTGACATTTTTAGAGCAGATTTAGTGAATAAATCAAGAGACAAATCAAAGAGTGAACTTGATACATGCAAGCATAGCTAAAACAAAGAAACAAGATGCTTGTAAGACACATCCAATAATGCAGTTAAAATTGTGGGCTGCATTAGCTTTGAATTGACAAGCAGAACAGGTCGTTATGGCGTTCAGCACTGGAAGAGCATAGCCAAACATTTCACTTACTCAACTTATCCCAAAGTATGGTGTACTCTGAGACATGCGGCAGCTCACTCTCCTGTCCTCTCTGGTCCTGGTAACTTTTATTAAGGCAGCGGTGAAAAAAGCGGCTGGCGAAGGACTGATCTTTATGATGGGCCATTTTGGAAGGTTCAGGGACAAACTAACTATTCTCACACCAGAGACCAGAAACTGACACTAGCTTCCTGTAGTGAACCAAGTGCAGTGCAATGCATGGTTAACCACAAAGAAATAAGCTTCCTGTAAAAAGTCTGCATCAGAATGTGAGTGCTTGACTGTCTGTGTGAAAGATTAATACAAAGGCAAAATATGTTAATGAAAATACAAACATAGGCATCACTCTATTACACCATGCAAAGTCCCTGAAATTACAGTACCAACCGCGGTGGTGCTGTTAACAAGAAAACCGAAGCAATTGCCTATACAGTCATATGTCAAATACTGCTCCCTGATGGCAAAAATATTAATTAAAAATGTCAAACAAGCACTACTCCAGCTTATGCTTTCTTTTGACAAAAATAAAATAACAAAAAATATTTTTCACCTGTTTTCAGATGTTGTACTTGTGTAATGTGTGATCCAGAACTGAATTTTCCTCTTAGTAGGGGCTAATAACGGTTCTACGCTATACACAGAAACTAGTTGGTATCGAGAGAATATTGTGTGATATACCCCGTCAACTTTATTTAATTCTGATTTGATCATTTGAAATAAAGATGATTCTGCCTCCCTTTCCTCTAGTGACCTTCTTAAAACCTGTTGTAAGCAGGACACAGCAAAGCTTGTTCTGCAAATGTTTACATATGTCCTTAGGTTCTAAGCTGCCATTTCTAGTCTAAATACTGCACGACATATGCTCACAGATGACATGTGCACAAACGGAGAAATATACATATTTTAGTGTTAGAGAATGCAAGTTTTGTCAGACTTAGAAATAGGCACCCACATATTCATCAGTGAAATAAACTGATTTTTACTATGGTAATAGGAATTATTGACTAACATGTCATGTATTCTGCAGTACCAAACATGGCAATTCATCTTGTGACTTTAATCTGCGAAGAGAACAGTCTGTGTCGCTCACTGTGTGTGGTGTAATCTGACCTCACACTGTATTTACAGCAAGGTATATGGCTATAGTTAATGCAGAGGCATGCTGAGTGTCTGGAGTGCTCACCGCTTTCTTGTTCATTGCCTTTCTTGGCAGTGGCAGAGTTTCCCATCGTAGGAAGAGGAATGCACAGCTGGCCCAGAGAGGTGATGGTAGCGGCCGAGCTAACACGCTCTGTTAGCTAGCAAAAATCTTGTGTTAGCTTAGAGGCTAACATAAACATCAATGCATCTCACCAACAACAGAGCCTCCAATAGAAACAACCCAGAGGTTATTGTTTTTGTATGTACAATGTCATGGGTTGTTATTACGCCTCCTGTGGTACAAAAACATATAGACTTTTCTTCACCTCTGCTGCCTGCTGCTGCTGCTGCTCTGTGGTGCGTTCAGAAATTATCGGAACTCTCCAACTCGTCTTTCCACACTCAATTGAACTAATTTAAAGTCGTTTCGCCGTCTAAATTACTGAGTAGGACATAATATTTATTAACGCAAACAATTGTCAGCGTTAAAAGTAAGTAGGTACGGAAAAAATAATAAAACACCAAGCATTACAGTGACCATCACAAAAAAACTGCATTATACAAACAATATATTTACAAAATATTGTAAATGTTGTGACATCAAAGGAATGATATAAAACTGAAGATATTGTAACTATTTTTAAGATTTTTTTTAATAATTTAAAATATGTAAAGACTTTCATTTGGAACTCCATTATGACTCATTTTGATAATCATAATTACGGTTAAAGTTATACTTGAGTGAGAGGTGTGTTTTTTTTCTGTCTTATAATGCGTTAAATGCCAAAAGAAATTCAGAGGCAATCTATCAAAACTTGCCAGATCTGTTTTCTAGCACCATGGCCAGCGCCAGTTGCCAGGTAGCTGCTGTGTTTGAGTCAGTTGGTTATATGGATCAGTCCATTTGAAGGGAAATGTTTTCTCCATTTGGTGAAAATGGATTCATTTTGAAAACTAATCAGAGGAAGCCTGAAAGTGGGATGTGTAGTTCTTATTATCCAAACGGGGTATCAGAGAAAACGCAAACTTCATCGTAAATTTAGATTCCCCCGCCGTATGGGTCAAATGGTTTAGCCTACGGGACGAGCTCAAGCAATCATTGCACAGAGGATAACCTAACTATGATTCTGCGTTTGGTGTTATAAACCAGCAACAGCTACACTGAATACCGAGTTAAGCTGTATATATTTCAATCTCAAAGGTCTGCCCAGTCTCAGCAGCTCAGCTCGGAGGATGAGCACACAAGGGCCAGCCTGGGAGAGAGGTAACGTTAACGCTGAAGGCTGCTGCTATGGGCAGTTGCTACATTCGCTTTTTCATCCTTACTGTAGCTCCAAACGCTTCGCAATTTTCCTACATTATTATCATTATAGACCAGGAAATGTATTCATGTTTGGATTGTTACACATTGACGCTAGCTGTCATCCCATCTATCAGTACAATCGGCTGTTAGCCACAGACGAAGCTGTGGCTCTGTCTTTTATGACTGAGTAGTAACAATATGATTCTTGGCTGCACATCTCATCACCGCGTGTACAACCCTCCACCGTGGAAAACAATGCTAATGGTGGTAGTTTATTTACACGTTTAATTATTTTGAAGGCATTTTCTAAATGTGGTTTATCAATAATCCACAAATTACTCCACGAACAAGGGGTGGCCTACTATAACCTAACTGATTTGGGAGATACCATGTTGTTTCTGTTCAGACTGTTGGCATTCATTGAATCATTGGCATAAAACCCCAAGTGTACTTGGAATGATCAAAACCGGCTCAGAATGTAACTGATTTTCTCCAAAGTACTGACTTATCACACCTTAATCATTCCCTATTGCAACACGAGACATATGGTGGGTGTCTTTTTAATCCCACTAGCTGACCACAAGCTGACAGTACCCTAGAGATGACTGTTCCTCAGAGGCCAACAAGGTTGCATAACAGTCGCTGCTGCATCAACACATGATAGTTTATGACTAAATGAGGCTCTTAAGCATGTGATATGCATGATTGGCTTGGTAGATTGATGTTGAGTTGAACAATTGGTTGCTGTACCATATGCCATGCTAAGCCCTCAAAGTCTCTGAATTTTAATCTTTAGATTTGTAATCAGCCAACCAGTTACCTTTTGGGGGCAATTGTTATAAGCCACATAGATTCTTTCAGCTAGCTTTAGTTGTATAGCCTGGTTGTGTGTTCAACTATATTGAATTGTAGTTTTGCATGTGGTTTTGTGTAATGCAGTATTGTGGGCTGACTGCACCAACACCTACTCCTATCTGAGAGAAAGCTCATCGAAAGTTGGGTCACAGCAGGCGATTAGACCTAATTTTAGATGTGCAGAATAAACAGAGTATCCAGTTCTCTGAAATGATGAACCAAATCACATCAAATGTTATCATTAAAGTGCTTATTTGTGTCTTATTATGCTTGCATAGACAATTAAAACTCAAGCTCACTCTCTCACCTTTTGCCACATTTTTCTGTACATAAAAGAATAAAATACATCCCATACAGAAAAAACTGTCCACGAGCCAGATTTATGCAGTCACAACTTATTGCAGTCTGACCACCATGTTGTGAATTATAAGTATTCAGTAGTTTGTAACTTTTACAAAGTAACTTGAGTTGATTTAACTCAGCATTTCTGCCATTAAAATGATTTCCCATGGTTTTCCAGTGCAAATGCTTGTGGTAATCTCCATAATACCAACAGTAGCAGTGCAGGATGTGTGATTGTCAATGTTAAAATTAGATAAATATAGATATGCAACAATATTTACATCCATCTTTTTGTTTCTTTATACATTGCCAATTAATCTGGTGTGTGTGTGAATGGTTGGTGGTGGTCGGAGGGGCCGATGGCTACTGGTTTCCTTGGTTCTGTCAGTTTGCCCCAGGGCAGCTGTGGCTGCAGTAGTAGTTTATCACCACCATGTATATGGAGTGAATGAATAATTGACATGTGAAGCGTCTTTGAGTGTCCAAAAATGCGCTTTATAAAACAATGCATTATTGTGATTATTATTATGATTATTATTATGATTATGATGATGATGATGATGATGATTATCATCTCTTTGGAGAAATAAAGCAAGTAAATGTACTAAGCAGGATATGGTTGAACATCAGTGTGGATCTCAAGCAAATAAGGATGCAATTTAGTATTTTAAATGTAGGCCTTGTGTAAATCCAGATATATAAAAACATTTGGTGAATATAGCCCGTGTAGATTTTAAATTGAAGCCGTAGCACATTGTAATTAAGTGTACAAAGGAATCACTGTACATGCCATTGAACCACATGCACATGCATGGGCTGCTGCTGATGCAGATGAGTGGAACAAAGACCTATCTGTGGTTCAATGATGCCCAGTGCTGTGTGCGTGTGTGTGTGTGTGTGTGCGCGCGCGTGTGTGTGTGTGTGTGTGTGTAATGAGCTCGGCGCCTATGACCGATTATATAGTCCTGTAGCTCCACCTGCTGGAAATTATATGCGTCTATAAAGAGTAATACAATTATACTCTATGAGTCGATTTATTGTACTAATTTTGGAGTTTACATTGTGTTCAGTTCAGGGGCGACAGTAGCTCAGTTGGTAGAGCATTGGCCTTCAGGCCTGAAGGTTGTGGGTTCAATTCCCACCTCTACACCTTCTCCACCAACTCCCACTGATGACTGCTGTCGTTGTGTCCTTGGGCAAGACACTTAACCCCACTTTGCCCAAAAAGCCCCCACTGAAAGATCAAGGCTATGCTCACACTCAGAGAGCAGCCGTCCTCCTGTGGACTCACCACCTGCAGAGGGTCAGTGAGGGGCTGGTGCTATGAGACTTGGGTGGCATTTCTGACTGCCACCCCCCTGACCCAGAAATGGATTAAAGGGTAGAAAATGGATGGATGGATGGGAAGTGGGCCAAGTGCCTTTATTTAGATGCTGAAAATAAATTTCCAGAGAGCCGCATTTTCCCTTTGGGTTTTGATTCCATCCGGATCTTGGTCTTGCTGGATTTTCTTCTTATTCTTCATCATGGTCCACCTCAGGGACGGTGTGGTGACCCATGGTGCAGGGGCTTGTCAGATGTTTCGCTTGTTTCACTTCATCACACTAGCTTTACGCTGCTTTGTTTCTCTTTGCTCTTTGCTCCTTGTTGGGGAAGAATACTTTCAGCGTATATGTGTAATGTACAAGTGTGGGTGTAATAAATAGTAAAAGTTTATTAAACAATATAAGTCTTATAAGTCTATAAGTTTTTTTGACTAAGCTGAAATAAATGTGCTAAATCTGTTTTTTATATCCAGCAAGATAAAGGCACTATGTCATTATACCACCAGAGGCCACTGTTTGAGTTGAAGTGAATTTGTGTTTTTGTTTTTTTGCATTTTGTGAAGGTACACGTCCACGCTTTATTTCAGCAGTAGTATGCATATTTTTTAGAAACAATTCTTTGTTTTAATCAGTTTAAAAAACTTGTATTGCCAAATTTTAATTTACTGTCTGTGCATAATAAGCCACTCACAGCAATAGGTGGCAACATATGAGTGAGCGAGGTAAAAATATTTGCTATATGATAAATATAACAAACATCTCTCTGACTCAGTTATCTCATCAACCGAGCAGTGGAATCTTAATTTATGTGTTGATAACCGCAATCCATGAAATTAGATATTTCCATTTTTGGCAGAGGTCCAGTTGCAGCTATTCTATTATTAATTACATATTATTACACAAGTTGACAGCCAAAAAATGGTCAGGGGTTTCTCAACTGATTTAGACTAATTTTGGTGTTCTGAGTCCGAATATCACATGCATTTTGCTCTATCAGGTCAACTTTTTGAGATACAGCCATAGTGTTACGGATTATGTACGTCTACGTTATTATGAATTCTGCTTATCAAATTTGATGGAGTAAATAAAAACTGAATGACTTTGGATACGTTGACTTTTATTTCTTGAGGAAAAACGTCAAGGGTTTCTCAGCTGATGAGCCGCAGAAATTTGTTTTTTTACGCAAAATCGATTTAAAAAAATATTTCTGTAGCAAAAAATTCTGACCGGATTGAGCAAAACCAAGGTCATGTTCAGACTCACAGCATCAAAATGAGTCTAATTCAGCTGGAAAACCCTGGACTATTTTCAAAAAATATTTTTTTGTTACCCAGTGTTATTAATTTTGAGTAATAAAATAACATATATCATTATTTTCAATTCATCTACAAGTCTATTTACTTTTTAGTTTTTGCACAAAACATTCCTTAATGTTTCACATAGTTTTAAGCATTTATGAAAAAAAATATAATTGAATAATTCAAATGACTGGATTAATCCTTTCAATTTTAGTGAATTCACTTGCATTGAAAAAGATCCGTGACTCTTTACTTCTGAACCCTTCCCCAAGGGTCAAGGGTTCAGAAGAAAACAGTTCTCTTGACCAATATACATAACTGTACAATATAAAGATAGATATAGAGATAGAGCAATATTGATATTGAAGCTTTTACAGCTAGCTAAGAAACATAGCAGCGACTTACTGTATATTTTGTGTGCTCCCTGTGCGCTATTACTACTGTCCTGTATGTGATTTGCAACATTGAAATTTCCCCACAGCGGGACAAATAAAGGTTCTTTTAACTTAAGCGTGGACATGCCCTTAGAGTCATCTTTGAGTCACTTTCTTTTATTCATATTGTTTTTCTTTCTCCACAGGCAGTACTACCATCCCTGTGATCCTACTCTTGAGTTGAATACACTTGGACTTCACTCAAGGCTGTATGTCTCACTCCTCTCTCTTGCCCAAATCCACTGCTCCTTCCCCCCAGACGTCTCTGACCGGGGCCGCTGGTAGGCACCGGGGGGATGCTTAGATGATCCAGTGTGTGGATTGAAGAATATCACAAATACCCACCCAGACAGAGCTGACAGCGTGCAGGGGCCTCTGGGTGCGTTGAGCCCTTTGAGGCCGATCTGTGGGGCACACAGCTCGCCTCACTTCTACTCCCCTCAAGATCCTGAGATGCCCTCACCTTCCAACGATGGAGGTGGGATCCTTCACTTTTTTACACACTACTTAATTTATTTGTTAATATCAATATCATGTTCTCTACTGTTCAGACTGTTTTAGATCCATACATACTAATATCAGGAACTTCTGGCGCCAACATGTAACCCTGCCTCTTCTGTCTGAAAACTCCTGTCTCAGTCCTGTAAAAGTATGATGTCATTGTAACCCTATGACATTACACCCAGAGCAGTTTTCTGCATTTTGATACAAAATGATTGCCTCTAAATCAGTTTTATAATCTTTTGTAAAAAAAAAAAAAATCAAAATCAAGTCTTTCTCCGGGTGGTAGCATAGTGAGTTACTGGCAGGTAGCATTTTTTGCTGTGGCTTTTATGTTCTACTTGAGATATTCAATCACATTCTATAACATTAAATTACAAAATAAAAGTTATTTCTCACTTTCTTTTATTCTTAAAGCATTTTTTGTGTACATCATGTACACAGTTCTGCACTTTATTACATCTTCTATAACTGTGGCCTACTTGTGGGTCTATGATTTATCCAGCATTATAATACTAAACACCATGAGATGTGAAAAAAACAGTGATAAAATTGAAAACTGCATTCCTGTCTAGGTTTTAGGATAATAATTAACATTAACACTGCTGTAACGTGATAAGGTCAAAGAGACAGTATGTTCTGCATGCAATAAAGTATAATCTGTCATTGTGTTTCTCTTCCCTGAAGATCAAGGAGCATCCCCCGTGAACGTGCCATCTGTAGGCTCTTACCAGAAAAGTGGGAAGAGGAAGGTGCACGGGAAAAAGAAGAAAGGCTCCATAACTGCAAATATTGCTGGCACCAAATATGAGATTGGTATAAGACCACATACATACTACATATTATAATGTAACCCTTATCATAAACAAAGATACAAGGGATCTTTGTCATAGGGAAGAGTTCAGTGGTAGAGGGCAGATTATTTATCTGCTTTCTACCGCAATTTTAAACAATAGTCTATTTGGATTGCCACAATGTCTCAAGGACAAAACCCATTGTATTGAGGGCCTTAATGACGACTCCTTTCAACTTAGTATACAGTGTACATAGTCCAAAAACATAACATAGGCACAGCTTGGCCTTTCATATTATACTTACATAAATCTCTGCACTGACAGTTAAACTCAGCGGTGAGCCTAAACCTGCCTGGTAAGCAGTCCAGGCGCATGTTCAGTGCGTTGTGGTGGGTTGCAATCTCTCGGGTGAACTACAACCTCTGAAATTGTGGAGTCAGCAGCATGAAGGGGAAGTTGCAGGGGCTCAGTATCTTGCAGGTTGGATGGGGTCTTGCTGTGAGTTAGCTCCGGAAGCTGTGGCGAGACCCTCATAGTGGCCGTTTGGAAGCCCGCACAGAGGGCTAAATGAATGCTAAAGGCCAGGCAAATGGCTCATTTTTGATGTTATTGCTGACCATACCATTGTTTTGTCCTATGATCGATTGCATTGTAATGATTTATGTTAACTCTGTTGTTAGGAGTTTCAGCAATTAAGGACATACACAAAACTATTATACAACCTTCTATAAATGTATTTATTTTCCATTAAACACAGGCTATTCTGCTCCTTTGTCTAATTAAAATAGGATAAGAAATACTGACAATAAGGCAGTGTACGGCAATGTAATACAAAATCACTATTAAACAAGATTATTGGTGTTGCATCTGTTGAAGATGAATTAACTTTATAGCTGTACTATTGCATTATGCTGTAAAAATAGAACAATTCTCTTGTTTGAATTCCACTGTAAAAAAGAGCAAATGCCCTTCTCCCGTCGACAAAAGATTACCAAGAAATAATTAAGGCTGCTTTTTGTCAGATCATAATTTTGTTTTATTACCACTGAGTGTGAAAAATAGATAGTTGTAATTAGTGATCAAAAGGATTTGAATCTAAACAAATCTTTTGAACAGTAAATATAGAGCTTTATGTGAATTTACTGCAGAGATGATGAATGCATGCAGAGATCATGTATTTTTGATTTCCCTCAGTGCGTGCAGTCATTTGTGAGATGGACTTCATCAAGGCCCGGGACGAGGATGAAACTACTAATCTCATATGGAACGACTCCGCCGTGCAGCATGAGAAGATCGCTGAGCTCAGGAATTATCAGGTAAATACAGAGTTTCCATTCTGTTCAAATCTTTCATCCTGCTGCTAATTTATATGCACAGTAGTCTTTAAGGAATATGTGGAAAAATAGCAATTGAGCAAAACTTTACTATAGTAGGCCAATATTAAAACAATCTGTGATTCAGCATTTTTCATTGGTCATTTATTCTGAAAGTGAACTGAAAATAGTAGCCTTATTGCAAAAACATACTGGCATTTTAGATTATTGAGTCATCTCACTATTTTGAGCGAGGGGAACTTGTTGGACGGGTTTTATTTCAGTATGTTCTATTTTTTGTGGTTTGAAGCAAGTGGGAGTATGGCTTGTGCCATGCTTCATAGTACATTAATATTCTCTTTTGCAATGCCAGCTAACATGTGAAACTGTTTTGCTTACTCCTTATGGTAATAGTAATACAAAAATTGGTTTTGATTTTGCCTGTAGCATTGTAAAGTCTCTCTTTTGTGAGACTTGGCTGGTGAGTTTTAGTTCATGAGCCTAATTAACTCCCCTGTTAAGGCTCATTTGGTCAAAGAAAAATGCACATTTTCCCTTTAACCTCTGCTCCCATTCCAAACAATTCATTCAGCTGTCATTGCAGAAGCTTGTGATGCAGAACCAATTGCCTTCATCCCTAGCCACTAGAGATTTCTTTCTGGTTCTGCCCTTCCCAATCTTTAGAGGGGAAAAATAATGATTAACTAAATAGGATTTGGCAGAAGTTGTATGTAACTTTTAAGTTTTGAATTTCTAATAGGATGTGTTCATGTTATAGAATTTCAGTGAAGGGCATGTGTCAATGCAACAGATTTTTCTTTTTTAAATAAAATGTTGGATTGGATATTGTTACCACTTCCAGACAACTCGATATGTTCTGAAAAAGAAGATGTGACAGTTTATTCACAATAAACAGTATAATAAATTAACAAGGTGGGAGTTTGTTGAAAAAAAAAAAGAAGACAGGTGCTCATCATAGACCGAATTGAACATTGAAAACCGAAGAAGAGCCCCGATGCAGTGACTCTTTTTTGCTGGGCCCCGCTTTGGTACATAAGAATTTTTTGCGCCCACATACACATTTTGTTTTCAGAGTCCATTGCAGTCTATTACACACATTGTAATTCATATAAACCTAAGCCCTGCAGATTGTAATGTGTCAAACTTCAAAAAAAACTTTTCAAAAAAAAATACATAATGAAATTCTACATAAATGGGTTTTAAAACATGACCAACTCCCTGAGAGGAAAACAAAAACATAAGGTTTGTCGTGCAAAAATGCCAACATTAATCCTCACATCTTTTCAGTGGCTGACTGTGGAAACCACTTCCCTAATGTGTAATGAAACCCATGTGCAAAAATACTTTGCAAATCGTTGTGTTGGCTTCTTTCCCTTGATGTGTGAATTAGATATGAATTGAAGATCCTTAAGACACAAGCTATTTGAAATGGTGTGATCTCACATGAACACATCCTGCTGTGCATAAATGTTGAAACATCATAAACTCACTTCAGATAGCTTTCTTCACTAATATCATGCCCACGTGTCTCTCTGCAGAGAATTAATCATTTTCCGGGCATGGGTGAAATTTGCCGGAAAGATTGTCTAGCAAGAAACATGTCAAAGTAAGTTTTTCTGCAAAACACCAATAATATATATTTTTTAACAAACTATTGCATGTTGCTCTACCTTTGAGCATCTATCAATTAAAACTAAAAGACACACACACACGCACACACTCACACACATACACACACACACACACACACACACACACACACACACACACACACACACACACACACACACACACACACACACACACACACACACACATACACACAGGTGGTAGGGGGGAGGACTGGGATTTGTAGGGCCAGGGTTCGAAACTGACCGGGAGCACAATAACACCATCATCCAGTGTGGTGCTACTGCCTAACTCATAATCACAAAGTCACAAAAAAACAATGAGATGCCTCAGCTGGTTATGATGTAATGCAAACCTGCGCATGCGTATCTTACGGCACCTGAAGCAAGCCAAGTGTGATTGACAGGAGCAGCTGACTACTTAAACCAAACTTCACACCAAACTTTTACTCTTAAAACCCACATATCACAACATGGAACCATCAGCATCTCGCCTCAAATGGCAATAAAAGTGATCTGTGTCTTATTTCGTCCGTATTTAAACTTTTTAAACAATTCACAGACTATAAAAATCAATAACCAAAGCCAAGATTGAGTAGCCTATATCAGACAGTGCACATACTAGCTTTTTTGTTTGGATTGGAGTAATATAAGCTTTTTGCTCCTTCCCCTCCATTCATATATCTTAATCTTTTGACAGCAGTCCATTTTGCTCAACTCTGTAGGTTTTCGTATGGACACATCAAATCAATTAGTGACAGTAATAATTAATGAGTTTGTACATCTTTTATTTCCCACCTATAATACACATATTTCAGTTGTTTTGTATGGTCAAGATTCTTCCCACTGACTTGTTTGTCTCCACAGAATGATCAAGTGCCAGCCTCAAGAGTACAGCTTCATCCCCAAAACATGGATCTTTCCGGCAGAGTACACCCAATTCCAAAACTATGTCAAAGAACTACGGAGAATACGCAGACAGAAAACCTTCATTGTCAAACCTGCCAATGGTGCAATGGGTCATGGGTAGGTCAACACACTCACTATATGCTGTGAAAAAAGGGATTGGAAAAAGATCAGAAGGGACAAAAGGTGGGAGTTACGAGGGACGAGGGAATACAAAAGCAGGGCTGCGGGGGACTTTAGCCTCTAGAATTGTTATTGATTTATAGCTTTTCAAATATCCAAAAGTACAGTGAAGACACACTAATAAATAAGGGCTTGCATACAGATTTATTCATAAATATACTATATATTATCTGCCAAAATATAATAATAAAATATCCACCAAAAACTCTATGATAGAAAAAAACCCTTGTGCTTATCACTCACGCCAATAGGTGGAGGTATTGAAGTGCCAAAGGATCAGTATGCTTCACCTTTCCCACTAATTCTCTTTGAATTTGTCCTTTCTGCTTTAATGTGAGCATTGCTTATTACTCCACTAAGCCCTTATTATTATTAAGATATATAATGCAATTAGGGATGAATAATTGCAATACATTTAGAATATGAAAGATGATTAGTTCAGTCCGACTGAGATAAGATTATTTTCCTCTGACTTCTGCATTGTGTGACGCGGCAGGAAATTAAGTTATATCTACCCTCTGTAATTTCTTTTAGCGACGGCTGGCTAAATGAAGTTATTGTTTGTGTTTGAAGCGCTGCTTGAGCAACAAAAAGAGGCTCAAAAAGCTGAGATCCCCTTTGGTGCCAAAGGAAATAGGCAGGGAAGTGTGGGCTGTGATTATCATGGCACCAGGGCTCATCAATCATGTCGTCTTCTCCTCCTCGACTTACACTGCTCCGCCACCACCACGCTCACTTTGGACTTTTCCTCAGTTTGAATGTTCCTGAGAAAAACCCCTGATACAATGTGAAGCTAATATATGACATAATAAAATGAATAATACCTCTATTTATAATAATGTTGATAATACATCTAATATTTAACAAAATAAGTCCTGGAATATGTCACTTTGCATTTGTCATTTAAGGTTCATCCATCCATCCATTTTCTTCCCCTTAATCCATTTCTGGGTCGGGGGGTGGCAGTCAGAGCTGCACCCAATAAACAGAGCACCAGCCCCTCACTGATCCTCCTGCAGGAGGATGGCTGCTCTGTCACTGACATTAGCGCGGGGGCTTCAGTCAAAGTGGTCTCATGGTGGCTCGAATCCACAACCTTCAGGCCCAAAGGCCAATGCTCTACCAACTGGGCCTGTCGCCCCATTTGAAGGTAGAAATTGTTTGACCAAAAGTTGAGTGTTCAAAATCAACAGCAGAATCTGATTTGTCATTTTTTCAGCTGAATTTCAAACTGTTCTGCTTCTGCTCACGGTAATTCTGACTGCTACAGGTGACTATTTTGGGTCATTGGAACGTACAGGATATAGAAACATTCAGCATGCCACAGAGTTTCTCCATTTGTCTTTTTCTAACCCCCCACGACATGCTGGGCTTTGTCATTTACATATCTTTCATGTCAACACACTATAGGGTGTTTTGTGTCAGACCATAGCAGCTAGCCTGCAGGTTATTATGTGGGAGTCAGTTATTGAAGAAATGGTTTATAAACTTTCAAGCACAGTTGTATTTGAAAGTTTATACACCAGGCAGTTGATTTTTTGGGCCAAATTTTTTAGATTATTATGACGGAGCATATGACGGGCTCATCTGATTTCTTTTTTGCCAGATGCTATGAGTCAAAATTTTAGGGGAATAAAGTCGTAATATCAGATTAATCTAGTAAAATTACAAAAATTAATCTAGTAAAATTACGAGACTAATCTAGTAAAATTACGAGATACTATTAAAAGTATATGTGAATTATCTTTAAATATTATGAGATTAAACTCAAAATATTATGAGATTAAACTCAAAATATTATGAGATAAAAAAAAAAAAAAGATGTTTTCATTTACTCTTACATAATTGGTTTTGAATGTTATATAACAACAAAAAACTCAAAATGACTTTCATAGAAATCTTGGAAAATTAGAAAATTGTGCAAAAGCTAATTTATTTTAGTGATTCAACTTAAAATAGGAAACCAAGTTATAGACTCATCAAATGCAAAGCCGAGGCTTGGTTTACCGTCCATATTCTAAATATTCTAATTCTCTAAGATTATTTTAGGTTTCTACGAGCTGTGAGACAGTTATAATCATAATGATGATATATCTCACTTTCTGTGAAATGGATCATATATCCACATTGCTTCACGTTGTACAGAAGTAAATAATCGTTTGAACGATATTATATTTTTCACGTAGTTTCATCTACATATGCCACCAGTTCTCTATAGCAGGATGGTAGGGTGTAAATAGTTTCACACAACCACTGATAACAAATGGAAAAAAGTGTATGTGTTATAATGTCCAAAACATGGCGAAAATAGGATTTATACTGGCTTGTTTTCACTTCATATGTGTTACATTCAAAACATCATCTATCATGTTCATATAACCACTTCAATGCATCTGTCAAACTGTGCTAATGACAACCTCCTTCAAGAGAGAAGTAACCACATTTGTGTCTTCACAGGATCTCACTTATCCGTAACTGTGAGAAACTGCCTGCACAGGAGCACTTCATTGTGCAAGAGTATCTGGACAAGCCCTTCTTGATGGAGGGATACAAGTTTGACCTCCGCATTTACATTCTTGTTACGTCTTGTGATCCGCTTCGTATCTTCCTGTACAACGATGGCCTGGTGCGCATGGGGACAGAGAAGTACCATGCTCCAAGTGAAGCAAATCTGGTAAGATATTCATATTCACAGATACTGAAAGAAACACATTTTTGCTATCAATTTTGTATTTTATTTTTAACAAACATAAATAACACACACACACACACACACACACACACACACACACACACACACACACACACACACACACACACACACACACACACACACACACACACACACACACACACACACACACACACACACACACACACAGGTCCAGAGTGACAAAGAAAACAAAAAAATCCTTACAATTGTTGGACCACATGTTGAAGTAAGATATATTTTAAACATACAAAGCACCCTAAATCAACATTCTGCCAAATAATTGACCATTAAGATTAACTTAAAATGCAAACAGGGAGTTAACTGTTTGGGCTCAATGCTATGCTATTCTATGTTACTATGGTCACCCCCGTGTATGAAGCCTGAAATTGAACATACAGTTTAAACAGTGTGACACATCAGTAGTTTGTATTGGAATCTTTGCTAAGCGTGGTATGAGAGAACCTTTATCAGTAGTACTTTGGTAAATGCTTAAAGTTCATCTACCAGACGCAATATAATTGCCAATTTATCCCAAATCATAAATCCTTAAACCTATCCATCCCAGTGTTGTTCTTTCCAACCAGCCCCATAAATAGGATATTTGTATAATCAGAGCTGTAACATTCAACATAATGAGGAAGTCTTTTTCGGTCAAGTCTTTCTCTGCTTTGCCCATACTTTCATATAAGGTAATTTATGTTATTGCTAAGAAGGCCAGCAAGTGAAAAAATTGCACAGCATACCACTTCTGTGAGATGAGTTGAACAGGAAACTCATGAAAGACAATGGGTAGACGAGGGCGCATGAACTAAACTACTTGTATGATGTTGGCCGTTTTTGAATTCATGAGCACCTATTGGACAAAACAGTCTGTACACTTGATATTGTCTGCACTTTATTCTGACCGGGTTCGAACTCTTCTTTTAGAGTGGAGTTTGCATGTTCTTCCCATGTCTGCGTAGGTGTCCTCCAGGTGCTCCGGTTTCCCCTACCACTATAAACATGTCCAATAGGTCTGGCATGCGCCTCCTGTTAGGCGACCTCGCTCCCATCGCTGTGTGGAGTGAGAGACAAATGCCCAAAATTAACAATTGTAAAGCGCTTTATGACTCTGGTGTGAGAATGGCGCCATATAAATAAAGATTATTTATTATTATTACTTTATTTGCTCAATATTACAAGCCCGCTAATTAGATTACAGCAAAGCAAATATTTCAAAAAAATGCAAGCATGCAGCTTCTCTGTGATGACGAGAATGAGTAGACAGCTTTTTATTGTAATTCCAATTCCAGCTGAGCTTTTTCGTATATAAGGTGTCAGTCTGGATAGAGCACACATCTGTGTCAGGGTGACTGTATAAACAAACAACAACAAGCTTCATATGTGCTCACCACCATAGCTCTATCATTTCAGCTATAACACTTTTATTGTCATTTATTGTCATGTAGGTCCAATGTCTTAAAATAAAGAGGGGGGGGGGGGGGGGGTGTGTCTGCCACTTAAAAATATTAAAGTTTATTACAGACATGAGGTCCATATAAAAAAGAGTACAAAAAGTACATGCTGCCCACAGAGCAAAGAATATAGAGATGTCAATGATGGATGAAATGGAAAGAGCAATGATAGAATGGGTGGTTTAAAAAAAAAAGAAAAAGACCCATGCATTCTTTGCATAATATCAGCATGCACAGTGAATCACACATGGTTCCACTTCATATGCCGAAATCCTCACTCATAAACCTGGATACATACACCCCATACTGCAGACCCAGATTCCTTTAATATCAAGCTGCTCATATTTGCCTTGAGGTTGTGCACCTGCTGTAGTTCAGTGTGTTGATCTGATCGTGAGACGTGCATACACATCGCACTCAGAGCTTGTATCAGGCCTGATGCTTATCTGCGATATGAGAACAGAGCCTGACCCTCTGCTGTGCATTGTCTTACCGCATCTGTGACACGTGACGGAGTGAGGTGTGCACTGGAAATAAATGTTCCATCCCATTGTCAGATGGCTCAACTTATGTTAAGGCTGTACTATTCTATGCTAGGGCCAGACTGATGTTGATATGGTTGTCTGCTTGTTTGTTTGTTAAATTTAAATTTGATTCAAATCTATTTTTTTGTTTAGCCGTAAAAACAGCAGTCATCTCGTAAGACTTCACTAAGCTGTCAATTTGCCAATAACAGACCACAGGAAATGCATTATTAACGAACACATAAGAGCCATTGGTCCATAGGGAAGTGGGATGACCAATGACTGTAAATCTGCTGATTGTGGACAATCGTTGGACATGATGGCTGAGGGGCATTGACATTGGCGTATATTTGTGAAATCTACTTAGGCTGGTTTAATCTGCTAACTCATTAGTTGGGGCCTTAGCACTTGTGTTTGAGGTATTCCACCAATTCAACCAAATTAATTTAGACTATCTCATATTGGGCTCCTGTGGAATCACCACCAACAGGAGTATCAGTGAGGGGCTGGTGCTATGTGAATTGGGTGCAGCTCTGACTGCCAACCCCCTGACCCAGAAATGGATTGAGTAAAAGACAATTGATGGTTGGATATTTCATATTTCAGAAAAGCATACAGGAGATTTACCCATCAAAACTACTTAAACCCTATATGAATTTACTGACAAAGAAATTATCACAGTACCCATGAAACTCAATATATATCACTCATTATCAATATCAGTCAATATTATTTTTCTTTATTTTGCTTTTTTATTACCTTATTTGGTGTTGCATCTCTTAATAGTTATTGTTATTACTTCAAATCATTCAACCAAAGTAAAAGCTGGTAAAAGTTAGCCTATTTTTTCCCCTCCTTCCCAAGTTAGAATTTTCTTCTAAGCAAAATTACCATTGGTGTGAATTGATCACACAAATCCTGTACTTATTTTTTACTTCAAGCCTATTCCTGACTTTTTCCACCCATGTCCAAAGAGTTCTTAAGCACTTTTCACAATTTTCAAATCCCATAGCAATTTTGTGAGAGAAATTTTATGCTTTATAAATAAGGGAAAATTCAGTATGTGATCTCAAAGATAAAGAGCAGCTTTTTTTTTGTACATTCAAAATCGCTAGACAATTTCATATAAATTGGAACAACTTTAGATAGAATCCTAATAGACATTAACATCTAGCCTTTCAGAAAGGACAGCAAAAAAATAATGCTTATTTTCCATCTCATTTTCTTTCTTTTTAGAGCCAACTTTATATGCATCTGACCAACTACTCTGTAAACAAACACAATGAGAATTTTGAGCGTGACGAAACGGTGGACAAAGGCAGCAAGAGATCCATCAGCTGGTTCACAGAGTTTCTTCGAGCCAATGACTACGACGTGGCCAAGTTCTGGGGAGACATATCAGTGAGTACTCTGCCCACCCAGACAGATAGACAAACATGCACGCACTCACACACACACACAGACACACACACACGTTTTCAACAGATTATAGCCATAACCCAGGAATGAAAATAAAAGACACCTGTATTTCAAACAAGACTTGCATACATCCGTAGTCTATTCGGCCAGTACACACATTTCCTCAGAAGCCCGTTCATTCTTCGCAGAGACCAGTCGGGTTTGATATGATTTACTTTGACAGTAATTCAGCAAGCATTTGGGCTTTGTTTAAGTCTTGGAAGAGCTTGGCAAAAACATCATTCCTGGTCGGTGAGTTCTTGGTATCTGAGGCTATAGTCAGCTTTTTCAAAATCGCTGTCTGTTTGGACAATTTTCTTCCTCATCTTCACCTGGTTTACACATAGTTTCCGATGTTTGTCCTGGCCATTTCCCTGTCTCTTGTTTGATTTGTTTAGAGCCTCTTTATATATTCTAATTGGATTCAGATTCAGTTTTGTATTCCACTTGAATTGTAAGTTTTATGATGTAGAGTCAATGGTCGGAAGTCCCTCAGTCTCACACTGAGCTTTTTCAGTTGTTGTACTTTGACCTGCCTACGGCAAAGTTGTGCTTCCTTTTAGTTGTGTTTTTCATCATGTGATGTCAAGGGCTTGACTACTTATTTGACAGCTGAACTATTATTTTGAACTACCTTTAGTGCGCTGCAATTCCTCAAATGATGAAGGAATAACATCAGCGTTATGATAATATTTGTTTATTCAAAAACATTGCTAAGTTTAAGGTTTCGCTTATATCACATTATTTAATCTATTCTGAATCTCAATCATTTTAGGCATATTTATTTTGTTCCCTCCTTTTCATTATTTAGTATTATTGACATTCTGTATGGGTCAGATGATCAAAGACAGCCATGCTACAGACAGAAATGTATCAATTTGAATGAAAAAAGTAAAAATAAAAACAGATTTAGAGTTGACTCACTCATACTTGAGTAGTTTTGTTTAAATGCAGAAAATATGTATCACGATTATTAGTATTTTATGTTTTAGGTGTTTATGCTTTGGCCAAGAGACACAATTTTGTATTTTAACCCATCTATAAAAGTCCCCACATAGTATTTTGAGCTTTTTCAAAACTGGGGCCTCAGGATAATGGAGAGAAGGTGGCAGAGAGGACACACACAGACTGCAGCAATGATGGGACTGTGTTTGGGACTACAGTGGGAGCAGGTGTTTGTACTGGGCAGCCTTAGGGTCACACTGGGAAATGGATGGACTGGTGGTTGTGAGCACGACAGACAGGCAGATAGAAAAGAGGGGGGGAAAAACAGAAGCGGGGCCATTTGCCTTATCAGTCAGCGGCCAGACAACCATGGCTCTCCGTCTCCTGTACCCAGCGGTCAAACGGGACCGGGTAAACTGCAGGCCAGATGCACTTTCTGAGCCCAAACTGGTGTGGTGTTGTTGGGCATAGTCCTGTGCACATGTTGGAGTGTCTGTTCAAAATAGGGCTGTACGATTTTGGCAAACTATCTAATTGTGATATATCTAACAACATTTTGATTGCACGGATTTTTTTATACCCTGTAAGTTTTAAAAGTCTAAATTACACATTTTATGCACATTTCAGAAAATGTTTATAGAGTTCCAATCTATAGAACAACCATTTTTTTCCTCGTAGAACTAAAATATTTTTGCATAGTCCCTGTTTTGTTTGTATAGAACGACTACTAAAATTTTGATTCAATTGCAATTAATCATGGAGCCCTGTTCAAAATATATAAGGGCAATGTTTCCAAGGAGAGAAGCAGTGAAAATGATCATTGATCAATGATCATTTACTCTAATAATAATCAGGTTTATTGGACTTTAATTAAGCCATTTTCAGACAGTCACAGTTGGCACACTTAATAGGATCACGGTTAGTTGGATATGTGGTTAAATACAAATGTGTAAAACATGAATTCTGTTTTAAATGTGACTCTTCAGGAGCTTGTGGTGAAGACTCTGATTGTGGCTGAGCCCCATGTGCTGCACGCCTACCGCATGTGCCGCCCTGGACAGCCACCAGGGAGCGACAGTGTCTGCTTCGAGGTGCTGGGCTTTGACATCATCCTGGACCGGAAACTCAAACCGTGGCTTTTAGAGGTACACCTTTTTTTTGTACAATGTGGGTTACATTTATAGGAGTCCTAATGCAACAATTATCTATGTTTAGTCGTCAAATATTGGTGGAAAACAACTACAAACAGAATATTAAAAATATCACTACTTTTGCAGTTTATTAAATCTTTACATCATTTACATAGATACACTCACACAATGTATTTTGTAAAATTGTAATTTTGTTTGTTAATAGTAGTATTGTCTATTATTATGCAGGTAAACCACAAAACCTTACTTGGCAATGTACTAAATTCATAAATAAACACAAAGTTTTAAATTTGACTTCATTATCATTACAATGACTATGTTTTCGGAAGTAGTAGTAGTAGTAGTAGTAGTATTATGATTATTTCATTTCAGTCTTTTATTAATACAGAAGTGAAAATACACAGAAATGTATGCAACAATCTTCATATAAATGTAGATATAATTTAAATTCTTAGGATTCACACTCCTTCACTGTTATTCAGTATCTCTCAAATCACATTATTATCATTCAGAAAGAATCTGCAGTGCGAGAAACCTCTTGACTCTGCTTCTCCTTTGCTCCCTCTAAAACTGAAGTAATGTGCTATTAGACAAAGAATGAGGCTGTTTGACAGTGACAGAATAAAGCATAAACACTCGCACATTTCACTTACACAGCGCCTGCCTTTGTGCACAGAAGCACTCGCACATCACCCACGCGGCCGTCTAAACTATGTATTTATGCACCTCTGAAGGAAACGAGAGGCGCGCTCCTATGTAAAATCAAGGAAACATTCATACATGCTGACAATAGACGCTCACTCAGCCACATGCAGGAAGGATACAATTACAGGCTTGTGTGCACTCTTACAACCATCCATATGTGTCCGGGGGGAAAAATAACTCCTCCCATTATTTCTAAGATACCCAAGTGCTTTATAATATACAGAATATAGGTCAGGGTAGGTTGACTTCACAGGTACCCCTCCTCTCCCCAATCTGCCCCTCACTTGTCATTCTGTTCTCATTAGGTCCAGTCCAGGTTTTCCCTCTCACCTTCCTCATGTCAAGCAGTCAGTTAAAGCATGACCTAAATCCCTTAACCCGAAGTGGCTGCGCGCCTTTTCCCCTTTTTTCCTCTTTTCCCTCAAGTTGACTCAAGAATGGGGAAATGCCTCCCAGGGTAATTGTTTGTTTTTCCCAATCATGCCAACCCAAAATAAATCTGGTGTTTTTATCCCCCAGAAGTGCCTGATTTGATCCGGAATTGAGTGGTTTTTGAAAGTTGGGGTGTGTGTTTGGTGAGCTATCCTATAATATCAAACTGGTTTTAATTAGGGAATTTAAATATTTAGTACATACAGACCAAACCTACCACAGATTAGTTTCAGTTTTTGTTTTTTTGTTAATAAAGAGTATGTACAACTTTTATTAAAATGCTGTTAACGTACATATTTCTTCAGATTTTGCAACATATTTCACAAACATTATTATTTGGTTTCTTTTCACAGTTTTCTTTTTTCTTTCTGGTTTTACATGATGCTTGTGTAGTAAAACAGGTATTTCTACTTGAAGAATTTAATGGGACAGTAATAGTTTTTCATATACATCATGTCCCCAGATAGGTCAGCATGCATAAATTATATTTGACCAAAAGTGGAGGCATTGTTGATTGAAAGTACAATGGTCATAATAACATAACAATATTTATGTTTACAATTTTCCAGATCATCCAATCAGTGAGCAGAATGAGGCCCTCATTGGGTTGCCAGTTTGGTGAAATTTTGCCGTTCTTGACACTATCTAAAACATTTTTCCGTTTATAGCTGTATCTTATACAGCAGGAGTGCCGATAACATACTGTCCCCCTAAAAATACTTACTGGTATATACAGGCCAACCAACTTATTAATTAATTAGTTTATTTTTTTTCTACACAAATTAAAAAGTTATGTTGCACCACTGAGCTTGGGGAATCGCAAAACCCAGCATTAATGTATTTCAGGCTTGGATCATGGCACGTATACCCTTAGCATTATTCTTAATTTAAAAAAAAGCACCTGTTGATATTTTTCATGTATTTAAAAACTATTTGTCTGTTATGAAGTGACAAAAATGGCTTGTACGCTGTTACCTCTGAATGCTTATGCAGAAGACAATGTTTTGGGGATTTTGCAGTACTGTGCGCTTGTGTGCGTGTGAATGTACGAGACGTGGTAAACAGCCGTAAATGCAGTTGTTCCACTCCAGAGGTAATGATCCCCCCTGTGCTACTAGCAACACTCTATAACCCTCATCAATTAACAACCCACTCACATAGCCCTGCTTCTCTTTCACGCAACATTTACAGCCACTATCATTTATTTCCCAAAATCCAACTGATTAGTCAGGGGATAGTTACGAGCGCAGACCTCCGTTTCCCATCCGCAATGCACTGAAAACAACTTTTGATACCATTTTCGTTCTTTAACATTCATTGTATTCACTGGAGACAAACTACACAGCCAAGCAGCCACATACACTGGAAGATTAAACAATGTTATGTGAATGGAGATTGCTCACCCTAGTTTTGGGCTTTTACATTTTCTGCATTTTTCAGAATGTACAGCTTGTTATAAGAAAAGGATACAAGTAGAACTATCATTAAAGCTGACATAACATTTGTATTAATAAATCATATATAATTGTTTAACCCAACAGAAAGAGTCTTGTAAAGTCAGAACAGTACATGCTGTCTTGATCTTATTCAAAAACATATTTTGCAGACTTGTACAAAAGTACTTGCATTTTTTGACGCTTTGGGCTGAGAGCTGATTGGCCGTGTGAAGATGTTCCTTTTTCAGCTGAAAAAGCTGATTTGTCAGAGGCCTGTGGCATGTGAAAACTAGTGATGGACCCAAACTATTTTGGAACTGGTTGGATGGATATATAGTTAGATTTTTGTGTGATTTGAAAATGATGTGTCCCAGCTTTAATAGAATTGGTCAAATTGGCAAAGAAAGCTTAGTGTAATGTAGAAAATCTTCCCTAAAGCTCAGCAGGTTCAATTGAAATCAGTTTATTTATGAATTCAATTGACTCACAGAATAACAGAGGACATTAAAAATGTTGACAGATTAGAGAATCAAACTATTCAAACACAGGACATGCAGTACTAAGAAACATACAGGAGCCATTGGTCATGGGTTATATGTCATGTTTTCAGTAGTTAACACTGTAGGTTTCAAGTCAATTCAATTGGTTTCGTCCTATTTCACTTTCCCCCATTTTGTCAGCACTGGTCGTTCAAACGTCACAGGAGTTGAAGCAGGATCCTATATGCCAGGTTTGTGTTGCAGTTTTGGACGTCGCCTCTCAAGTTTCCATATTGGTGTCGCTGTGAATTATCCAATGCCATGCCTCGCTGGGCCTTTACCCAGACCACTGCTCCAGCACCGTCGCTCTGTTTTACTCTTTCAAATGTCAGAGTTGGTTGTTGGGTTCGCAAACGTCCCGGCAGGAAATGAATGTTCAACCTGTGTAAACTCGGACCAGTCGGATACCAGAAGGTTAGATAGTATCGTATAAAGGAAAGTGTCAAGTGGTATTAGTCCTATTTTTTGTGTGTACATTTTTCTCTGTCATTTTGAGCCTGTGCAGAAGCCGTATGAAGTCTGCAAACATTCATTTTCTCCAGAAACTATAGCTATAGTAGCGATCAGTCAGGAAAAAAAAACACAACACTGGGATCCATTTTGCTAGAATCATTATTCCAGTAAAATAATATGTTTGGAAAATAACAATAATCAATAAAGTTTGGGATGTTTAGAGTGCAAACCCTTTGACATTTTTTTGAGAAAATCTGAATAACTTTTTTTCTAGTTAATTAAATTATTGTTAACTATATATATATATATATATATATATATATATGTATATATATTTATACACACACACGCGCACACACACACACACACACACACACACACACACACACACACACACACACAACAGGCATATGTAGTTGTAAAGAATGTAAAAGATATTTGCAAAACTAAGTTAGAGACAGAAACCTCTCGATCATAGTCTATTAGTGTTCATCATACCATATTACAAGTATTATATAAATGATATAAGTTTGAAAAATAGTAAAATTGGCAGGTGGGATAGAAAGATATGTTTGTGCCTGTCGTTCCTGAAATTAGGATGTAGCTAAAACACCCCTGGCCTGTTTTTGATGAGGCAACAATGTTGTATTAGCTAAAAAAAAAAATAGATTTGGCATATTATGTGTCTTTTAAGCCTCCTAAAGGATCAATTACCATTTTCTTTTTGTAATGTAGTACTCAAATTATTCAAAATACAACACAATGACAATGCAAATACCTAAAAGCACCGGTGCACACCTGCTAAATAGCTTTCCTCTTGGGTGAAAGCAGAGAAGGCAAAAGCGACGCTTCCTAAACTCCTGCAGGTATCAAGCGGATCCATTGTACCTCCTCTAAAGCAAGGAAAGAGGAGTAGGTGCAAAGAGACAAGCTTTTGTGTGATCCCTATCTTAATTCATCTGGGTTTTCAACACAAGTTTTGGCTCCTATTGGCATTCAAAACATCAGAGCTACATTTGCAGCGCAGACACACACAGTGCCTCACTCACTGTAACTGGAGACTTTCACCTTCGTTAAAGTTGGTCAAAAGGCATCTGTGTCTTGTAAGCTTGTAGTGCTCTTCACTTCACATGCACACATTACATTTCTGAGATGTATTGCGACACATAAAGATTTTTTCAAACTTTGGACAATATTCAATTCACTCTAAATCAAAGCCATCCGTTGAATGTGATTTTACGAGTTTGTTATTGCATTTCCCTTTATTAGCAAGCAATGATTTGCAGTGTGCTGTGCATTTATATACAAAGTTCACCATTGTGGAAAAGACCAAGACATCACTATGAGCTGATCTCATTACCACATTAAAAGCTAGGGTATATACATCAATAAAAATAGTCTTGTACAATTTTGAGAACAAATCAGAGTG